CATTTAACCAATGTAAGGGAAAAACAATGTTCCAATTACCCACAACTTTTTATCATTAAATATATAGGAGAACAACCAAATGTGCCTACCGTATTTACTCGCATAATCCTCGCACTTTTTTTGGCAGAAAACCGATGCAAAGTTGGGGGGGGGGGGGGGGGGTGAGAATTATGCGGGGAAAACTTTCCACCAAAACGTACTGAGTGAAAAAGAAAACGAAGTGGCCGCAAATCGGGATTCTCACACCAGCAACTAACGGCAAGCTTGCAGAAATACTAATTAAAATTTACCTCAACAATAAAAGCACAGGTTGAACACAAAGCAAGATTTATTTGAGACACAAAAAGTGCAAGCAAATAGTCGAGAATTAGAATACCATATGCAAAGCTTGTGGCCATTGCGGTAGCGTTCGTCACTCAACCGGAGCCCTCAAAAGGTAAGCGTAGGATGTCAATATTGGGCTGATGGCTATTTAACAGAATCGTCCGCAGTTTTCTGAAAAAATAGTTTACCATCAATCCCAGTCTCAGGCACACGGCAGGCCCAACGCATCTTTCAGCTGCCGTCACCAATAGCGAACACATAACTCGTCGACTCCAAAGGGCCTACTGGCGGCCTTGGCTTGGATTGAATCTCCGTGCAATAATAGTACGTTTGATGCTTAAAAGATGGCGTGCACTATCATCAACAGCTGGAACGAGCAGACGACGTTATTGTGGCAATTGTCAGGGGTGCGATAATTACTCAAGGAAAAAAGAATCTTATTTTTGTGAGGCGATGTGGGGAGTGCGAGAATTATGCGAGTGTGAGGATTACGCGAGTAAATAGGTAAATAGTTTCGTTTATGCGGCTTTTCCGTTTAAGGGGAGACATTGTTGCTTTTTTTTTAATTTTGAGTATTAAGAGCTGAAAATTTTATGTGATATGCATTTCTCACACCTGAAAACAAATATGCAATTAGTTTTCAGCTGTCACTTCCAGATTTTAAGATATTGACTGTTACACAAACTTACATTCTGCCCACTGTTTAGACAGCTTTCTTATAAATGTTTGCTGCAAATTAGATATAGCAGTGTTCTGTAAAGAACAGAGTGTGCAAGGAAACCACAATTTTATTTTTAGCTTCATTGGTTCAAGAGTTATGGCCTGAACAAGTAGATTCGTCAGAAATCTGAAACTGTACCTTAATTATATCAATTAAATCAGTGTTCGTAATGAAATTATCATAATGTTCTGGTCTTGTTGCACTCATCGATGTATAAGCTTTCAAATGCTGCAACAATTATCAAAATCCAACCACTAGATCAAAAGATACTGTGGGCATTGGCCTCGGACTTGACGAAAAATGTTGTTTTGAGAAAACGAGAAAAGAAGTTTAGGGTCAATGAAACCAAAATGGCCGTGCTGCTTGGCATGGTTCTCAGGCACCATGGCGTCGAATATGGCAATTTTTGAGGTAGTTTCGCGAGGGAAAATGGTCACGGAACTGACTTTGAGACCGAATTACTCAAGTACGCATTACATGGCAACAGCATTTTAGGAACACCTTCTTCAGGCCCTATATATTATTTAAAAAAAAGAATTCAAAAAATCGATTTTTCGGAAATCTTCCGGTCTTCAAGACCCGTGTCTCCCCTTAGGGGGCAGACTGGTCTTAGACATTTTTTATTTCTTCAGTGATCTTGATAAAACTGCACATGGTTATGCAGTTTTGTGCTGATTTCAAATATTTAATTAGTTTTCCTATCATTCACTATGTTCCTGAGATAACTTAAGTTTGCCCCCTATTGTTTAAGGCCACCATAGAAGAAAAAGTGCCTAATTAAAAGTGATATTTAGGATATGCCAACATAGACTAATGACTATAGAGTGAAAGTATGAAAGAGGTTTTTGTTTTTAGGCCTTTATTGGTTATTTTGCAGCAAAATGAACTATACATTTTCAAAAGCAGTTGGAATTGTGTTACAATACTGATTAGTAATTAATTAAAAAGGCATGTGCTCTAAATTCTGCTCCCATACTTGCATTCTACACACATACAGCTTTCCACTGCAAAGAGAATTATTGTTGTACCTGCCCAAGCTGCGGAGAAAATGAGGCCTCAAAATTGAATAGTCACAAATTTACTTTTTTGAGAAAAATGGAAAAAACTGAAAACACACAGTTTCTTTAAAAAACAACAATCAATGCGTGCATGTTTTGCGATCCTCATGAAGGCGCTCATAAATTAGTAGGAGAGCTCTAGACAAAGGTGCTGGCAAATTATAAAGAAGCCTCAAAGTCGGTTCCCTATTTTTTTGCAGGTTCTGCATGTTAACAGCACCAAGAATCTGGACAGTTAAAATCACATTACAAAAAAATTACTGCTTCCTGGTGCGTGAAAATTTGCAGAGAGATAGAAAAATACTTGCAGAAACCAAATATGTCAATTTTAAAAAATGAATTTTTTTGTCACTTTTTGGTCCCAAAGAGCAGTCTGCCCCCTTAAGCGAGTTTCGTTTAATCGGGAGTTCACTGTACCCCAACTTCGTGTGTTTGCAATTTCCCAACCACGCAGCCCACCGCCGCCATATTGGTCTTGTTTTGCTTGCGAATTCTTTCTCTTTTTTTATTCGCCGCCCGCGGCCGCAGCAGTGGCGGAAGCGCACCCCTCTTATGGTAGTGGGTGATCACGCAGCCCCTATTGGCCGCTGCGCGCGATGATGCATCTGTTTCCCCGGCTCGCCATCTGCTTTGATGCCCGCCCAGCAAGCGCCGGTGTTCTCTTGGCATGCGTTGTTTTCCGTTTGCTATCATTTTGTTTGGTTCTCACGCGTGCTCTTCAATCTTTCATCGGCTTTACGAGACAATCTTTCTCCGTGTTCACGAGATGCCGATTGTTGTTTTGTCACTAACGATGGGCAGGGCAAAGTTTGGGACTCTGCACGCATTCTGTTCAAGAAAAGCGTCCGATAAAGCTCGTACGCTGTCGTGAGACGTATCCCGAAGGAGTACGGCCACTAGCCTGGGTCCGGTCTTAGCGAGCCGCAGGGCACGCGTTAACCGTCGCCGTGGCGGGAACACGATACTGCTCAAGGTCGTAACACTTTATTGTCTGTGGCAACACCTAAACGCAGTACAGCCTGTTGCAAAGGCGCGGCGGAAAAGCAAATGGGCTTCGCTTATCCACGCCACGGGCGCAAAGTACTACAAAGGGTGCCCACGTCTCCATGATAAAAAGTGATTCACTGAGACACCGGGATCAAGGCCCGGTTACTCGAGCAAGGGCAAAGGCACTCGCGTGGGCTTCAGAGGGAGATGGGGCGGCATAGCTTGGTCACGCACCAGGACACCGTACCGCCGTTCGGCCGAGTGTACGCAGAGGGGCAACAAAAGGTGAGCGTTCGCCTCGGGCATGAGGCGCCATCAGCGAAGTTCGACGAGCCCTGAACAATGGGAGTCGACGGACGGAAAAGGGAATGCGTGCCCACCGTAAGCTGTCCGTAAGCTGTCCTCCCGATGCACGCGTGCAAAACCTCTCTGGTGACTTCGCGCGCGGCGCCACAATCAACATCCGCTACCGGATGAGAGGGGTTAAACGTCACTTTTTGCTCTCCCAGCACGGCAGACAGCGGAGGAGGAGAGTTGTGCAGGGACATGAGAAGGGGTTAAACGTCACTCTTTGCTCTTAGCATGGCAGACAGCGGAGGAGGAGAGTTGTGCAGAGACGTGCAGGCAAGGCGGCGGGCTAGCCTCCATTCCCACAACGCGTGGTGGTCCTCATTCACGCGCCAACGGGTCAGCGACAGTCACATCGATGCTGGGCAGCTTCTCCTTCGTCTCTTCAAGACGACGACTGCATTGATGCTTATCGCGACACCGAGAATCGGCGCAACGCTCAGTTGTCACAAGTGAGGCTGGTGTAGGTGTTTCGTGCTCAGGAGCACCTGGTGCATTGTTCTCACTAACTGCAGTGATTACGGCCCCGAACAGTGCGACTGCGTCGTCGACTGTGCATTTGCCAACACCTTTTTGGACGTGTGAGGAGTTAGCCACGGAGGATAGCGAACGTGCTGCTGCGCAACCAAAGCTTGGCGTTATGCCGGCAACTAACGGGCGGCAAAGAAAGACCCTTTCCGCGTGAAAAAGGCTTAAAACAGCTGCAACACAAGCAGGAAAAGCGGAAAAGGAAAAGAAGTCTTAAAGAACACTTCTAGCTACTTTGCAGGGTCAAAATGACCAAAATGTGTCTTCGAAACGCTCAAAATTCATTTTCTCGGAATGACTTTTTTGACCAGTGAGGCTGTTTAGTCTGGTGATATCACTGCAATCGCTCATATTATTTCTATCAGATTTGTTTTATTATGTTCCATAATAAATAACCCACATACTGACATAGTCGTTTTTTATATTTATTGTCTATAATTTGTGATAATTGATTAAAATTTCATTGATAAATGCTCAATGGCAAATGCCAAATTCAGTGCTCAGCTAAAAATTTTCAACAAGGAAATTAGCAAAAAGGGGGCTCTGTCCTAGTGTAAAGCACCCATGCAGGAATCGTCGCAGTGACTTTCACAGTGCTAGCACATTTATTAAATTCACCAGAGCCTAAGAAACCTGTGTGGGTTATGTGGATGAATGGCTGTAACTTTGGAACCAGTGAACCTAAATGCATGAAATTTTGTGGTTATTCAAATGGCTTTAGCCTCCCCCCACCCTGAAAATTTCATTAGGATGCTTAAACAAAAAAAAAAAAACGTTCCCCTTTCATGGTAGTCTCCCCCTTAAAACAATGTTTGATGTCCTAAGTTTGATGTCACTAATACAGTTTCAGCCTTTACTATTGCTTGCTATGTGTACAAGAATATTTTCAAGGTCTGTTTATCCAGTAAGTTCAAGCTGAGGTGCAAGTTGCAAGTTTGGACGACTAGACCTTGTGGTACTGGTTAACAATTTCGTGTTGTCAGTGTTCCTGCTTTGTATTCGTGGAGGTCCATATTGCATCTTGTCTTGTGCAGCTCCAAGGTGTGATGTGCATTGGCTACGACACTTACCACGACTGCCGTCAAAAGGGCCTCTCGGCTGGCGGCTTTGTTGCCAGCCTAAACAAGAGCCTGACTCGCTGGTATTCCCGCGTGGGCTTCCACCAGACACACCAGGAACTGGGCAGTGCCCTCAAGACTCATCTGGCATGTGAGTGCTTTTTCCGAGTTGGAAGATGCGCCTGTCGCATTCGCAATGGACTGCGGCACTTTCACGTGGAGGACTGTGCTCTTAGTTGCGTCCCACTGTGGAGGAGAGTGTCATTGATAGCTTTTATTTCCCCTCAGCTAATGTCTGCTATCCTAAGGGGCTGCTTGTGTCATTGGGAACTGACATTTACAACAATGTCGCCAGCCCTGAACGATGACTTTCACGCAGCAGTGCAGAGAATGTGGCGTGATAGATGAATTAGAAAAGTGCTCAAGACAAGACAGACTCTTTTCTAGTCTAGGCTAGCAGGCCTCTGAGAAGGCTGTTTTGAACTACAGCAGTGAAGGCGTTTTGTGACTGAGCAATGTATCACATTTGGTCTCTGCATCAATTTACAGGGTCTCCGAACAAACTTTTGTGGAATGTGGCACAAGATGCTTTTAAGAATGTCTCAAATAATAGAGCAGCATTGTGTGGTGCTCAATTAGAGGAATGGCAAGTAAATTGAGCACAAGTCTGATCAATTGCAGGGGTGAGACACGCTAGACATTTACCACATATTGGAGCAGCCAAATCTGCATTGACTTGCAGTTGCAGCAGACTAGCCGATAAGCTGTCAAAAAGGGTGGACTGATTTGTTGCTTCAACTGCATCCCATCTCTGTAGTGTCAATGAAGCAGTACCAGGAGGAGAACAACGCTGTACCCGAGCGAATCCTGTTTTTCCGTGATGGTGTCTCAGATGGTCAGCTGCTCCAGGTTCAGGAATGGGAGGTCGGCCAGATTCAGAGCCTACTCACCGAGATGTTCCCTGGGCGAGAGTAAGTTGCGCGCTTATTGTGCCTTGTATTACACTCAGACCTAGTTACAACAAAATTGAAAGGGAGCCGCCATTATTTCGTTATATCGATTACAGTCGAGCCCGCTTATAACGAACTTGAGTTTGACGCGGCATCTGTTCAATGTATCCCAAAGTTCGTAGTAAATGAAACACAGCTTTTAAAAAAGTTGCAAGTGAAAACAAAATTTTTTGCCCAAAAATGTTCGTGACGCATGTATTTTGAAGAGCGGTAGCAATAAGCGCGATCTCGAGTTTATTTCAAATAGCAGCGTGCTCTTCGCCGAGGCCCGTGGCATAAGCTGCATTAGGCACTGGCTCCAAATATTCGTCGTTCTCGCAAACAGATTTTTTCTAATCTCTCTTGCCGCGTACTTCACTCACAATGCCCTAATCCGTGCACGGTTCCGTAGTGTCGGCATCATCATCGACCGTAATGAAACCATCACAACAGATGTCCCACCCGCTCTCCCATGTCGGAGTCAACGACGCGCTGCCACAAATCGCTGCTGCAGTGGTTCTGTTCGGAAGCTTCAGGCTTCGCATCGGGCCCGACGTTGACGAAGTCAGGCTCACGAAAACAGTTTCGTGCACATGTAGTCGTCACCGCCGCTCATGAATTATTCACCACTGAATACTGGGACGCCCGAAGCGGCAAGTTGGCTGCCAGCTGATCAACAGTTACGCGCAAGCACTCCTCAACGCGGCACCTAACGGGAGGATTACGCACAAGCCGAGCAGTCCCACTTGCGACTTTTTGTTGAGCGGCAGGAAAAAGCGTGTGAGGCCTCCCGTCCATATCGTGACCACGCACGCACGCACCAAGAGTGAGCAACACGCACACAAGCTACACACACGCCGAATGCGTGGTACAGCACTGTGCCCGTTTCTAGTCGGAAAACGAAACTTCTGAATTCGAGCCTGTGTGGCTGTTGTCGTGGAGCGGTGGAGATGGGCGAAGGAGCAGATTTGTGAGAAAAAGGCAAGGAGTTGCGAGAGGGTGAAGAGAGGGGAAGATACGGTGGGAAGGCGACCTTGAAAACAAAAACACGCGGGAAAGAGGCAGGTCAGGCAGCTTGCTTCGCGAAAAAAGACTTTTTGAAGTTGACATTTTCGGAATCTGCAACTATTTTTGCACTTATCTGAGAAGTTTCAAGCTTCTCGCGCCATTATTTCTGGCACAAAATCAATAACACTCCTGTGAGATGAATGTGAGCACAAATAGTTGCTGAAGTCGCGCTTTTTCCACGCCGAACCGTTGCCGTTGCACACGAGCTATCGCAGTCATCTCGGTCTCATTTGGAAGGGTCGTTCTTCATCTTCAATGTCCTGCCACCAGTGGCGCGTCTTGCTCATTAGTTTTTCAGCAAAAACGCGTCATCAAGAAGCACCACCGCGCGATTCTATTGGCTGCTTGGGGCATGTGACAAAAGCTAGGCACCCGATTGGCCAAGTGGCGTTCCCGGAATCTGCTTTTTCATCGTGACGCGCACGGACATGTGTCATGTTGTCATGGAGTTGTCGACTGCTTGCTGCAGTAAAGAAGTTCCTCGCCTCACTAATTTGTAAAGCGGGTGTGGTGATCGTTCGTTCGCTGTGAACATCTGAAAAAGCCCTGCTTTTACTCAGGACAGGTAGTATAGCAAACTCGCGGCGATCAACGGCGGTCATCAGGTCATTAGTGTAGGCCTAACTCACGTACGAGCCCATCGGTTGTCTACAACATCGCTGAAAGAGGCCGTGGTTTGGAGCTTCAACAGTTACAGGACGGCAAGTAAAAAAGCAGAAGTGAAGCTACGAGAAATAGCAATGTTTGCAACGATGGAACGGAAGCGCAGTCTTATCGCTAAATGCGCCGATGCCGCGGGTTCCTCTCATCTGACGTGAACTGCGTCACTGGTCATCAGAGTGGAGTTCGCCGCGCGTCGGCAAACAACAGAAAATCAATCCGTTTACGGTGAACGTGCTCGCCGCCCGTGCAATGAAGGCTACTGGCAACAGGTAGAGTGCTTGTAACGACGCGTCCGCAACGATGAACATATTGCGCCGCAGCCTCCACTCGAAAATGTGGCAATCTTCATGTGAAAAGGAAACTACCGTAATTGCTCGCATAATCCTCGCACTTTCTTTGGCGGAAACGCGATGCAAGGTTCGGGGAGTGCGAAAATTACGCGGGGAAAACTTTTCACGAAAACGTACAGAGCGAAAAAAAAAATGAAGTGGCTGCAAATTAGGATTCTCACACCAGCAACTAACAGCAAGCTTCGAGAAGTACTAATTAAAATTTACCTGAAAAATAAAAGCACAGGTTCAACACAAGGCAAGATTTATTTGAGACACAAAAAGTGCAAGCAAATAGTCGAGAATTAGAATACCATACGCAAAGCTTGTGGGCGTTGCGGACGTGGCAGTAGCTTTTGTTGCTCAACAGGAGCCCTCAAAAGGTAGGCGTAGGAGGTCAGTATTCGGCAGGTAACTATTTATCAGAATCGTCCGCAGTTTACCGTATTTACTCGATTCTACCGCGCCCTCGATTGTAACGCGCACCCGATTTCCACCGCGAAAAAAAAAAAAAAACGTAAGACATCGATTGCAACGAGCACCAATTTTTCTCGCTGGCCCGCACGATCACACCACTCGAAAAAACGACTCCTTTCGGGAGCGTCTTCCATTTAAATATGAGGTACGGGCGAAGCTTGTGCCCATCTGACGTGTAACAGAGCATTGCCGTCACTGTAGTTTTACCGTGGACCGATGTCAGCACGCGAACCTGCTTCGCCCCCTTCTTCTCGACGGTTGTGGTGCCAGGCATTCCCGATTTGCCCAAGCAGGTAGCCGTTGTTCCGCCGCAAGTTTAGGACGAACCTCTGAAAACTGTGAAGCTTTTCATCGTACTCCTCCGCAAAACTTTGCGCATATGCATGTTCTCCTTTGGAGAGAAAAGCCTTTCCTCTTCATAAAGTTAGTTAGCCAGCACCTGCTCGCTTTAAACTGGCTCCGCATTAGACCTTTTTCTAAGACTGCATAGCCCGCATTTGAAGCAGTTTTGTCGTCACGGGCCGCTGTGCCGCTCGCTGCTCAAGCACATACTCGCCGCGCAGCTCTTTAATTTGCGGAAAGCGACCCTGCTGTGGTCCACTGAAGCCTTTGCGTGAAGCTTTGCTGTCGACAATCTTCTGCTTTTGTTTCCGCCGGTCCCGCACGCACGTTTCAGGAACTCCGAACGACCGCGATGCGGCTCGATTTCCGTCCGTTTCTGCACACGCGATGACTTTTCTTTTAAAAGCGGCATCGTGGTGCATTCGAGTTTTTGGAGTCAGCCCTTCCACGCCGTCGATGCTAATGCACTACTAGATGACGAACTCCTCAGCACACGTACGAAGTGCCGCACATGGGAAACACATAGGCAGAAATGGTCGACGCGCCATGCCGACGCACGTAGGGGGCGGCCATTTTGGATTTGCCGATGGCAATAGATTGACCGTAATTTTTTTGTTCGTACTTGATTCTAACGCGCATGCGATTTATGAACTCGCTTAACCGAAAAAAAGGTGCGCGTTAGATTCGAGTAATTACGGTACTTCTGAAGAAATAAAGTTTACCATCAATCCCAGCCCAATGCGTCTTGGTGGCTTTCAGCTGCCGTCACCAGTAGCGAACACAAAACTCGTATGCTTTGAAAGACCTAGCGGTGGCCCTGTTGCCATTGCTTAGATCGTGATCTATCACTTTTAACTTGAAAGCAGCCATGTAGCTTCAGTATCGCCCCATAATGTGACAAGATTACCGACACAACATACTAAACATGCCGCAACGCACACTTGCCACTTTGGCTTGGCTTAGGTTGGATTGAATCTCCGTGCTATAATAGTACGCTTGATGCTTAAGAGATGGCGCATGCTATCATTATCAGAATTTCAACTTCACTATTTGAAGGAAAAAAAAAGATAAATCTAGTGTTTGGTTCACTAAGTATTGCGGCTAGGTGGCGTTAGCTGCTTGATTGAAAGGGTACAGCCACAACAATTCATCTATCCAGAAGCTGGAGCGAGCAGACGACATTATTGCGTCAGTTTTCGGGGGTGCGATAATTACTCGAGGAAAAAAAAAATCGTATTTTTGTAGGGCGATGGGGGGGGTGCGAGAATTATGCGAGTGCACGGATTACGCGAGTAAATACGGTACATGCCTGGTGTTTACTGAGAAAGCTGAATTTGCAAATCATTGTAAATAAACAGCTTTTCCATGCTACTGTCTGCCCAAAATGGACTTGTGTTTTTGCCTGATTTCTCAGGATTCAAATTTTGCTGCAGTTGCACACTTGTCTAAGAGATGTCTCTTCCTCCAGAGCAGCTAGTACTGTAATTTTTGTTTTGACATGTAGCTGTATCTTTAGTTTACACAATGGTAGGTGTGAATTTTTATTTATTTATTCAGGTTACCCCTAAAGGCCCTCTAGAAGAGGGTATTACATGGGGGGGGGGGGGCCAATTGAGATCTTTAAAAAATTTTATTTTTGCCAGAAATTGGAGCATAATGTGGGTGTGTCTACAACACTGAAATGCTAGGTGTGACAAACCTTGCTAAAATTATCAAATCAAAAAGCACTCCTACCGTTGTTTAGCATATGTTCATTAGTAAACAGGCATGTGCTAATAGTAGCTCCGCAATACAAATTTTTTGTCATTATACTGGCAAACAGTAGGTAATTAATTTTGGGATATCTCAAAAATTAATTGGTTTAGAGGAATAGTAATTTCATTTTTAAAATCGTCATCAAGAACTCAAGCACACTGTGAATTTTCTCTATAAACACATGAAAATATCTGGCATTTCGTCTCATGCACGGTGTCCCTCCTTAACAGCAATTTTTACGCTTCCGCACGCGTGCGAAGGCATGCTGAGCCAAGTGCGAAGTGTGCGAGAACAGGTCCTAAATACGAAATAAATCTCGAATTATCAGAATCGGTGGGGTAGCGTACGCACGTGCACTAGAACGATACGATAAGGCAAGACGCAGACGATCGAATACACTCGGTGAACGACTACGTCGGCAAACAGTCTGGTCACTCCATGCCGGCGACGCCATCGACAGTAGCAGCGATCAAAAACGGGCGATGGCTGACCGGTCTTCGAAAGACCGGTGACAGTCTAAAAATGCGGGCCTTGTCTGGCAATGCGGGATGCTCAGAGTAGCGGTGAAACAAAGGACGGAGGGGTGCGTAACAAAAAGCGGTCGGGGAGAGCGGCAACTAGAGGGGCGTGGAGGCAGGGTCGGCGTTTAACAATAAGAATCTATGGGCACCTCGCCGATGCCTGATCGGCTGTCAAACGTGGTTTCCCTAAAAATCTGTGGAGCACCGATTCTGTTCGCTGTAACCAGTCGGCGGTGCTTGGAGACGTTCATTGTAAATGTGATTTTGTGCCATTGAAACAATGTATATTTTCACGGTCACATGGATATTGTTTATTTTAAGGGGGGATGCTACACCTTCCAAAAACTCTTTTATTTTTGCGAGTACCTCAGTCAAATTTGGAGAGCCTATGTAGATTTTACTGCTTACTTCAAAAATCTAATTCTTTTTTTGCTGTGACAATTAGTTTTAAAGATATAATGAACTGTGACTTTTTCAATTAAGGCCTAATTAGCTAATTAACTGTAACTTGGATATTGATGTGCAACCTATAGAACCAATTCGGTATGTTCACAGTGTGCAATAAAGTATAAATCATTGTTCTGGGCTATTTCGAAGCAAAGTTGTGGGATGTTGAATATGACATGAAAAATTTCCCCATCTACACTTGAAACAAAAGATCCATTTAGAGAATTTTCTCCAAAAATTATTACAATAAAACTTACTTTACGACACATCCCCTGCATTTATCTTCGAAACAAAAAAGAAATCGTAATGATAACCCAGATAGAACAAGAGATATTGCTCAGGCATAATGGGAAGCACATGAAAATTGTCGTTTTGAGAAATCGAGAAAAAACGTGGGCACACATTTTTATTGCAGAAGATGCAACAAGACAACCTCAAAACGCACCAGAAGCATAATCTGAATGCATTCTGTGCTCATGCCTCCTCTTCACTAGCTTCCGGAGTTCCAATGAGGCTGTTCTTTTCTTGTTGGAGACAATGCTGCGACGGTGGTCTTTTTCTCTCGCTCTCCTGGCACCAGTACTTGTCGCATTCATGTCCATTTCACCTAAGATTGCCGTTGCAGAATTCAAATTGCCCGTGTTGAAGCGCAGCACTGCTTCTGCAACAGCTGCTTCAACAGCGAACAGGGACGCATGGTGCTCCTTGGGGGCCAAACTCCAGATTACCGAATGTAGGCTCTCGTTGGAGTTCTGCGTTTTGCCGCGTTCGCACCTCTGAAGCAGGGCTCTTTCCGAAAGCCGGGTATAAACCGGTAGTAATGCCTCTGCCACGTCTTTCGGTAGATTGTAGGCATGCCTGGGGTCGGGCTCACCCTTTGCTTTTGCGGCATTGTGCCGACACCATGAAGTTTCACCAGCTGGGCACAGACTGTGGTCCGAGCATTCATCAGTGGAGGTGACGTGGCGGTATGTGGCCATCACAGCCTTTTGCATCTCGCCCACGTCACCTTCATGCGATTTCAGAGCCCGGCCATAATATGTGCTCAGCCTGGTGATCAGCTCACCTGTGAGCCTGCCTTTCCCACCAAGGCCTCTTTTCCCATCGCACTTTTGTTTCTGCACCAGGTTTCTCAATGCGGTGCCCATCCGTTTCTGTACATGATTAATACAGTCTCCCTTCTGCACGTCAATGTAACCATACACCTTGGCGTCTTGTATGGCGCAAAATGTCCTAGAGTCTCCATCAGACAGCATAGTTGTGTAGCGCAGGCCATGGCGTTCAAGCGACCTCTGAAATAGAATTAGAGCCGCCTCCACTTCCATTTGCCCCGCTTTGCTGTTCGTATTTTTTTGGCATTTGTGGTTAGCCTTCCATTCTTGATAGCCCTCACTACTAGGCTTTGGGCCCACCTCGCAGCCTAGGCAAAAGTTGGAAAGAACGACGTAGTCCAACACATAGCCACTAAATAATTCGATAACTGTGCCCACGCCGATGTGGGAAGAATGGCCTCGCGTCTTCCACGTGCCGTCGTAGCTAACGGCAATATTACCCCGGTGGCCGAAGCACAAGTCATCATAAATTGTTCTAACCTTTTCCGCACATTCGTTCATAGCGGACTCAGCCGCTCGCGTTGCAGCGGGTGCCAGCGTGTTCTTCAAATGCCGCTGAAACGTCTTGTGGTGCATACCGCGGTGTGAGATGCCCATTGTTGCGAAAATATCGTTCATTTTCGTTTGGCCGTTGCCGGTAGCCACCATCGCCCTCGAAGCGAGAAGATTTACTTCAAACGGATTGCACGTTTTCGTGCCGTTCGCGCGGGGCGAAGTCCATTCATTCGCGATCTCGCCGCACCTTTCACACTGCACTAGCACTTTCACGGCAAGTCCGTAGTCCCGATCCCCTCTGACGATCGTAGCCGGTCCGTGGCAGGCTTTGCAACACAAGGCACCCATTATCGCGTTTAGGATATCTAGATGCATAAGCAGATAAGGAGCAGCATGGTCCGAGTCCTGTGCGGTTGCCTCGCTACAACTCGCGGTGAAAAAGTCAATTTTCCGTGCAGTTGCTGGCGCCGATGAAAGCCGGTCGAGCGTCGCTTTCTCCCGGGCATGATTTTCTTCAACTTCGGCGTTTGTCACCACCTTGGCGTCGATTCGTAGTCGTCCGGAGTTCGCTTCACCGTCATCGTCGTCGGAGGCAACGCGCTCGGTCGCACCATCGCTGAACGGCCGTGGAGCGTCGACACATCGTTCGTCGGAGTCAACCAAGGGCTCTGATGACTTGTAGACTTTCTCCCACGACCTTTGCGTTTCCTGTGACCAAATGCGTGCACGGTCCGATACTTTTTTGCGTTTCCAGGCATGGCGATACGATCAGAAGCTTCAGAGTGCTCTGCCGATTTCGAGGCGTCACAGCGGTAACCCTTTCAAAATGGCGTCGGGTCGCATATGCAGGCGCAAGCCGCGAGCTTCCAGCCAACCGGAAAGCGCCATTTCAGTCACGTGCGCCGTTTAGCCAATGGCAGTGAGCGCGGCTCTTCGTCTTTGAGGCCCCGTTTTTCGAGCCGGGGAAACGCTCAATGTTGCTTACTGAATAAAAAAAACAGCTGAAAACGCGTTCTTTCAAACAAGACCAAAATGGCGCCGATCGAGCGCGTAGTTCCCGCGTATCGTAGAGCCGAAACCTGCGCTATTCGCCCTCAATTTAAAGGGCAGGACGCCCGTTTTCGGTTTTTTAAAGTTGAATAACGATAAAAGTTGATGGTATTCGGCTATGAAATTTTGTAAATAGGTGCGCAATGATGTCGGGAACGCGAAAAGAAGGTCCGCGAAAACTCGATTTTTTGGCTGATTTTCGGTCCCGAAGTGCCGCGTCCCCCCTTAAGCGGAAGGTGTTTTAAGTGGGGCCGTTATATGTGGACTCGACTGTATAACAGTTTGTGGTAATGCATGCTCAGGTGGGCGCACACCTTAAACATGCAAAGAAGGAAACTGCCTCGCGGCCTGATGTAACGCTACACGACCACTTGGCGACGGAAAATAAACACAGTCGAACCTCATTAATTCGAACTTCCAGTGAATTCGAACTCGCGCTGAGGTCCCGTCAAAGCTATGTGTATTCCAATGGGAGAAAATGCCCTGTAATTCAAACGCACAAGCACTTGTGACGATTAATTCGAACATACCGCGCTCAGAAAATGCTCTCAGCGCCATGCCAAATCCTGCAGCGGCACACCTCAACGCTGCGCGCGAAGAAGAAAAAGAAGAAAAGGAAAGATTGTTTGCCCTCTCTCAAATGCCACTCTGCGAAGCGCGTGTGCCACGCTTCTCCCTTTTCTGTCTCTGCATGTAGAGACCCTTCCCCTTTCAAGGCCGCTTGCGTAGAGAGAGGGAAAAAAAAAAAAAGCTGTCGCGGAGAGTCTTCTTTTCTCGGTGCAGAGGGTAGCAGCGGAGATGCAGTCGTTGCCATCATCTTTAAGGTGCGGCGAGGAAAATCGCTTTGCAAGACAGTGCCGCTTCTCGGTCATGTGACCCGCTGAGTGCTTCTTCAATCTTCTCCGCTGGCTGCGTGAGGAGGACCGCTCACTCAATCGCGCGTGGCGTGGCTGAAGGTCGGCGCAGTAGTTTTGAAAGAGCCGTGCCAAACGAGCGTCAAACTCTGCAGAAATCGATATACTTAACACACTACAGTAGTTTTTTTTTTTGATAGACTAATTTAGTTCGTTATGTACATTTACTGGTCAATTTATTTTTGTTACAACGATGTTTAAAATGCATGGTTCTCAATGGAGCTTCCGCCTCACCGCGGTGGTCTAGTGGCTAAGGTACTCGGCTGCTGACCCGCATGTCGCGGGTTCAAATCCCGGCTGCGGCGTCTGCATTTCCGATGGAGGCGGAAATGCTGTAGGCCTGTGTGCTCAGATTTGGGTGCACGTTAAAAAACCCCAGGTGGTCGAAATTTCCGGAGCCCTCCACTACGGCGTCTCTCATAATCATATGGTGGTTTTGGGACGTTAAACACCACAAATCAATCAAATCAATGGAGCTTTCTAGGGGAATTTCATTTATTTCGTTATATTTATTATTTCGTTATATCCCGTTACGTTAAAACGAGGTATGAGTGTACTATTTGTACCTTGATTTACTGTTTGTGCATTTCTTCTTTGGCGCATGTGCTCTGGCTTTGTTATAACAATGTCGTAGGCGCTTGCATCGATTTTGCCGAAGTTATCTAAAATTGGTGCTTGTCTGCCCTCTTCTTTTCAATAGGCCTCAGCTTGCTTTTGTTGTGGTGACCAAGAGAATCTCCGCTCGTTTCTTTAGCGTTGACAACAGGGGTGGTGCATACCAGAACCCTCCCCCGGGAACTGTGATTGACAACAATGTCACCAGGCCTGAACGGTGAGACTTTCACTTTGTAGTGCAGAGAACATGGCATGAAAGGTGGATGAGAAAAATACTTGAGACGGGACATGCTCTTTTCAAGTCTAGGCTAGTGGATCTCAAATGAGGGTTTGCGAAGCTGCTTTTGTGAAACCCATCCCCAAAGACCAAACTAAGAAAACAAGCTTGCCTAGGTACACTTGACTGTGGCACAAAGTACATTTCGTGAAAAAAAAGGGGGGGGGGCGGAGGGGGGAAGCGCTCTTTCATCATTTCCACTGGTCCAATAGGGGTCACAGAATCATCCAAGAATTACCGGTCTAGATCTTCGTTCTTGGTTAGTTTTAGCCATATGTTTGCGTTATGAATTGCCAAAGAAGTGTCTGGGCATTAGCCCTATGGGAACACCATCAGTGTTCCCATAGGGCATATCATTTTTTCGGCCGATTTTTCATACGAATTTGCCCTAGGAAGTTGGTTTTTTGGGACTAAATCACTTGTTTGAGCCATGCCACGAACCTGTATGAACGCCGCCATGTTGAATTTTCTGCCGGCTTGACTAAGCTTAGTGGCTTAATTTTAAAGTGGCTTTCCTGCTTTCAAGATTGGAAAGCAAACGTCATATTTCACGTTTTGGAGGCCGTGTCTGCTTTAGAAATCGCAGCACGGGACCAATTTTTTTCGTCTTCGGTCAGCTGTCGTCATCGCACCGTACAGGGAGGAGACGGAGCTGCACTGTGGTGGAGTGAATGTGCCTGCCACAATGACATTAGGGGGTTTTAGAATAGCACACCGTGCGCTCGCTGCCTCTGCGCATGCGTCGTAACGCTAGTCGCCATTCGTCGCCTCCCCGCAGAAAATTCGAAATAGCGTGCAGCGATCACGGCCCGCAAAGTGTTGTGTGTAGCTTTCGTGCATTTGAGTTCGCGGTCGGAGCAAAAGTCCCTAGACTTTTCCCTAGGGGGAGCAAACGCTATTATAAAACTTGTATTGCGTCTGCTATACCCCCAGCACCTGCAAACGTTATTCTAAAACTCCTTATTTAAAGACTTCGCTTGTGCGGACGATAACAGTTTCGTGCGCGGAGCCCACAGACGAAATTTTTCATCAGGTTCGGATAATGACGCCGATGATCGGCCAGAGCTGTCGGCAGCGGAGATCGGCCGCTGCGGTGACGCTTTTGTCAAGCATTTACGGTGACGATGCCACCTTGGCGCAAATACGGGCTAACAAAATTGCTTCCAAGCGTAGTATGAAGCAAGGCAGAATCATGGACTTTTTTAAGCCTGCTTGATGTAATAAAGTTCATATTTCTGACAAAAAAGAATTTTTCAGCCTGTTCGATTTTTGGGGACTTTTTTTCGGTTCCCACGAGGTCCGAAAACTCGGTTCTTTATTCCTGTTTATAGTCCCCAAAATATGTTTCGTGGCAGCAACTCGTATAAAATCTCTTCATGCTTCTCCTTAACACACTTGTAACAAGGCTAACTTCTAGGAACTGCTACAGTGGTAAACAAATTTGCATGCGAGAGCACAAACCTGAAGCTATGCAGCTCATTGACACCATCCATAGAAGTGAATAGTAAATTATTTCAATGTCAATAATTTCAGATGCCCTCACACAGTAGAAAAATTTGTTGTTGACTATATTGCTAGCTTTCTGGTTTCACTATAATGCATATAATTGTATTTAAAACATGTTTTAAGCTGTTGCCAAGAAACTGTTCAAGCTGAGTGTATTTTAGTTTTAACATTGAGCAAGCACTACATTTGCCGACTGATGATTCAGGGAGGCTTGACTCAACACTTGAGTCAAGCCTCAAACGCTGGAACCGTGAAGCGGTTCCAGCGTTTGCCCAATAGGTGTCTTGCATTTGCTTTTTGACCTTGAACGACCTTGAACGAACCTTTTTTTTTTTAAGTAGAGGAGCAGCTCGTTTCGCTCTTCATTGACTGCATTGAAAAAAATGCTCTGCTGCTTGCAGTGGAAGGCAACAGTGCGCATGTATTCAATGTGGAACCTGTACCTTGCAGGTACGACTTCTACCTAGTCTCCCAGAGCGTTCGTCAGGGAACTGTGGCACCCACGCACTTCAACGTCATTCATGACACAACAACACTGAAGCCAGAGCACATGCAGCGTCTCTCGTACAAGCTCACCCACTTGTACTTCAACTGGCCGGCAAGTTTTTTTGTACACCTTCACAGAGAAGAGGCAGATTCGTTATATGTGTGGCTGCCTTGTATTGGGCTAATAAGCAGCAGATAAATGCAGAAGGGTTTGTAAGAACAAATTGTGTAGCTTCTGTTGTTGGTGTGTAACATACTAAAAAAATGTGTCGTAAAACTCATAGGTTCATACCAATTCACTGGGGGGAAATCATGCGCTAGTGTTTGTTAGCATGGGAGTGAATGGTAGGACATCGATTTTGCTGAGCTTCGTGTTTCTCCCGTGTGGCCTGCAGCCGCTTTGTCACGTGACAAAGTCCAGCAGTTACACATTACCAAATAAGTTCGCAAGGTTCCTGGAAAGCCATTCTTTTATCTGAAACAAAAGCCAGAACACTAAGAACTAAGCCGAAAGCGCATTCGATGTCGAAAACACGAAGGATCTGCAAATCCATGTACTGACTGTCGTTGCCTGAACGATCGCTGTACTACAGTTGCTCCCTCTAGTAACTACTGTCTAAAACTCCACGATTAGTGTCCTTACGACTTTGATTCTGTGTTATAAGGCAGGGTGTGCAAACACAAACGCATGATATTCATGACTTCCCTCTTGCTTTTTTTTTTTTTATATATAACAAAAGTTTGTGCCAAACTATGCTTTCCGAAGAGTGTGGGAGTGTTTCAGATGAGCCTTCTTTTTCCTCGCAGGGCACTATCAGGGTCCCTGCCCCATGCCAGTATGCCCACAAGCTGGCCTTCCTGGCAGGACAGAGTCTTCACACCGAGCCACACAAGAGGCTTGCGACCACGCTTTTCTACCTGTAAATGCAGTCTCATCTCGGGGAAGGCCACAAATCACTGCCAAGTCCAAATCGTGATCATTGTCAAAGTTGAAAATGTGTTTTTTTTTTTTCCTGTCTCTTTCTTGTCAGCTTCACATTTTTAGATGAGGCTGACTGCCAAGCTTTGTGCCCCCCTTCTCTTATTTTATTAATCACGACCATCTTGTATTATTTTGGAGTTACTTTTGCAGTTGAATGGTAATTGGTGATGAAATCATCCCAACAAATTGTAGAAAGGTTTTTGACAGAGGGGCATTACATATAGGTTAGTCCCCACTTTGTAATTCTTTATCGGAACATGAACACTCTACCTCCAGTTTCGTCATTTAGAAAAAGACCCCTGCAGCTGTTTTTGTATCATTTGTTTGTGGAAATACTGTGGCTAGGTGGTATTGTCGTTTTGATAGTTTCATTGCTACAATAAATGAGTCATGTAGCAACTCATTTTGCCAAATGAAGGTGTAACTTGGCAGAGGTTAAGTGCCTTGTCATATCATTTCATTGTTAAAAGTTCATAACATTTATGAATAAAAAGTTTTTTGCTACGTGCATTGGTCTGTGTTTACTTACAAGGTATTATTCTAGCTAGTTGTCACTATGGGACTACGAAAGTGCACAGGCTACCTCGTACAGGGCACTGAAACACATGGATTCAAGCGGTCATTCTAATAACACTGCTCGGAAAGTTGTAGAACACTGTAAATCGTAGTGACAGTCCAGAAGTAGTACAAGGCACGGTGTGATAGCTTTGATTCTGCACTTGAACTAAAAGTATGGCGGTGTGATCACTTTGCTACTCGCTGTAGCGGATGATCACTGCGGGTTCAGGCTTAGCGAGCCACAGGGCCGTGTGTCTGTCGCCTGCTCACGTGTAGCGCGGCGCGGCAAAACAGACGGTGTTCGATTAACTGAAATACACACACTTCATTGCCTTTGGTGGCACCCCGAAGAACAGCACAACGTCCGCTTGCGGGACGCGGAGAGCAAAGGCTCCCGCACGCGGACGTTCACAAGAAGGGGAAACCGCGAGCACGTAGCAGCTGGCAATGGCTAGCTTTGACACGCCGGTCGGAAAAAGGTCCCTTGCGGCTATGCTGCACACTCTTACGATGGCCACTGGGCCTGGTCGCGAGAGTTAGGGCAAACCTCGTACGCGTTGGCCTACGGCAAGTGCGGCTTGGTGTGGTGCGACCACTTCAAGCACTAGGCACCGCTGTTGTAGCGTAATGTACCGAAGCTAACACTCGGGTAAACGCCTTCCGGGGATGCCAAGGCCCCCAGGCAGGCTACAGTCCGACGATTCCCAAAGGGGACGCGGCCGACCAACAAAACCTTTCCGGCGCGCACGTGACTCGGCCTCTCAATTCTCGCAGCCTCCGAGAACATGTGCCGCGCGTGGCGCTCTTTCGCCACGCGCCATTACCAGAGCACCGAAAAAGAAAAAGGATAGCGGCCGTACGTCAGAATGCCCGCAACATGGTCGCGGGCGCGCCTTAGATTCCTACATCCTCCTCTCCTAATTCACCCTATACACCGGTCTGCAAAGGCAGCCGGTCGTCGCCCATGCATGCAAAGATGCAACGGGCAACAGCTAGCCTCAAGCCTAGCCCTGCAACTGAAGAAAAAAAAAAAAATGGAACAACACAAACAATACACTCTGCGCAATAAACTCAGTTTGAAGTTAGCGCTCCTGTATTTCGTGTCCTTGTCTCTGTGTCGTCGTTTTGTTCTAGCGCTATAACTATCGTCATGCCATACCAACTAGCCCAAGCTGCCACACTTCTAAGTTACCGCGGAAAGGGTTTGCTCGTCGGCGCACTCACCCTATTCTCCGCTCTGCGGCTCCGCCGCCGTTTTGCCCCGCTCACTTGCGCAAAGGCACCGCTAGCGGTTGTTGCACCGGGATTCAGGCTCCTGGTAGACACTGGCTCATGAGATAGTGCGTCAGCTACCACGTTAGTGGTAGCTGACCCGCTATCTTATGACCTTTCGATACTATCTCACTATCGCACTATCTCATGACCTTTCGATACTGCACTGAAAAGTCGTAATGCTGTAGGAGAGCCCAGCGCGGTAGCCTGCCTGCAGGCTCACTGGAGCCACATCAGCGAGCTAAGCGCGCTATGATCTGTTTACACCACAAATTTTGTCCCATCAAGGTATACATCAAACTTCCGTAGTTCAAACACGATGGCGAGACACCCCCTCTCGGTCACGAAATAATTCTTTTCCGTGGGTATCAACGAGCGGCTGAAAGACCAACGGCTCCAACATGCCATCGTATTCCTGTAGGAGAACTGCTCCTAATCCCAGTTCACTTGTGTCAGTCTGGACAACAAACGGTCTGGTCAGGGAGCTTGAGCTGCGTTGTCTTCGCAATGGCACTAGACAGACTGCAAAACGCCTCTTGCTGCGCAGGTCCCCATCGCCACTCAGCTGACTTACCCAACTAGCTTGGTCAAGGGCACCTGCACTTGGGCAAAGGACGGAATGAACGACCGGTAAAAATTGGCCATTCCGAGAAAGCGGCGCATGCCGCGTATGTCCTTGGTTGTGGGGAAATTGAGGATTGCTCGAAATTCTCCCAGTCTGGCTCAATGGAGCCTTCGCCCAGCGTACAAGTAACTGAACTCAGGTTTGCGCTAGTTGGGCCTTTGCGGGATTTAATGTCGTCCCGGCGGCTCTCGCCCTCTCGAGCACATATGTAATGTGGGTCAAGTGTTCTTTGAAGGTTCGTGAATAAATGAAGGTGTCGTCGACGTAGCACATGCAGTAAGATCACTTTGCCTTCCCCGAGGACACGGTCCATGAGTCTCTGAAAAGTCGCAGGAGTATTGAAGACCAAACGGCATACGAGTGAACTCAAATAACCCTCTGTGGGACATGAACGCTGTCTTGCACCGCTCGCGCCCATCCGTCCGGACCTGTAGGCATCTAATGTGGTAAAGTACTGCGCAGTGCCGAGGTTTCCTACGATGGAGCTAATCGTGGGGAGCGGATAGGCATCCTTACGAGTTACTCCGTTCAAACGGTGGTAGTCTACACACAGGCGATGACTGCCATCTTTCTTAGGCACCAACACTATTGGAGACGCCTAGGCGCTGGACGAACGGCGAACGTGCGCATACCTGCGGCACACCCGACCTTTTCGGCATACCTGCGCGGCATACCGCCGCGCAGGTATGCCGAAAAGGTCGGGTGTGCCTGCCTGATCACCCGTTCCACGCGCTCTTCGTTCGAGGCTCAGCGATAGAGAAAAGGTCTTCCATCGCGCGTACGTACTCCCGAAGAGACTCATCAGGAGCTTGTGTGCGGAGCTCGAGCTCGCGCCGTATCGTGCTCTCGTAGTCAGCAGGTAAGAATTCGTGCAGGAAGGCCGCGTGGAACTCATTGAGGGTTTCTGCTAGGTGGCCGGAAAGCCGATACCACCTAGCCACTGTGTCAGTAAGCGCAGCCAGGGACACGCTCGCTGGATTCCAGGCCGACCGGTTGTGCCCTCGCGATCTCCGACGACAGTGCAGCTCTGGCCGACTGCGTTGCAAGGGTCCTACGCCATCTCCTGACGCCGGTCCCCGACAAAGACAGCGTTGCTCTGGCTGACTAGATTAGCACTACGCCATCTCCTGTCGCCAACAAGAGCTCTCGCCAGTGGTGTCCCGTTCTCGGACTCCTGCAACCGTGTCTATCTTTCCTGTCTTCTCCTTACTTCTGTCGTCCGCTGTCCCTGCGCCTCGATCTCTCCTTCCTCTCTACCTTTTAATCCTATCTTTTTAATTCCTTCTCTACCCCCATCCCTCACGAGCTACTCTTGAGGTGTCCTCCCCCTGAGAGACAGTTACGGGGCTCACTTTTCACTTAAATTTACTCCCCCCCCCCAGCGCGCGCCCGAGCACTTCTTGGTCGTCGAGACCCATATGACTCTCTGGTAGCGTGTGAGGGAGTCCAGGCAATCTCTTGCACTCTGCAGATCACCATACTTGATGTAGGTCGGAACGGCCAACATGACAGCGGGATGAGAGCGTTTCGGAACGGCCGCAAGCGTTTGGACTGTCCCCGTGAGTGCCTGAATCATTTGGGCGGCATTTTCCAGCAGCTTCTGTGCACCCGATTCAAAGGAAGCAGTCGGTGCATTGGCGGCGCAGTTTCAAAATGGATACTGGCCGTGTGGCAGCTTGGGCTAGTTAGTATGGCATGACGATAGTTATAGCTGTGACATGGTACTGCCGTGCATTCCAAAGGGAGCAGTAGCAGTCCAATTTGCCCGTGTGCACTGTTCGGGTTGAGCTTTGGCCCCGGACCCAAAACACGCTACCTCTCAGTGGGAGCTGTTACGTAGCGCCTAACATCCCGACTGGGGCTTGTGACAAGCGAACGTGCGCGATTGTGATGCTCAAGGGGGGCACTGGCCCTGTTCTCGAGCAGTGCGGTACCTGCTAAAAGCATCAGCGGACAAAACTCACGCGTAGCAGACATAACGCGGGTAAACACGTCGAGCATGATTCGCAAAGGCGAGCTGACTCGGCTAAGACTAATCAAAGGCTTAATGAGCATTTGACACCACGTTGGGCGCCAGTGTGGTAACCTCGCAGCTCACCGTAGCGGACGATCACCGCGGGTTCAGGCTTAGCGAGCCACATGGCAGCAGTCTCTCTCTATTCTCGCAGCCCCCGTGAACACGGGACGCGCCTGCGCGTGGTGCCATCTAGTGCCACGCGCCATTACCAGAGCACGGGAAAGAAAAAGAGAGCGGCCGTACAGCGGAATGCCCGCAATGTGGTCGCCGGCGTGCCCGAGATCCCTACAACGGTCAGACTACACACGGGCGCTTTGTGTAAAAATGGACTAACAATACACTGCATGTCAGTTGTAAATTGACATGCGAGTGGATAGCAAGCTTATTTCCTGGCCAGTGCTCCAGTCAATTGTAGATGGTGCATCACTAGGTGGCATGGACAGCCAGATTAGCTCCCGCTCGTGTAGTTTCGTAAACTCTTGTGGTAGACTGTATGTACGTAAGTACAATTGGGTAACTTTGTGCATGCTTGTACTCAATGGGCATGAATCTTTTATGTTCATTCAATGCCCGTTAAGAAACACAATTTGCGTACCTTAATGTCGAATTACCTACAGTAACATATCTTTAAGGTAATCCACGTGCATATTAATCTGTTATCATGGAGCACTTATTGTAGAGAGATAAAACTTTTCATTTGAATAATTGAGAAGTTTCGGGTGAGGCTCTCAGTTTACAGCTTCAACAGCCACTGCTGCGCCCCGTGCCTGATGGATCAGCGCCTGCTGACCACTTGAGTCGCATCTAAGAATGTGTTGTGGTTCTTGTTTGGGTTGATTACCAGAGCTGCTTGCCTCGTCTTCCTGTATAGTACTAAACTATGGCACGGCATGTCCTCTTATTCGGCAGGGCATTGACATATGGTCATTTTTAGTGGTATGTGTTAACTATTTGATTCGAAGAAATGCCTCAATTAGCATAGCAGATGTTATTAGCAGCTACAAACAGTGATGGATTGGCAGCTACATTTTTAATGCTTTGTATAGCATCAACTCAATGGTGGGTACAGAAGCAGATGTGGTACATATCCACTCTGATGCACCCCCTTCATGTGGAATTGCTCTAAGCAAAATATCTGCTAACCACAAGGAAAGACTGCGTTTTTATTGCAATAAAATATGGAACATTGAACATAGATGTTTGCGCACGGCAGAGTGCAATAATAGCCAATCTGAAGCAGTGTCATGGTGGCATAGCAGCAATAGACTGGTTTTTGTCTGAACAGAACAGCATTAATAATTGTTTGTTATTTACATCCCAAAAGCACACTTTGATTATAAGAGATACCATAATAGAATGCTTGGGAAATTTTGACCACCTGAAGTTTTTGAATGTGCACCTAAATCTGAGAACAAGGGCTTGTAATGCCTCCATCAAAATGCAGCCACCACAGCTGGGATTTGATCCTGCATATCAGCAGTGAGCATTACACCACTAGTTCACTGTGGCAGGTAGCTGAACAAGGCTCACCAGTACTTAGTTGATGGAAAGACGATAAACAGCGAAAACGTGGGCAATAAAAAAAGGCAGCACAAGTTTGCTAGCTATTACTGTAACCCTGGTGGCTTGAAGGTGGCTTTTCTAGGCATGCATGTCCATAGAGAAGTTCTCTATGTTGCTGCCTATGCTGGTAACTGCTACTGTGCAAAAGTGCTGTCTGGGATGGATCCCACTGTTAGCATGATCTAAAGTTTACCAAGTCCTTCAAAAGTATGGGTTTGTCTTTATGGCATGAAAACAGCAATCAATAGTAAGCAGCTAAGTCTGCGGTTCAACTCGAACGATGATGTATCCTGCCACAATGTCCACTTGATTTTCACCAACTGTGTGAGCTTCGGCTTCTGTTCATTTCTTCCTCGCTGTTGTGTTCGGAGCCAGATGACGAAAGAAGCATTTGTCTCCTCATCTCGTACAGAATGATCGACGCTGCAATTGCTGTGTTCAAACTGTCAACACCATTGTTCGCTGGAACATGCACTCTAGCACCATCGCAGTCCACGGCAAGCTTGTGGGCCTGGAGGCTAAGCCCTTGTGTTTCTCCTCCCACCACGAGAACGCTCGGTACATTGGCGTACCTCACAGCTGTGTACTCGTAACTGGGGCACATCGATCTCCCTGATATCTTCCAACTCATCCATGTCTCGGAACGACTTGTCCACTGTCAACCTCTGCCCGTCTGCAGTCACCGTCCTGTACCTAGACCCCTCATCGTCCACGTCCTCCTCTTCATCATTGGAGGTTTCTGCATAATAGAATGATGTAACAATTAAAGTTCACAATATCACATGCTCTAGCAGTCTACTCAGCCAAACAACAGTCACTAAGTGGGAGGAAGAAAGCTTAGCCTTACAGTTCTATGTACTTAAATCAAACAGTTAGCATGGTGTCTTGTAGGTTTTCGGTGCGTTGTCCAAAATGTCCAGGTGCCGCACATGGCAGCTTGTACATGATTTCCGACGAGCCGTAATGGCGTAGTTTATGGGAAATTTTAGTCTTGAGAAACTTCTATTTTTTTCATTAGCTTTTCGTTGTGCTTGGACATGGGGTGGTATGCAACTAAACATACACTTCACTAGCTGGCTCAAGCAGTTCACGATTTTGTTAAAAATTGCTTGTATCTAGAATTAGCTGCCCTTGGTTTTGTGTGAAGGTGCTTAAAATAACTACAGCAACTTTCCTAGGTGCATTTGTTGTGTGTTTCACCATTTTAGTAATAGTAACTCTTCCTATCCCCACCTACCAATCGCAAATGTATTTGGACTGTGAATACGAGAGCAAAACTTTTGTCGCAGCTAATGCTCCTGCTTGTTCTTAAATAGAAAAAGCACTGCATTGCTCACTGAATTACGAGATTGTAGGAAATTTCGTTAACAATTCTACTCAATTTGCACCAGCAGAGCCATTCCAACTTCAAATTGCTGTGGACTACTATGAAACTTGGTTGAGATGTCTACAGCTTCATTTTCTGTCTATCGTAGAGACTTTCACATCAAGCCTGATGGATAGTTCAGGGCCTAAGCCAAATCAATCAAGGTAACCATATTACATAGTTCGGTGCTTTCAACAGGAGAAACAGTAAGGCAATTAGGAATGTTTGGGTCAAGTAGAACGATGACAGTATGACACTAACCTTCGTCCAGCTCGGTGTCCATCACTGGAGATGGTCTGCGTGCCCCAATAAGTGCTTCGCTACTGGTGGTCCGCTAGGTAAACAGGTGTTTCGGGGCTCACATAGCTCGGCATGTATTCCCAGGCTATGCCACTGTATATTGGTATTCGAAAATGTGACCCAGCACCGGCACGTAGCACTTTCAACTCCCATGGATCCACGCAACCTGAAGCAGTTGAAATGACAACAAAATAGGACAGTTATACAAAATGAAGTAGTGTTTTTATAGTAAGTTAGTCACATATGACCGATCTAGCAGGCATCAGCTAGTGTACTGCTGCCGCTACTGAAACAAAATGATGTCATAAATTGAATTCACTTTCAAATTTCTCATCTCTCAATTGGCAACTATATTAGCTATTAATATGAAAGTTTTAATACAAGCATTAATGAATTAGCATTGAACTGCCCTCCATGCTAGGAAACGTGGTTCCATCAGTGCACTGATACTGAATGAATGTAATTGGCAGGTGCATGCAAATACATTATTTCGAGCTGCACAGGTGTGCATTTAAACTACATTCTTAGACAGTCATCTGCTACAGCTTATGTCGTGAAATTTTTTAGCCGTGGGCTCAGGTGTAGCTGTTTGTAAACAAATAATGGCTATACTACTTAAAAATGTAAACAGTGACCTAACAAGTTCAGATAACTTGTAATGCAATATAACAGCTTAAAAAATCGAGCTATTTAAAATTTTCGACATCACACCTTTATGAGACCACAGATTGTATTATGATGATGGTTGCATGTCTGAAACCTTTACAAATCACTGTAGGTATCCCTCTATTTCGCTATAAATATTTAAGTGTACCAATAAATATTTAGCTTGGTGCTTGTGTGTGAGTGAAAGCACACTCTCAGTGCATTTCTAATTAGCATTTGTAGTCTGCACAGTCTGTCTTGTGAAGTGCAATGTGTAAACACACGATATATCTGTGGCCGCAATGCCATTTTCCCGGCGTGACAGAGACTGGCTATCCCAATTGCTTTCTTTTAATGGTTTACCTTTGGAAAGCAGCAACTGGCTACATCCTGCAGCTGCAGCAGTTCGGATCAGCGTTCCCATGTTTCCAGGATCTCTAACATTGTCCAAAATCATGGCCACAGGGATTGTGTCACCTGATCTATTAAACTCGATTTGGTCCATGGACGGCTTTTTAAACACACCTGAAAAAAGGGAGAGAGAGGGAGAGATAAGAGAGAGACACTATTATACACACGCCCACACGTTAACAAGCAGTTCAGGAAGGCTGAGCTTCGTATGGCTGAAAGTGCTCAAAAGTCGTACTCGGTGCATTTAGAATAAACATTCATAACGGCAAATTACTGCTACGTAATTCGAACTTCCAGATCTTAGGGACGTTAACAACGATTGCTCAGATATGAGTCATCTAAGACTGTGTTCAGTCTTGAGCGGCGCATGTAGGATGTGATGTGCAGCGGTTTGTTAAAATTCGCAAACAACGAAGTCACACGAAATATGCCTTACCCATTACGCCGGGACATGTCGTCATGTCCGACCAAATTTTCATCTTCTTGTAAAACACCTTCTTTATCTGCTCCTCCTGTAGTGTGTCCAAAGGCAGACCTTGGATGTTTTCAGGAAGCGAGAAGTAAATGCTTTCGCACTCAACGCCGGCCTTTAGCGCATCGGCGATTAGTCTCTTTCCTTCCAGCAGGACCTTGTTTAGCTTTTCCCGCTTTCGCTTCATTTTGAGTTGCATCATGGTGTTTCTGTAAGAGAGAACAACCTTAACCCAGTTCTTTCGGTTGCCCCCTTCGCGAGCCATCAACACTCGACTGCGGTACCAGAGGCTCTGGCGGGCGGTACTTACGCGAATTCGTCGTCGTTGCAGCCCAACTTTACGTATCGTGGAACGTTGTCGCTCACTGGCGGTACACTCGTACTACCTTCGGTTTCTGAGGTCGGATAGATGACCTTTTGAGCCGTTCTTACGAAACCCTTCCGACGAAATCGAACCGACTTTACATAGATACCCGACCTAACGTGGTGGCTGCACATCGTAACAAACGCAGAGGCGCTCTTTCCAAGAGTCCCCATGACTTAAGTAAGGAAAAAAAACGCTGAAAACAGGATGCCTGAAGCGTGGGGACTTGCGCCGACTCGCCTATAAACTTAATTTCACTACAGCATGCCGCTAAGTGCATCAATGAGAGCGGCCATTTTAGGTTCCTGATGGATCGGATTGACTACTTGAACAGCAAGTAAATCCGAAACCGAAACTAGAACGAAGACGCGCTTTCTTGCATTCGCGTCAGATCATAAAGGAGGCAATGGTCAGATGTATGGTTTATGAATACCGATGGAATCAGCGCTCGGCGCGAAAAATCTGCGAAAGTTGCAGTGCATTTTTCATGTGGCGGGTGAATGCTCGCTGGTGCGGGAAACGAGGAAGAAAGCGAGACTGTGAACGCGACAGGCGCGTGGTGGCGCGTGATTGGTGTCCCGCCCCCCTATCTCTTCGCCTCGCCTGCGGTACTTGGGCAGCTCGGCACAGGTCACCTTGGGCATCTGGCGAACGGCAGCACTCGGAGCCAGGCCGACCCTGCGACAGCTCGCCGAGTCCCTTTCCAACCCGTGAAGTGCTTTCGCGAGCTTTCGTCGTTCGGGTGAGTGGACGACGGCATCTTTTCGGTTCCTGATTTCAGCGGCCGCGGGCGATTTTCCGCAACAACGCTAGCATTCGAATCGATGCGCGAGCCCAGGGCAGTTTCGCCCTCGGAAATGACACTTCCGTCTAGTGTTACCAAACAGAGGGCCTTGAAAGCCGCGTAAGCGTGCTTATAACTTGAGGGATTAACGCTCGGCACCCATTTTTTTTCGCAACGCACGAAGGCACACTTCGATTTTTCCCGAGGCGCGAAACTCGAGGTTCGAACCGCCTTGCCATCGTCGTCGTCTTCGGTCTGGTGCAACATTACGGCATTATCATTTCGCGTTATACGATGCGATTTATGAGCAGAAACGTACCCCTGCCTTCTCTGATCGCAAACCAAGTTAATCCACGGTGCTTCCTCGATCTTTTCAAATATAGATTATCCAGGAAGATATGCAGTGCAACAGGATGTTTCATTGCATGTGCATTGCAATGGAACTCTAGCTAGCGCGTAAGGTGCATCGTCTTTAAGCCTCTGCAGACTACTCGACGACTTTGTGAAGATAAATTTGCTTCTGGTTTGATCGCACACTTGGTTTAGCTTTTGCATTTAGCATCCTGGTTTAGCTTGGCTCTAACCAGCTTGCGAACCGTGGCCTGAAGGTAATCTTAGCGGGCGCGCGCGCTCTGCCTAGTGTTTTTTTGCATAACGACACTGGTCAGTTCGGGTCGTTGCTCGCGCACCAAACGGGGCAGTGCGTGGCTTGGCAACGTGTCAAGCTGTTGCGCCGCGACCGTTTTACGATCGTAGTACGAGTGAAGATAGCTTGCGCAAGGGCCAAAGGCCATTACAGTTGACGTCCAAGGTGACCTTGACGAAACTTGGTGTATCTTGTTTACCATCGCGGCTACGAGGAGACACGAAACCGATGCGCCAGTTTGGAGGGCCGAGTCTTTCGGTTTCACCTCGAATTACGCGCCTTGGCGTGACTAGGCGCGGGCGCATTCCTCCCGAGGACCGCAGCTGCTGTTTCGGCGTATCGGAATGCGTTGATTGAACTGCACTGTTTGTTTGTTTTTATCCTGGAGTACCGTGCACTCATTTTTAAGCGTTTTTTCTGATCTTCATTCCCCCGTGTTTCGAAAGACGGGACAACGAATAGCAGTGTACCTCGTGAAGGCTTTTCCTGAGGCCATCTATTTAAAGGCTTGACGCGAGGATCCACTACTCTTGGGACCTATGTTTCTGTTGTCGACTTTTCTTTCCGCACAGATGATTTTGGCATTGTATTCACACCACAGGCGTGCATTGACTACCCCCCTCCCCCCCTCCGTCCCCTTAAGTAGCTGTTTTTAAGCTGTAATATTTGCAGGTGTTCTCATATTCACAAATGAATTGCTCTGTTTAAAGCATGCTTAATTGGTATGTCCATTGCCTTCAACCTAACGGCCTGAAAATAGTCTAGCAAAGGTTTTTGGGGTTATGCCAGTTGTCATGTGATTCGTATATGAACCCGTTTTTTTGGGGACTGGCAAACCAAGTTGTCGTGACAATCTTCTGTCACGTCTGTGATACGGGTTATTTTCCAGTCTTCTAACAGTATAGGCAACACTGCAAAGCTGGGGAGACCTCTCTGCTTGCATTCATGACTAAAGAACTTGAACTGGAGATTATTGATTGGGTACGCATCCTGCAGCCCGGTGATGAATTATGTAGTTGTTACAAGAAAAAGCAGCACTAATGTGAGCCACCTCATGTGTAGTATGGTACAGAGCGGCCCCTGTGCACCACTTGCTCTTGTATAATCGAACTGTGGCATGCAACATAACACTAAGGTGCATAATTATGTGGTCTACAAACTCTTGTGTTTAGTCTTACATGTAGTATATGTACTAGTTGTTCTACTTGATGAGTTGGTCGAATGCAGAGTGTACAACCTCATTCATCAAATGCAGTCTATGAAAAAGACAATCTTGGATAATGAAGCCAAAGAATGTTTAAGCCATATGATAACTGTGCCTTTGACTCTGTTATAGTAATTAATATATAAATGTGAAGAAAGTAAATTTCCAGCAGAAAAGATTGCAGGCTTGGTCCACACTCGCGGCAAGTTTTCTTTTTGTCCGCCTTACTTATTTTGCATTTATATCACAATGACTACAGCTGTTAAATCATCAGCCTGACTACGCTTATCCCATAATCTGCCAATCAACCCGGTCTAGAGCTTTCCGTTGCCACGTTATACTTGCGAACTTCTTAATCCCATTGGCCCACCTAACTTTCTCTCCCCTTTGTGCGTTTGCCTTCTCTGATAATTTAGTTAGTTATTTAGTTAGTTACCCTTAATGACCATAGGTTGTGGTGTCTACGTGCTACGTTCCCCACCCATGTCCATTTCTTCTTGATTTACACTGTGATATCCTTAACCCCAGTTTGTTCCCTGACCCACTCTGCTCTCTTCTTGTCTCTTAAGGTTACACCCATCATTTTCCTTTCCATCGCTCGCTGCGTCATCCTCAATTTAGGCTAAACCTTCTTTGTAAGCCTACAGGTTTCTGCTCCATTCATGATTTGAGAATGCTTGCTTAATGTGATCTACCCCATCTTTATTCTAGTTATTTCACTCTCATGGTTCTTTTACAACTTCCAGCGTCTCTCAACCTTTTGCAGAGTGCTGTTTGCTGCAGAGACTGTTGCAGATTACTTTAGTTTTGCGGATATTAATTTTCAGTCCTACTTTTCAGTTTTCTGTGTCCAGTTCGGTAATCAAGTTATCAAAAGCTGTAATTCGTCCACTGAGTTACTCGTGAAGGCAATATCATCGGTGAATCAGCAGTTACTAAGATACTGTTCATTGACTCTTATTCCTCAGTCTTCTTTCAAGTCTAGGGTTCCGAAAACCTCATGTAAACACGCGGTGAATAGCATAGGAGAAATTGCCTTACACCCTTCTTTATTTGGATTCTGTCGCTTTCCTTATGGAGGACTATTGTGGCTGTGAATCTACTGTGGATTTCTTCCAGTATGCTTATGTATCTATGTATTGAGGTTGGTTGTATTCCACGCACTTCTCTATTGCATGATTGATTGTATGAATATGGTATATTGTGGAGTAGCCTGTATGAAATCCTGCTTGGTCCTTTGGTTGATTGAACTCAAATGTCACCTTAATTCTATTAGGTATTATTTTTGTAAATAGTTTGTAGAGAACGGACAGTAAGCTGATCGGCTTGTAATTTTTCAAGTCCTTGGCGCCTTCTTTTTTATGGATTAAGATGATGAGGCGTTCTTTCAAGCTTCTGGTATCCTTCCCATGAAGAGACACTTTGTATATAAGGTGGCCAGTTTTTCTAATACAATTTCTCCGCCATCTTTCAGTAGGTCTGTTGTTACCTCATCCTCACCGGCGACTTTGCCTTTTTGCATTCCTTCTAAGGTTTTTCTTACTTCCCCTGTCGTTACTGGTAGGATATCGAATTCCTTAGGGCTATTTTTGCTTCTTATATCTTCCTGGTTGTTTCGGCTTCTGTACAGCTCTCTACAAAACTCTTCCCCCATCTCAACTATCTTATTCATATTGGTTATGACATTGCATTTCTTGTCCCTTAATGCATACATCCTCTTTTAGCCTATGCACAAGTTTCGCCTTTGCAGCTTTTAGACTTCTGCCACTTTTTACTGCCTGCTCGATTCTCTCCATGTTATACTTTCTGACGTCGGCTACCTTGCGTCTATCACTTCGAAATATCCACTAGCTCTATGTAGTCAGATGCTTTGGAGGCTTTCATGGTTTGTCGTCTCTTAGAGTGACTGCGCATTTGACTTCCTTTGCAAACTTGGATGATACCAGTAAGATTATCGTTCATTGTGTCAACACTTATGTCGGTTACCTCGTTTAGAGCCTCAAATATATTCTGAAGCGAAACTGAATTGTTGTACTTTCTCTTTCTTCGCTAGCTCATCAATTTGCTTCTTGCGTATCAGCATATGCGTTTGCATTTTTAAATCTAGGTAAATACAAGTTCCGGTTACATCAGCAAAGTCAGTATCCTCTAACCTTCCCTTGGCGTCGCTATCGGTTGTATGAGCAGAGAAAGGAGGCCCAGGATGAGCCCTTCTTTCATTCAGCGTACGAGACCTTTAACACAGCAGTGCTTGCAATGACTCGGTGTTGCCCATTGTATATTTTATTAAACCTAAGACAGGCTTGCGATTTAAACCTGACGTTTTAAACATTTCAATAAAACCTATAACAGACATCAGGCATGAGATTTAAAATATAACCTTAAAATTTCAAGCATTTCATTTAAACCTAAAACAGGCGGCTCACTCTCTTACAATACGAGTTTGGATCTACGGTGTGTTTATGTGTATGCACACATTGTCTTGTAGCTAAAAATACAAGATGGCTGGCCACTTCTCCTACCCTCCTCCTGAGATCATGAGGGAGCTCAAGGCCACTGCCGAGGCCATTGTGGCACCTGGCAAGGGAATCTTGGCTGCCGATGAGAGTACAGGTAAACAGATAGCATTGTGGTTTCAAGTAAAACTGTGCCAATAGGCAATATTTTTGGTGTGAAGTGAGCTCGAATATTGAAGTACAAGTACAAATCAAATGCAATGTTTTTCTAATATTTGTTGAATAATTCTAACGTTTCTTGAATCCTTCAAAACCAAGTTGTGGAATAAAAAAAAAAAGTGGAGAGGATCTTTAAGCTTACTATGACAATATAGCAACATTACAGCATTTCTTATCACTAGGTTAACGAAGTGCTGGCAGGGTGGTATTTTATAGTTGTCTTATCAAGAAAGGGGTAATGCATAGGCCAAATTGTAGTAGTACATGATTTTATGCAACTAAAGTGCTTCTGTGGAAGCCCAAATAATGTAGCAGAAAAGTTAAGAGTTCCAAATCTGTCTCATAGACATCAACATACTAGAACACCGTTGAGCTCCCACATCTATTATGTCTAAGATCTCCATGTTGGAGCCAGCATTTTTGAGTCAATACATTTGAGACTATAGCAGAACAGAAAGGCAGCGTTGCGGCAATGCAGGAATGTAATGGGGTGAAGCATTTGGAAAATTTAAAAGGGCCACTTTTAATTGGATTTGTACTGTATTTAAAAAACTAAACCACGGTGAAATTTTAAAGGCAGCTTTGCTGCAATACTGAGGATGCATGAAGTGAAGCATACTACAGATTTGAAGGGTTTTTTAAAATTTGTCGTTTACTGCATTTGTCTTCGGGAAGTTTGAATAGTGAAAATTCCAGTGCGAATAAAAAAGGATAGCAAACAGTATCCGAAAAATATTCGAAATTTCGAATATATGCGAATCTCTAGTTTCAAGCCTATTATGCACAGGTCCACATAAATTCAGCGCATTGTGAGAGATGGGTGACATGCCAGTGCATGATTTAAGTTGTGCAAGGGTATTGGATTTTTCTTCTTAGTTTTTGAACATTTGCGTAATGTTTCCGGACCTTAAATGTTAATTTTGAGCAACTTCATAAGCACTTGCCAATAGTATTCTGCTGATGCAGAGAAATAGTGAGCGCGACCTAAACCTTTGAGTTGATGTAACTGATCATTGCATGGTTCCACCCAGCCTTTGCTGTTGACGCATCACTGTGTCAGTGTAAATTTGTACTAAGTAACCCAAGCCTTTGTAAGAGTGCCAGCATTGTCGTACGCAACTGCTTGTTGTGACCATTCGCAGGCACCATGGGCAAACGCCTGCAGGGAATTGGTGTCGAGAACACGGAAGAGCACCGGCGCCAGTACAGGCAGCTGCTGTTCACCTGCGACGAGCAGATGAACAGTTGCATCAGTGGTGTTATCCTGTATCACGAGACGGTCTACCAGCAGGCCGACAACGGCACTCCGTTCATCAAGATCCTTGAAAACCGTGGCATCATCCCGGGAATCAAGGTGGACAAAGGTGTCGTGCCCCTGATGGGCACTGACGAGGAAAGCACTACCCAGGGTATGCACATAATGTTGTCTTTGAGCTCGGTGCATATTTGGTGTCTCGTGTTTATGTATGCTCTTGACTATCCTTTCTTTGTGAGTGGATTAATGTAGCAGTGTGGTTACGAGAACTTCTCTCTTGCAAACTTGTTTGCAAGAAACTAACATGTGGAACGTTTTTGTCAATATCGTTGCGAGAAAAAGTAAACTAGCCACAGTGCATGGAATTGATTTATTCATTGCGTCGGTAGAATCATAGATCTGATAAAGTGTAATTGCTAGCTAGTGTAATTAGTTTGGAGAAGGCAAATTAGTGTCAGTAGAAGGGCAACTATTGCGAAAGAACAAACTTCAAAAAAATTGTTATGAGGTTTACAACAGTAGCTTCCAAAATTTAGGAAGTATGCTTTTTTAGTGCAGTGCTATTGTACCCTTCAATAACGTGCTAAATATGACCGATGGCATTTTGCATGCTTCGTGGAAGTGGGTAGCCCCTTTGCGCTAGTAAGCAATCTGCAGACCGATACTTTTTGCATCCTGAATGCAATCGGGAATAATGTGCATGGCAGCTTTGCTGTACCGGTGCTAAATGGACATTTGGAAGTCCTATCGATTCAACCACAGGTCGCCACAACTACTCCAAAACTTTGATGGCCATTGACTGGCTGGCCTTAAAAAAAGGCTTGTGTGACATGGGTATTATCAACACTGTAGTATTCAGTACTACAAGGCCATAACTCAGTATGTATGACTTCTTCTGCATTCTTGGCACAAGCTGATTTCTTCTTGTAACCTACATCTCACGTAAAATCTTGCCATCTGTAGGTAGGACAGACCTTGGGGCAGATTTCACTGGGAGTGATTAGAGGACAGAGTGGGACTTGATATGTGTGGAGTCTTCTGGATCCCATTGTACGGTCGTCTTATCTTGAAGCTGGCCTGACATAAGAGATGCTGCAGACTGCAGTGTTTGTGTGCTCTCTCTTATCGTCTATAACTCTTATAGCCTCTTACCCTTGTCTAAACCTGTTGCGGGTGTCTGGTGCAGATAGCCGCTTCAGTTATCTCAAGGTTGCGTTACGCCCAGCCACTTGTAGCAATTTCCAGAGGCACTTGTTTCCCATGTACGTGAGTGTTCTTTAAAATCATAGATTCACTTCATCTTGTAAAATTGCCATTTAATCACCCCCTGCTTGTTTTTTTCCAAACTTGGCACTGTTGCTGCATTTTCAATTGTTTATGCTCTAAATGGAGTCTCTTGGAGCGTGAGAAAGCTTTAAAACACTCAAGTAAAGCATACAGAAAGCTTTCAAAAGCTGACACTATATGTGTAAAAATGGGTGCGTGGATAAAGAAAAACTGTGCTATTGCACAGTGCTATAAACTGCAACAGCAACATACATATCCATTTTTTTCAATGTCATTTCAGGTCTCGATGACCTGACCAAGAGGTGCGTCCAGTACCGCAAAGATGGTTGCCGTTTTGCCAAGTGGCGCTGTGTGCTCAAGATCCGTGACCACTGCCCATCGCCCCTGGCCATCCTGGAGAATGCGAATGTTCTGGCCCGCTACGCAGTCTGCTGTCAGCAGGTGACTCTTTTGATTTCTCATGCCATTTTTTTTTCTTTACAGCGGAGCTGGTGGGCTTTTTGTTGTGTTGTCTCGTACAAGTAGAACCTCTGCCCAGTGTTGCTTGTTCAGCCAAACTTAGCGTAATCTAGCTTAATCTCGATTGACATGGTTGAGACGTTCAGAAAATAGAACTTATCTAAATCTACGAGGTCTTAGCTCGGCCTAATTAAGGTCGATCAAGCCAGTTGTATCAGTTAGTTGACAAGTGATGAATGTTAGCATAGCATAGCCCCAATTTAGCTTTGTTGAGTCATTTGACAGCCTATCACTTATTATTAGCCAGTAAATGCCTATCAATGCATTCAGATGCGGTGTTGTGCTCAGCTGCCGACCCGAAAGTTGCGGGTGCGATCCCAGTCGCGACGGTCACGTATTGATGGAGTCGAGATGCTAGAGGCCCATGTACATGCTGACGTCTGTGCATGGTTGAAAAACAGCAGATGATCGGAATAACTGGAACTTTCCACTACGGCATCCCTCCTCAGATTGTGGTTTTGGGATGTAAAGCATCTGATATCATTCTATTACTCATTAAGGCACAAGCAGTGGCAAAAATGCATGCCGAAGCTCACGAGATGCTGGAACAAAGTTTAAATATCGGCAACTAGCCATTCGAAATCAACCGATACACCTGCCTTAATTTCTTGATTACTGAAGTACTTCTGTAGAAAACCGAGGTATTAGATTTTCAAGTAATGATTGAGCTTTCACTCTGGCACAAAACATTATTTGCCTATCAGTTTTACAGAATACGATTGTGCCGTTCGGCTTCACTGTGACCTCTTGGTTAATCCAACGGCTGCAGGCGGGCCTCGTGCCCATTGTGGAGCCAGAGGTGCTTCCTGACGGAGACCACGACCTCGAGCGGTGCCAGAAGGTCACCGAGCAGGTGCTGGCCGCTGTATACAAGGCCCTGAATGACCACCATGTCTACCTGGAGGGCACTCTGCTCAAGCCCAACATGGTGACCCAAGGGCAGAGCTGCACGAAGAAGTACAGCCCGCAAGACGTGGCCCGTGCCACCGTCACTTGCCTGCAGAGGACTGTGCCGCCCGCCGTTCCCGGTGTGTACAACTTCTGCTTCCGGCACTAAAAGCTGCAATGCTAGCTTAGAATAAGAGCTGCATAAGTTTGTATGTGTTTGTGTTAAGACGGCCGTGCAAGCGTTTGTGGAGTCTTCACTTCTCTTTTGTGTCAGTGTTTGAACGTTGTCTTTTGAAATGCAGTGCCAGGAAACAAAGGCGCCTGCTCTCAATCTCCAGCATAATGCCTCTCCACCAGTGGCATCATAATGACAAGCCAATGAAGCAAATATATAGGGGACATCACTTCTTGTATGTGTAGTAATTATTACATAACTGACAAGGAATGGAAGTAATTGAAAAATTTGCCACACATCTGGACCACTTCATTCACAGCAGCAGTCACTATCCCACCCACTTTTGAATGCGAGGAATTTTTGGAGAACTGCAGTTACTTTGAGGGTTTCTATCTGCATCTATACAGTTCCCTCAGTAAAAGGAAATTTGTTAGAACTGCTGCTTAAGGTGGGACGCGGCCCTTAAAAACCGAAAAATCGCGAAAAAGTCGGTTTTTGAAAAACCGACATTTTTGGGTTGTATGTCTCATAAACTACCTATTCTGTAATTATCAGCACCTAATTCAATCGCAAAGTGCAAAAAAAAATACCGTATTTACTCGGTTCTACCGCGCCCTCGATTGTAACGCGCACCCGATTTCCACCGCGAAAAAAAAAAAAAACGCAAGACATCGATTGCAACGCGCACCCATTTTTCTCGCTGGCCCGCACGATCACACCATTCGAAAAAACGACTCCTTTCGGGAGCGTCTTCCATTTAAATATGAGGTACGGGCGAAGCTTGTGCCCAGCTGACGTGTAACAGAGCATTGCAGTCACTGTAGTTTTACCGTGGACCGATGTCAGCACGCGAACTTGCTTCGCCCCGTTCTTCTCGACGGTTGTGGTGCCAGGCATGTCAAAGTAAAGAAGCGTCTGACCAGCATTCCCGATTTGCCCAAGCAGGTAGCCGTTGTTGCGCCGCAAGTTTAGGACGAACCTCTGAAATTTGTGAAGCTTTTCATCGTACTCCACTGCAAAAATTTTCGCATATGCATGTTCCCCTTCGGAGGGAAAAGCCTTACCTCTTCATAAAGTTAGTTAACCAGCACCTGCTCGCTTTAAACTGGCTCCGCATTAGACCTTTTTCTAAGACTAATTGCATAGCCCGCACTTGAAGCAGTTTTGTTGTCACGGGCCGCTGTGCCGCTCGCTGCTCAAGCACATACTCGCCGAGCAGCTCTTTAATTTGCGGATACCGACCCTGCTGTGGTCCACTGAAGCCTTTGCGTGAAGCTTTGCTGTCGACAATCTTCTGCTTTTGTTTCCGCCGGTCCTGCACGCACGTTTCGGGAACTCCGAACGACCGCGATGTGGCCCGATTTCCGTCCGTTTCTGCACACGCGATGACTTTTCTTTTAAAAGCGGCATCGTGGTGCACTCGAGTTTTTGGAGTCTGCCCTTCCACTGCCGTCGATGCTAATGCACTACTAGATGACGAACTCCTCAGTACACGTACGAAGTGCCGCACATGGGAAACACATAGGCAGAAATGGCCGACGCGCCATGCCGACGCACAGTAGGGGGCGGCCATTTTAGATTTGCCAATGGCAATAGATTGACCGCAATTTTTTCGTTCGTACTCAATTCTAACGCGCATGCGACTTATGAACTCGCTTAACCGGAAAAAAGGTGCGCGTTAGATTCGAGTAATTACGGTACTATTTTCGATGCCGCCACGGCGTCCAAAACAGCCGCAAATCCCGAAATCAAACCAAACTTCGCGCGCGCGCCATTCCCGGACCATGCGGTCGTCCCGCGCCATCTTGGTGTTGTTTTGACCGTGAATTCTTTCTCTCTCGTTCGCCGCCTTGCAAAATGGCGTCGGCAGCACAGTTGAGACGCTGTTGGCGTTTTCCCGCGATGCGATGCGGAGCGCTGATTGGCTAGAGCAGCGCATTCATATCTCGCGGGAGAAAGCGTGCCCGCCATTGGCTGCTGTGCAGCAGCGGGGGCGGTCGCTCCTCTCGATGGCGCGTCCAGCGCGCTCGCTTCGTTGTTGCTCTCTGCTCCGTCCGCCTCGACAGACGTCTGCTTACGAGCCGCTCTTCGCCTTGTGCTATCTTTTCGATCATTTTCTCTCGTTTTTTTTCCTTTTTGCACTAGTTCTGTGCCTTTCGTCTTTGTTGTTGCGGGCGATGCCGGCAACGAAGCCGAAGTCGGTGCGGAAGTCCGGTGCGCGGAGGCGCGCTATGCGGCTTGTACGATCATCGAAATTCCGCTATTCTGCTGCGGGTGCCGACTGCGTAGACTCTTGCAGTGACGGAACTGTGTTGTCGGCTGTCGCCAGTCGAGAATCCGACACATCGAGTGTGGCTGGAGCCGCAAATGCACAGTGTGTTTCCGATATCGCCGGGCTCGACATGTGCTCCGAATCGATGCCATCCAGTGTGACACCGAGTGCTTCCGATATCGCCGGACCCAGCACTTCGTCTGAATCGGTGCCGCCATTGAGCTGAGTGGACCGTCGCTTTATCTGCGGACGCGTTTACTAACGAAGGAAGAAATCGATGCGAATGCGAAACGTCGTGACGTCGTTCGCGCTGAACTCGAGTCTACGCCGGCGACGCAGAAGAAATTTCAACTGATGCAGCCGGTTCTTGCACCTGCAGTGACAAGTGAGGGCGCACCTTTTTCGCTCGTTCAAATGAACATCTTTAACGTCATGCTCAGCCGCACAGTGTGCAAAGAATGTTTGAAAGGTGCTATGACTGTCCGAGAGAGCACCAAGCTTGGACTTGCCACAAAACTTGAAGTCGTGTGCGCCTGTTGTGGCACCGTCGATAAATTATGGACATCACCCCGCAAAAAGTACACGCAGGCCTTCGATGTAAATGTCCGCGCCATAATGGCTATAAAGCAAATAGGCAAGGGGCAAACAGCTCTTAATGACTTTTGGGCTGCCATGAACGTCTCTTACAGAGGTCTTCACCACAAGACGTTTCAAAAGCACTTGAAAGAGACGTTCAGGAAGCCAGAGGCCACCGCTTTGGAGAAGTTTTATGCTGATTCTGCCACAGCAGTGATCAAAACATATAAAGAAATGGACCCCAGCTTCTGCGAGAACATCACCGTAGTGTACGATGGCACATGGCATAAGCGGGGTCACACATCGGAGTGGGATCGGTAATTGACTTCTTTACAGGTCTCATCTTGGATGATGTAATTCTTTCAAACCACTGCCTTGGATGCCAAACAGGGCCCAAACCTGGAGATGCAGCATACGAAAGCTGGCAGAAGCACCACATTTGCCAGAAAAACACAGATGCAAAATCGGGAAGCATGGAAGTGGAGGCAGGCTTGACTCCCTTTGGGCGGTCTGTATCCAAGCATGGCCTGCGGTACACCACTCTTGTGTCCGACGGAGACAGCCGTACCTTCGCTGCCCTCACAGAAGAGAATGTGTACGGGCTAGTGCCAATTGTAAAAGAAGAATGTCAGAACCATGTTCAGAAAAGGATTGGAAGTGCTCTTCGAAACATTGTGCAGAAAAGTGATAAGCCACTGAGTGGGAAGGGGAAGCTGACTAAAGCCCTCATTGAAAAGCTGACAGGATTGGGCCCTGAGAAACAATTCAACTGACCTAACAGCCATGCAGCGTGCAGTGATGGCAACATATCACCACGTCACATCGACTGACCAGGACCCTCACCATGAACTTTGCCCAGAGGGGGCTCAATCATGGTGCCGCCATAGAGCTGCAGAGCCAAAGCGTGAGCCACAGCCAAAACATACACAGCCTACCGGACTATGTCGCTGCAGCTATGCTGCCCATCTACGAAAGACTGTCACAAAAGTCTATTCTTCAGCGCTGCCTGGGAGCGAAGACGCAAAATGCATCAGAATCATTCCACTCCATTCTGTGGTCTCTGATGCCGAAGGAACAACGCTCATCCTTGATCGCGGTAGAAACAGCACTGCATGAAGCAGTGCTGCGCTACAATGCCGGCTGCTGCAAAGCAACCCAAGTGATATCGGACTCCATTGGACTTCAACCAGGTCATCTGGCCATCCAGCGAGCTCGTGAAAAAGACGCTTTACGTCTAAAAAAGAATTCTAAAAGACACCAAGAAAAAATAGAGGCCAGGCTAAAGAAGAAAAGAGTGCGCCAGGACACTTCTAGCTACTGTGCTGGAGCTTTTTGAAGAAAACACGTGTTTTGAACTTTCTCGGCCTGTTTTCTCAGAACGGATTTTTTTTGCTAGTTGTGGTGCTGAGGAAAGCAAGAACTCGAAAACCGTTCATCAGATTTGTGTGCCATTTTTTTATTCTGTTCCTGAATGACCTTGCAAGGGCGTAACAAGCTCCTTTTTTTGAAAATTGGTGCTGTTAATTTATAATAAACAATTAATTTTTGATGAATCTGCTCAACACTGGTTACATCAAATTCAAAGTTGCGTGAAATTTTGGGGGGGGGGGGGGGAATAAAAAAAAACGGCTTTGTAGCGCCCTGGGATAGCTATCAAGGAATGACCACAATGAATTTCAGCTTTCTACTATGTCCTGGGATTTCTCACGACTCTTCCTCAGGCACCCATGTGAAGCACCCAGTTAAACCTCAATAACTCTGGAACTAAGAAACACAGCTTCGTGAAACTTAGCAGTTGTGCTAGTTTAATTGTAGTGAACAACCCCTGAAAGTTTCATCCAGATATCTTAAAAAATAAAAAAAGTTCGGTCTCCAGGGTAGCCTCCTCCCTTAAGAAAACTGCGTGCAGCGCGATTGGTTTCATGCTTGGATAAAGAAATGGACCCCAGCTTCTGCAAGGACATCACCGTAGTGTACGATGGCACATGGCATAAGCGGGGTCACACATCGGAGTGGGATCGGTAATTGACTTCTTTACAGGTCTCATCTTGGATGATGTAATTCTTTCAAACCACTGCCTTGGATGCCAAACAGGGCCCAAACCTGGAGATGCAGCATATGAAAGCTGGCAGAAGCGCCACATTTGCCAGAAAAACACAGATGCAAAATCGGGAAGCATGGAAGTGGAGGCAGGCTTGACTCTCTTTGGGCGGTCTGTATCCAAGCATGGCCTGCGGTACACCACTCTTGTGTCCGACGGAGACAGCCGTACCTTCGCTGCCCTCACAGAAGAGAATGTGTACGGGCTAGTGCCAATTGTAAAAGAAGAATGTCAGAACCATGTTCAGAAAAGGATTGGAAGTGCTCTTCGAAACATTGTGCAGAAAAGTGATAAGCCACTGAGTGGGAAGGGGAAGCTGACTAAAGCCCTCATTGAAAAGCTGACAGGATTGGGCCCTGAGAAACAATTCAACTGACCTAACAGCCATGCAGCGTGCAGTGATGGCAACATATCACCACGTCACATCGACTGACCAGGACCCTCACCATGAACTTTGCCCAGAGGGGGCTCAATCATGGTGCCGCCATAGAGCTGCAGAGCCAAAGCGTGAGCCACAGCCAAAACATAAACACAGCCTACCGGACTATGTCGCTGCAGCTATGCTGCCCATCTACGAAAGACTGTCACAAAAGTCTATTCTTCAGCGCTGCCTGGGAGCGAAGACGCAAAATGCATCAGAATCATTCCACTCCATTCTGTGGTCTCTGATGCCGAAGGAACAACGCTCATCCTTGATCGCGGTAGAAACAGCACTGCTTGAAGCAGTGCTGCGCTACAATGCCGGCTGCTGCAAAGCAACCCAAGTGATATCGGACTCCATTGGACTTCAACCAGGTCATCTGGCCATCCAGCGAGCTCGTGAAAAAGACGCTTTACGTCTAAAAAAGAATTCTAAAAGACACCAAGAAAAGATAGAGGCCAGGCTAAAGAAGAAAAGAGTGCGCCAGGACACTTCTAGCTACTGTGCTGGAGCTTTTTGAAGAAAACACGTGTTTTGAACTTTGTGGTGTACACGTATCCCGAAGGAGTACGGCCACCAGCGTGGGTCCGGTCTTAGCGAGCCGCAGGGCACGCGTTAACCGTCGCCGTGGCGGGAAACACGATACTGCTCAAGTCGCAACACTTTATTGTGGCAACACCAAACGCAGTACAGCCCGTTGCAAATAGGCGCGGCGGGAAAGCAAGTAGGCTTATCCACGCCACGGGCACAAAGTACTACACAGGGGTGCCACGAGCACGTCTCCGCGGTAAAGCTGACCCACGGAGACACCGGGACAAAGGGGCCCGGTTGCTCGAGCGAGGGCAAAGGCGCTCGCGTTGGCTTCGAAGGGAGACGGGTCGGCGTAGCTAGGCCACGCACTAGGACACCGTACTGCCCTTCGGCCGTGAGTACGCAGCGGGGCAACAAAAGGTGAGCGTTCGCATCGGGCGCGAGGCGCCGTCAGCGAAGTCCGACGAGCCCCGAGCGACGGGACTCGACGGACGGAAAAGAATGCGTGGCTCACCGTTTGAAGTCCCGGACTGTACTCCCGCTCCCGACGCAGCGCGCGAAAACCTCTTGGGAGGCTCCCCGCGCGGCGCCATAGTCAACATCCGCTACCGGGTGAGGGAGTTAAACGTCACTCCGCCCTTCCCAGCGCGGCTGACGGCAAAGGAGGGCAGACATGTCGGGACATGAGAAAAGAGGCGGCAAAGCCCGCGCAAAGGCAGCGGGCCAGCCTCAATTCCCACATCCCCCTCTCCTAAATTTGCCCTTTACCGGTCTGCAAAAGGCAGCCGGACGTCACCCATGCAGTTAAAATGACATTGCTATGAGCGACAGCTAACCTCAGTCCAGCCCTGCTACTGCTGCTTAAAAGAAATATGATTACAAAGGAGAAACAAAAACATAATAAAATAAACACACGACACTATACAAATACTGCAGAAGGGAGCACAGCAACGTGGCACTAGTGTTCGTGGTGCTAAAGGGGGATAGCGTCCAGTGCGCGGAGGTGCGGTAAAGGCGTGACAGTGTCCGCTGGGTGCGATGCCGAGTGCGAGGTCACAGGTACCGGAAGGGGGCTCACTGATGGCTTGTTGCTGCCCCACGTTGGGCGCCAGTATGGTGTACACGTATCCCGAAGGAGTACGGCCACCAGCGTGGGTTCGGTCTTAGCGAGCCGCAGGGCACGCGTTAACCGTCGCCGTGGCGGGAAACACGATACTGCTCAAGTCGCAACACTTTATTGTGGCAACACCAAACGCAGTACAGCCCGTTGCAAATAGGCGCGGCGGGAAAGCAAGTAGGCTTATCCACGCCACGGGCACAAAGTACTACACAGGGTGCCACGAGCACGTCTCCGCGGTAAAGGTAATCCACGGAGACACCGGGACAAAGGGGCCCGGTTGCTCGAGCGAGGGCAAAGGCGCTCGCGTTGGCTTCGAAGGGAGACGGGTCGGCGTAGCTAGGCCACGCACTAGGACACCGTACTGCCCTTCGGCCGGGAGTACGCAGCGGGGCAACAAAAGGTGAGCGTTCGCATCGGGCGCGAGGCGCCGTCAGCGAAGTCCGACGAGCCCCGAGCGACGGGACTCGACGGACGGAAAAGAATGCGTGGCTCACCGTTTGAAGTCCCGGACTGTACCCTCCGCTCCCGACGCAGCGCGCGAAAACCTCTCGGGGGTCCCCCGCGCGCGGCGCCACAGTCAACATCCGCTACCGGGTGAGGGAGTTAAACGTCACTCCGCCCTTCCCAGCGCGGCTGACGGCGAAGGAGGGCAGACATGTCGGGACATGAGAATGGCAGAAAAGGCGGGAAAGCCCGCGCAAAGGCAGCGGGCCAGCCTCAATTCCCACAACTTTCTCGGCCTGTTTTCTCAGAACGGATTTTTTTTGCTAGTTGTGGTGCTGAGGAAAGCAAGAACTCGAAAACCGTTCATCAGATTTGTGTGCCATTTTTTTATTCTGTTCCTGAATGACCTTGCAAGGGCGTAACAAGCTCCTTTTTTTGAAAATTGGTGCTGTTAATTTATAATAAACAATTAATTTTTGATGAATCTGCTCAACACTGGTTACATCAAATTCAAAGTTGCGTGAAATTTTTTTGGGGGGGGGGGGGAATTTAAAAAAAACGGCTTTGTAGCGCCCTGGGATAGCTATCAAGGAATGACCACAATGAATTTCAGCTTTCTACTATGTCCTGGGATTTCTCACGACTCTTCCTCAGGTACCCATGTGAAGCACCCAGTTAAACCTCAATAACTCTGGAACTAAGAAACACAGCTTCGTGAAACTCAGCAGTTGTGCTAGTTTAATTGTAGTGAACAACCCCTGAAAGTTTCATCCAGATATCTTAAAAAATAAAAAAGTTCGGTCTCCAGGGTAGCCTCCTCCCTTAAGAACAACTGCCTGCAGCGCGATTGGTTTCATGCTTGGATTCTCCACCCTAGTTCACCTTTCGGTGAACAAAACTCCTGTTTAACGGAACACATTTTCCTGGTCTCTTCAAGTTCTGTTTAATGCCAATCTACTGTATGTCGCCTCTTTAGCTTGGTGTGGACCAAAATTGCTATGGGAGAATAAGAGGGTTTGAGGAATAAGACTGTCTGGTTACGACGTGAATAACGTGAAAGTCCTTTCACTCGCACATAGGTCTGCAAATAAATTGGAGCTCGGTAGACTTGCTCAAGAAGTATACTTTGCTCCGAGGACTCGCTCCCCAAAAATTTCCTCAACTGTGAATTATTCACTCACTCGTGAGCCAACTCGAGATTCCGTTGGCATAAAATTAGCTTTTCAATCTTGGTGTCAATGCTCTTGAATGCCAATATCTCGTCTAATTGTCGGTCTGTGGTATGCTTTTATATCTTGTACCTTCAAATACGACTTGTCCTTTTTTGTGAAACACTAGACTCTCAACAGATATTTGTATCGGAAATTTCCCTTGAGAGAACCAACGCCTCAGATCAACAAATGAAGTGAGACTATACTGCCAACGGTAGTGCTGAAGAGTAGATGGCATTATAGGTTGGCAATTAAAGATCAATCACTCACTCGCGAAATATATTTCGTACTTAGGTCCCACTTGAACTCGCTCACCAATATTTTCCTCAACCAGACTTTATCCGACACTCCAAAGTATTACTCGCTCAGACTCGTAGCCTGAACAGTCTAAGCAAGTTGACTTATTCGCTGACCTATGCTCTTGCATAGTCGTATCCTTTACAATGTTTGGCACATAACCCGTATACGATAGGTGGCTATGCACCACAGGATATTGACAGTTAAAATCTGCCCTGGAATGGTGAAGGCAGACATTAGTAACCTAAATGAATTGCAAGGCTTGGTGCTTAAAATTAACCGAACTTTACTGGCACATACTGCAGGGGCAGCAGTAAGAGTCAAGCTGATAAACAAATCTCCATACTTCTGGGCATGTTCTGCTATGTTTACTTCAATCATGATGAGTCTGTGCATTCAACACGCAACCCCTGTGGCACATACCCGCTCTAGAGCAAGTATGTGCAACCGGTGGCTACGTACATGCATACATACGTCAAGCACCCACAAGTGTACAGTGCTGTAGTGTGGCCAGCAGCGCAAATGGAGATACAAAAATTACATAGAAACTATTGCTGAATCGCAAAGGATTGCCTTAGAGAAGGGAACACAAACACAGCCTGTCGAGCAAGGCACCTTTCATATGTGCGGACCTTCGTCAATTCTCATGTGCTTTTCATGGCAGCTGTGAAATGTACCGAATAATGGGCAACGTAAAGTTTCGTTGTTTCAGATTGTTTGCTCATTGCATGACGTGGACATTGCATTTTTGTGGGCGTGCAGGCGTCGTGTTCCTCTCTGGAGGACAGTCTGAGGAGGAGGCATCCATCCACCTGGATGCCATCAACAAGTACCCTGCCAAGAAACCGTGGCACCTGACCTTCAGCTATGGCCGTGCCCTGCAAGCCAGTGCCCTGAAGGCCTGGAGCGGCAAGCCTGGAAGCGTCAAGGCTGGCCAGGAGGAGTTCCTGAAGCGTGCCAAGGTGAGTTGTGCATGCTGGTGCCTTATGCGGCTGTCTCTTGAGGCATGAATTTGCTCTCTAGCAAGCTGTCCTCAGAATGGAAACATTTAGTTTGGGTAATAAGCTACATACAGAGGCAATACATAAGATCTCTTTGAGGGTGCTGTCAAGGTTTTAAAGACACAGTAAAGACAAATAACAATTTTTCAGAGCGAAAGCTCGATCTACGACATCTAAAACTGTATTATCAACAGCTGTGGCCTGCTTACCATTGCACGACATTTGCCACGAGTGGGACATTCTTGAAACTATCCCAATAACGTGAGAGCATTAGACTACAGTTAATTGCCAGTAATCAACTAGCTGCCATAAAAAGCCTTTCGTGGGTAAGAGATATAATATTATACTGATTATTCATTTGTTTGATTTATAAAAAAAGAGCCGCCCGGCTTTACTATGGGAAATGGTGTGAGTAGTTCAAAATTTCAGTTTTCGCTTGGTTAGGCTGTGCAGCTGGTGCCATCTAGTGGGGCCCAGTTCAACTAAGCAAGCAGAGTATTATTCGGCAGCTGTCGTTGCTGCTGCGCCTTCTGCTACTGTTGCTCTGCTGCTACTAGTGTCAATGGCCACGCAGTAAAGCCGGGGATTTGAAGTGAACTAATGCGATGCGGACCACTTAAACGTGATTGTACTTCAAAAGCATTTACTTGGCACAAAAGTAGCACTACAAGGCTTTTGGATTGCTATTGCAGCAACGTTGACTTGATATGCCTTTAATGTCCCTTTAAAAAATTGAGTGATGGTCTCTGGATGTTACTACCAGCAGAAGTAAAGCCATTGCTGCCTACCAATCCTTTCATCTTCATGGCAGTCTAGCTGCAGAATTATCACTTTCAACTGTTTTCACTCTCCTGATGAAATTTATCGTCTAAATTAAAAAAAGAAAAGCTTATTATTATAGACTAAACTGCAGTTATCTGGGTGGTCGTATAACGATTTGCCATAAAATATTGATATACGATGCTTAAATATTGCCTTAAACATGTATTTAACAGTATCAATAGGAAACCACCTCTGGTTTTACATTAGGTATCAAGATTATCACCTGCGTGGGGTTTAAAAGGACACTAAAGTCAACTATTAAGTGGACGTTGATTGTTAAAATGGCGGTCCAGAAACCTTTTAGTGTTACTTTTGTGCCAAGGAAGGGCCTATTTTGAAATAAAATCAAGTTTTAGTGCTCCGTATCGGGTTAGCGCTCTTCAAATTACCAGCCTCAAGAAGCGGACAGACCGGACCAGACTTGTCACTGTTTCCGCGCACAACGTTGCCTGGCTTTACTGCGCTAGTAAAAGCAGCAGGAGCCACACCACCAACCACAGCCATTGATCAATTTCTCGCCATTATCTTCAAGATTGCAGACGCTTTTGTTTCAACTGCTCCCCGCTAGATGGCACCACCTGTCTCGTGTAACCACGCAAAAATTGAATTTTTGAACCCACAGTAATGTCCGGCGGTTCTTTTTTCCGTGAATCAAACAAACTGACAAGCAGCATTTTATTGCGTCTCTTGATGCAGGGACGGTTCTTTATTTAGTGCAGTTAGATCGATTACTAGCGATTAATTGTAGGCAGTCCGTCTGATGTCATCGGGATCATTTTGAAAATGTCCTACTGCTGCGCTTGTGTTCTTGTGCATTTACCTTAATTTCTCAGTAAGTAGGGCACTGTTGTTGATAATATTGTCTTTTTAGATGTCATACATTGAGCTTACAATCTGATGTAAATTGTTTGATTTTAGCGTCCCTTTAAGCAGTGCCTTTTTAGTGTACAAAGATTAAGGCTATTTAATGAAAATGGAAAGGAGGTCTCTTTAGTAATAGGCAATAGGTTCATTGCCTGTGGCTACACTGGGTCAAATACGGCAAACAAGCTTCAACCAGACACCTACAGGTTTATTAGGAACTCTGCCTATGCAATACGTGTGAAGTGCTAAGGATGTTCAATTCGTGTTAAAATGATTATACATAGTGTAATATAACTCTTAAAAATATAATATAGGGTATATAACACATATTGGCAATTCGTGTCAATTTTTCAGTGTACATTAAAATTTTTTTGTAAACTAAGCAATATTGTAATACAGAATACTCAATCTCGTTATTCATAGTGATTGTTGCCATGTGCCTATCATTACATAGCAGACTGAGCTTACCATTTTCAGTTTCTCAACATTCAGTTTGCGATTGCAGTCTCTTGGGCATGGTAAGTTTGCGATTGAAGCGTAGCATGTTGCTGTGCTGCATGCTTTTTAGTGTAGCGTCGGCTGCACGGTAGTTTCGCATGCTGCACGCGTTTGCATTTCAACACGTGTACTGGGCAATAGGATGCTGCGTAAAACTTGACCGGCTTGTATGCCTTGCACAGTAGAACCTCTTGAGCGCGCAAATACCACAAACGATGTAATAGACAGAATTGCTTCCACATTGTTCAGGCTTGCCTGATGGCACAAGCTTCCTGCTTTTTTACTAGGAGACAAAATTTCAAATATCTCAAGATAACAAGCCAGAATACTGACCTTGTGTGATAAAATCAGTTGTATCAGTCTGAAAGACCAGTGATAGCTTTTAAAAAAAAAATGTGCTCTGTTAGCTTGGCAAGCTACTAAGTTACCAACAATTACAGGACGCCCTGTGCATGCCACCATGCAGTGCTGTGTAATATCAGATGTGATGTGGCATTTTCATGTCCGTTAACTACAGGCCAGGTTATACGGTATGCAAACAAGGGTATGAGGGTCTGTTCTCAAAACAAGGCCAGTCAATTGCGGCAAGCGTGGAACACATTCAGCTATGTGTGCATTAGAAAATATTCAGATGTACGCGAAGCTTCACCAGACTTCTAATTATGGGGGAGGACTGCCACTGAAAACTTTGCTGTCGCAACATTTGTTGGAATGCAAAGAAATGTTTTTAGTAACGCATGTTCTTTTTTTGTTTCCTTTATTGCCACATTCCCTTCTCCCCCCGTTTCCTCTCCCCTCTTTTATTTTCCAATTTATTTTAGGCTAACCACTTGGCTTGCCAAGGGCTCTACGCCGCTGGTTCCATTGCGAGCCTGGTCGCCGATCAGTCCAACTTTGTCCCCACCCACTCCTACTGATTTTGCTTCTTTTTTTTCTTTAGTCATGGCACTGTTTTACCTGCCTTAATTCCTTCGTTTTCCTTGCCCATTCTGTTTGGGGAAGCACCTTGTATTTTCTGTTATGTTTTCCTTGATTATCTGCCGACCCTGCCTGTACAACTTTTTTTTTTCTTTACTCTTTTGAATGCACGAGAGTTCCCTACACTTCCTGCGATTGCACTGCTTCGCCCCTGAGCACCGCTTTGCTAAAGAGTTAATTACTGTTGTTAATTTTGCTCGACGACTAGATGAGCAAGTTGACGATACCTTTTGTGATCATGGTACCTTGACGTATTTTTGTACTTGTACGCATGGAGCCACTTGCTGCTGTGTAGCTGATTGCATTGTTTACAAACTTGTTCACATTTTAGCCAGATTTTACTTGCATTTGTGCAACCATATTGTTGGCTTTATGTGCAATAGTGGCCCAGTTTCTTAATACACTTTGACATTCCTCTAGAGACCATTGTTTATTTGCACACTTTTCAGAATGTTTGCCTGAACTAGTTATAACAAAATGATCTACTGTAGAAGGTTGCTTGTGGTTACGAGAATGTTTTGTTTGACGCTTCTACGCATGCTTGTATATTTGAGAGTTCTTGCAAGTCTTAATATTTGCACGTGTTGCATGCTATATTAGGCATTCCTTTTGACAAGCGTGTGCTTCTGTTTTGCGATGCCTCGTTTATCACCAGATTGGACCAGAATGTGTACACGCGGTTTTTACGAAAACTTTGCATTGCACGACTTGGTTTGCTCAAGAGCTCTGTGAATTTTTTATTTTGCTGTCACTTTAATTTTTGTTGGAAATGTTACGTTTTGCATTTTTCTTGCCATACCTCTATATACAAGTCCCTTTATTTACGAAAGAAAATTTTTTTGTAGGCAATGTTATGTTTTGCATTTTTCTTGCCATACCTCTATTTACAGGGCCCTTTATTTACAAAAGAGAATTGTGTACAGAAAAATATTTTTTATGGACTCTTGTATTACTCTTGTATTAAAAACGCATGATTATACAAGCCTTGTGCCAAGCGAACCACCCATAGTAGGCAACAGGTTGTTTCGATTCTGCTATCTGCATTACTAGTTATATGCCAGAAATGTGCCGTTCTGAGAAGTGTGCAGCCTTATGTAAAACGTGCCACCAGCTGGTGATGGCGATTTATGTAAATCTACGCCAAGTATGTGAAACTGTTGCACTCTTAGTCTTCTGCACTGTTATATGCCAGAAATGTACTGTTTAGATAAGAGTTGCCTTGCTTATGGGAAATGCGCCTCCTGCCAGTGATCCACACCTAGGATGTAAAGGGTAGTTGCGTGCAACTAAACTGTTGGACAATGTGTTCTGTCTTCAACACAGGCCAACCACGAAGCTTCTCTGGGAAAGTACGGCGGTGGCGTTACTGGAGCAGCTGCCTCGGAGATCCTCTTTATCAAAAACCACGAGTACTAAGGGGCCCCCGAAACTTTCCTCTTTCGACTAACTGTCATAGCACTTGTCCCCGCACCTTTCAGTGCTGCTCCCAGTTAGTCTTATCTAAATTGTAACCTCCTCCTGTGTGGTTTGGACATTCCCATTATGCTAGCTCCATTATTTGGTGTTCCCAAGACATTTGATGTCCTGTGCACAATAAAAGTTGAAGAGCTGACCCGTCGTATTGTTTTTGCTTACGCACTCTGTAGGTACAACTGCATTTTACGAAAATGTGCAGTCTATACTCTTGCATCTCTCCTTAAGAGGTTAGGAGCTGGACAAATTTTTTTCATTTGTGCCTTCATGAATTCTAGTTTTTTTTTAAGTCCCTCACACGGCGCTCCACCTTCACACAAGAATGCATATGAACTATAGCTGGCACTTCACTTCACACGGCGCTCCACCTTCACACGAGAATGCATATGAACTATAGCTGGCACTTGGTAGTTGCAGTCCGGCATGGCGCTATGCTCGGCTCTGTCACTTGAAGCCTGTAATTCGAGACTGGGCTTGTTTCAGATAATGGGAGATTCCAAAAGTTCCATGCACACAGTGATGCAGGATGAAAATGCCAGTTTGCCATCATTTTTTGCCTGCATATCTTTCCAGAAGATGCAGGCAGAAGCAAAGTGCAGGTCTGTTAAAAGTAAACACACACCATCAACATTGGCTCTGGCAGTGATAATGGGAAAATAGAACTGTGAAGAAAAAATCTTCAGGTTTCTTGAAGCTTTGGTGCACTCATTTGCACGCACCAGCATTAGATTGGACGCTAATTGGGCCCCATGCACGCTCATAGTGGTTGCTAAGCATCCTAAGGTTGATGCGAGTTTTCACATTTATTGGCCTTCACAAGTTTTACAAATGAAAAAAGTTTTACACCTGTAAAAAACTATTTTGCTTGTCCTTATGAATTTTCTTTTGTTATGTCGTGTTTCGTAAATTGTAAATAAGGTGAAGCACGGGGGAACTTGGCGCTCACTCTGTTGGCGTGTCAACTACAGGATAGATAGATTTCAAATTGTGGCAGGCAGAGAACAGAAGCTGCAGCGAGCTAAGTCAACAAGTCGGCCATGCCAGGTACTCCTTGTTGGTCCCTACGTGGGGGGGGGGGGGGGGGGAGGTGCACGCTATACGCCAAGCGCGTAATTATAGGCCGCTTTTTCCTATGAAATTCTTGTAGTTGCAGTTTCAAAATTTGCGAGTCTTTACTTCTATAATACTGTCACTCAAGTACATGTGATGGACTAAATACTTCTAAAGATCCTTGGCCCCAGCGACATTCTAAAAAAAAAAAAAAAAAGTTCGCATTGGCAATAGCGAAAGAATGCCTCTGGGGTCAACGCTTTGACAAGTGAAGTTTTTCACGGCTCTGCAGTGTGCTAACCCAGAGATTTCTAGTTCTGCAAAGGTTTTTCAGCATCAATTGGTGGACGCAGCCAAGCTCCTGTCGAAAAATTGCGTTTAATGAAAGGCTCGAGTCTTTACTTCTATAGTACTGCCACTAAAGTACATGTGATGGACCAAATACTTCTAAAGATCGTTGCAGGGAATGTTGCTGGAGCCAACATTTTGACAAGTGAAGTTCTTGTCAATGCAAAGCCTTGTGAAACTGCAGACAAATGACATTTCACTTACTGGCAACACTGCAGTGGTGGCACCTATTATTTTAAAACCTCAGTCATTCCTGGATTCATAGATGCACCAACTCTACGAATTCACTGGGTGCCGCCATCATAACCACTGTATGCACATGATGCAGGAAAAGTTTTCTAGCTACGTGTGATCATTGGTGCATTCAGTAGCGTATGCTCAGTAGTTTGAATGGCCAGAGACGCCGAACAGAAATATCGGGACACTCCTCCCTATGTACGTGTGATGTCTGCAACATGTGACGAAACATGCATAAAAAGAGCGCATTTGCGGTCACTGTGAACAAGGCTTGTGGGCTCTCGGCGAGGCGAACGAGCGCATCGCCACGCCAAGCTCTTGGAGTGAACGGACACAGTGAACACGGTCGGAACAAAGCACACAACATACATACATTTATTAACCAATTTAGACGACGATATCGTCTGCCGAATGATACACCAATTTCAACTAACACGCTACCATACAAACCACATAACACAGTGAAACACTAAACACACAATAACATGATAAACACACACTAACACCCAACACACTAGCACATACCCAAGGCGGCGTCGCCAACGCCTGACTTTCCACGTGGGACCCCGGCGCGAAGCCCGCGGCGCCGAGCACCGGGGACCCGCGCTACAGACAACCGTTCGCGGCAGCCGCCACGCGCAGAAGAGGCTCGCTCAACGCTCGCCCACCACCAAGGCCCGCCTTCCGCCAGGGGCCACCACCGGCGCTGCCACTCTACCAACAGTGGTACTCAGAGCGAACACAACGCCATCTATCGCCCGGTGGTGGTCACCACCGAAATAACGCCCTGGGGCGAGACACGTGCGCCACGCGGCGCAGACAACTTTACAGGGGGGGTGTCAGCACCCCCACATTCCCCCAACCTTAAATCAAACCATATCCCGAAATCATAAATTAGCTACACAAGCTTTAACAAAAAAATGATATCGCACGACCATAATGTCCTTGCACCACGACACCGCCGCTGGTCGACACTGCTGCACTCTCCGGCTAGACTTCACCTCAGTACCGGCCCCGCAACAGCAACGTTGCCGTCGGCGCGACGATCTGTCGCTAGCGCCGACACGTCTTCCAGTTGCGACCAGCACTCGCGAGGGCGCCGGACTGCAGGCAGTTGCGCAGGTCCCAGGCATCTTCATCGCCCGAACTCACGACCGCATTCCTGGCCAGCGACGCTGACGATGCGCAGGACAGCCGGCCGTGGATGACATCCCTCCCGCTGAATACATCAACAAAAAACAAAACTCGAAAGAAACAAAGGAGCGTGGCCCAGGGGAGGGAGCTTCAGGCTTTTCGGCCACGTGGTACGGTGGTTAGTACTGCTAGCTAATACATCGGTGGCGGCCGAGACGCCCATCAAAATAAAAACAAAAATAACTTTTCCTAACTCGTGCTCGCAAGAAGAAAAAAAGTGAGGGAAGCAGAGCGCAACACCTCAACGCTACGATCCACCTAGTTGTGCCACGTGCGACAGGCGGCTGCGCAGAGCCTTAGGCCTAATGAGTCGCTCGGCAACAACCGGCATCCACCCAGCACCCAGCCTAGGCGCAGAAGAGGCAGCCGCGAGGAGACGTCCACTCTGTGAGGTGGCCCTATCGCTCGCCGCACACAGCAGCTTACCGAGCGATCGGCGTCCACCGCCCCGGGCGGTGTCACGACGCCCCGGCGTCGAGCCGCAATACAAGTCAGCAACGACGCCCGGCTCCCTGAGCCCAAAGAGATAGAAGAAGCTATTTACAGAAAATCGGACCACCCACGAGGCTTCCGTACTCACTCGCTTCGGGCCTGGCCTACAAACCACGTGCTCTAGGCCTTGCTCACCCCAGGATGCGGACCGCATGGCTCTCGTCCTAATTCAACGTTTTTGAAAACTAACAAAAAAAATAAGAACACTTGCGAGCAAAAAAAAATAGAAAGTCAACTTGCCGACAAATTGAAACACGTTACAAAACCAATCCCCTCGCTTCTCAACAAAGCACACCACCGACGCTAGCAAAGAAGTCCCCCCTAGGCCTACTCTACTCCGGCTCTAACAAAATCCCTGTACCGAACCGCAAGAACTGTCGTCCGACACTCCAAAAGCTCCACGTTGGGCAGCCAGTGTGGGGTCTCGGCGAGGCGAGCGAGCGCATCGCCACGCCACGCTCCTGGAGTGAACGGACACAGTTGACGCGGTCGGTACAAAGCACACAACATACATACATTTATTAACCAATTTAGACGACGATATCGTCTGCCGAATGATACACCAATTTCAACTAACACGCTACCATACAAACCACATAACACAGTGAAACACTAAACACACAATAACATGATAAACACACACTAACACCCAACACACTAGCACATACCCAAGGCGGCGTCGCCAACGCCTGACTTTCCACGTGGGACCCCGGCGCGAAGCCCGCGGCGCCGAGCACCGGGGACCCGCGCTACAGACAACCGTTCGCGGCAGCCGCCACGCGCAGAAGAGGCTCGCTCAACGCTCGCCCACCACCAAGGCCCGCCTTCCGCCAGGGGCCACCACCGGCGCTGCCACTCTACCAACAGTGGTACTCAGAGCGAACACAACGCCATCTATCGCCCGGTGGTGGTCACCACCGAAATAACGCCCTGGGGCGAGACACGTGCGCCACGCGGCGCAGACAACTTTACAGGGGGGGTGTCAGCACCCCCACAGGCTCCCATGTGGGGAGCCGAAACGTCTTTTTAATTTTTGTGTATTTTACCTTGGTCGGCATTTTCGTTACTTTGCACTATGTTTGTACCCGACCAGACTGGATTCAGTTGGACTCTTGACTGTTGAAAACCTCCTTTTAAGCAATAACTTAAAACTTTATTTCACTATGTACATGCAATGCGTAGGAAATTTGCAAGTTCACTTGGGTTTTGGAGGCCACGCTAGTGCAACTTCGTTGTGAAGGCTCTCTTGTATCCACTCCAGGTATTCAGTCAGCAAGTCTGTTCGATTTTCATGCAAAGAGAGCAAAAAAACATTGTTATGCATTCTGCTAAAAGTATACTTCGTAGACAGAGTATTTTTTTTTTTAAGGCCTAAACTGTTGAAGACACTCCAGGTATTCAGTCAGCAAGTCTGTTCGATTTTCATGCAAAGGGAGCAAAAAAACATTGTTATGCATTCTGATAAAGGTATACTTCATAGACAGAGTTTTTTTTTTAAGGCCTAAACTGTTGAAGATAGACAACAACTTGCACACTCTTTTCTTGTGCCCCGTGCTTTTCTCTCATAATGAAGCTTTCAATGCCTGAGTGTTATGCATGAAACCCTCGGGCTTCATTACCCACAACAAGCATGTTTCTTATTCACAAACACCATGCACAAACATACAAACACCCTATAATAGCACAGTGAAAATGTGACATTGATGGCTTTAAATGTGCCTTTTTTACAATTGCCATCTGTGAATAGAATATGTTAGGACCTCTCATCACTGAGTAATTGTCTCAGTTTGAGCAAAAAATTGAAACATCGTAGCATGTTGATATTGCAAGTGATATCATGAAACCCGCACGTACTTCTATGTTCTGTAAGTAGTCGTGCATACAGCCTTTAATGTTTAACTTGCGATTATCATATGCACTTTTATTTTGTTTATATATTATGTAGTGCGAATTGCACACTACAAAGAGCACAGTTGATTTTCTAGTTTTTTTTTCTATTTACTGGTTTGCACAACTATGATGAGCCATCATAGTACCTGTACATAGTGCCTGTACATAGTGCTATAGATTCAGCAGATACTGGCGTTATTTCAAATAAATAAATGAATAGTACTAATGGCGGCAAATAATGGACCGTTCTACACAGCTGGCTCTCATGGCCAACTGACTGATCTTTTGCTACACAGCACCAAGTACAAATTTGTTCCTGAAAGAAGGCTCATTAGATTACTATTAGTCCCTCTATCTGCTTTCCCTATTGGACAACAGCTCGCCCATATTTCGCGGAGGGCTTAATTGGCCGACAGTGAAAGAAGCAAGCATTGCACTACTTGAGCAGTCAGAAAAATATTGTGCAACTTGGAAATCTTAAAACCAAACACGAATGCACCGCGCGTCTAAGAGGCCAGCTTCACTGAAGACTGCCGACGTCGTCAGAAACGTCCTAAAACTCGAGCTCCCGACTCGGCCCCACCATCTCCTCTCCACTTGACCACATGTATGTCCAAGGGTGCTTGCTCGGGCGAGTCGGTAGCTATTCATTGTGATGTTATTGCGCACTGCTTGAAAGACGAAGACTTGGGAGACGAAGAAGAACCACACAAACACAAGCGCTTGTTCTCATGTGGTTCTTTGTCTACTATGTCATCATCTTTTAAGCAATGTGCAATAACGTAACAATGTACATCTCCAATCTCAAACTTGCCCTTGCTATACTATGCTATAGCCTCCTTCCTTGTTTCTCTCCTCCTAATGAGTGAGAAGTGACTCTAATGTCACACCTCACTTCCCTTTCCCACCCTTTGCTATAATATACTCTGAATGGCTACACTAAGCTTCACTCCTCTTTCCCTCACCTCGTATCACTCCTCACCCTCACTTTCCTTCAGCGCACTTTTGCTATAGTATACTAAACAGGGTAGTGCTATGCTATACTGATTTGTATCGGTTCAAGTGCAGCTGTGTCCACACAACGTAGGGCAAGAATGAGTGAAGAAAATACTTGAGGTCGTGTACAGCTACATGGTTTGTTTGAAGCGTTGTTCAGACTGTGATTATCACTGAGGCATATTCAAAAAGTAGAATTAGTACAATGACTGGTCACTCACACTTTGGCTCGCTCTCCCACAAGTCGCACAACTTTTGTCTCGAGTCAGCGGATCTGGAAACCAGGGTCTGCAGTAGGTGTTCGGTCCGTGGCTGCAACCTGGAGGCCAAAAAAGGGGGTTGAAAACAATACACACAAGAGTGTCTTATGCTATTCCTGGATGCGGGACCCATCAGTGCGCCAAATGCGGAAACTCAAACCACAGCAAGGAGAAGGCACGCCTAGCACATGTGCAAAGGTCACCTCTGAAGTGTAAGAGCTGTCGTGACTCGTGCCTTTCGACTTGCTATAACTGCTGTGAGGGGCACCTGGGTATTTCAGACAGCGTTTCAAATACAGTTGAATCCCTATATAACAGACATGCACCGGGGAGGAATTTTTCTGTTTTATATAGAGTGACTCCTATGAGCAGGGCACCACGTACACACTTTCTTATCAACCACTATTGCAATGTAGGCCCGCTGGTCTCTCTTATATCTATTGGTCATCAGTGTCTCTTATAAAGGAGTTTCACTGCAAAAGGAAAGGAAAAGCCTCTGAAATGGGCCATCTGCTTTAGATAAAATCAAAATAGCAGTGCCAGTGACAGAACAGAGTGAAGTTTATCACAAATAAAGTACTATATCAATGAGCTTTGACATTTGACAGTTTAAGATCAGTCATATACAGCAAAATGCTAATGAAGCGACCAAGGCAATTTTCTGCGGCTGTCTCCCTGTCATCTGTGTTTTAAGAGTCTTCCAAATCGGCAAGAGGAAAATGTTGATGTAGCTGTGACTGGTGTGACAGCCGTTACTGATTACACGTTTCGTAAGCACTAGCGAGAGCACCTACAGATAAAGTTGTAGAACTGTCTGCGCTGTTATACTTTTGGACAACTGATAGAGATGAGAACAATCAGGATAATAGTACCATCTCAGTTCTGCACGACAAAACAGACCACGCATCACCAAACTGAATTCACTGACCGTGCCCAACTCTTGATCATGGTGATGGGTGGTGACAAGAGTAGCTTGCTGTACTTCTTGAAAAAGGGAAGTACATCTCCTTGAAGCAGGAAACGTGCAAACCACCGGAACTTGTCAAGGCCTTCGCCGAATTCTTGTTCCGCAGCCTCCATCTGCCACGCATGGGGCCCTGCGATGAGCATGCTTGCAGCTGTTCAAATTCTGGTGTATATAAAGCAGGAAAGGAAGACACTATTGCTACGCGCGTTGTATTAGTATACTGTGGTGAGCTCGTACGGTAAAGTACATCTTGCTTAGGGCAGTACATGCAAAGACACAAGCACTGCATCACATTACTATATGTTGCACAGTTTGCATATCATACATTACACCACTCGCATTTTGTTTTACACAAGGCCAACTTGTATTACATTGCCAAAATTACTGCCCATGATTTTATGAGGAAAATAGGAAGTGGTTATATACTGATGGTATCAAGCTAACCAACAAAATAAGGTTAACACAATTATCTGGGTGCACCCTGCCATCTTCGTGAGGACTCGACAGATTGCAGTGCAGGTGCTTGGTGTCTACACCTGCTTGTCGTCTTCTAAAGCTCGTACCACAATGCGAGATGGTGCGATTACGTGTGCTGGTGAACATTTGAAGTTAATATATTCTCTTTCTTATTTTACATGTCTCGTAGAGCTCCCTTCTATGAGCGGAGTTGCCCTCTGACTGCATTGAGCACATGTCTAAAAAGCACGTTTGCACAAATATGTTGAAGCCCCTTTTGAATTTTCCATACGGATACACCTGTAAATTTAAGAGTTAGTTTTCCATAATTGCTACGCACTTTAGGGAGAAGGAAATTGTGACAGGCTGAAAACCTGGTGTTATTAGAATTGACAAGATGTTGTGTGGATAGCCCTGAAACACATAGACCATGATAAATGAGGCGGTACATCAATATAGCTAACTTTAGAGTGAACAAAAGATTAATTGGAAGCACGGAAAAATAAATAAAGAGTGGCGTAGAAGGCGATTGAAATGGAGCGAAGGCGATCAGACGTAGTGCCCGTTTCTGAAGATGTAGAAGGGGCTCCAGGTGACTGGCATATGTATTACCCCAGGATGAAATGCAATAGGAAAGATGGCTATGAATATATGCATAGTATAATGATAAAATAATGCGTGACTGAAAATAAGGGCGGGCTTTAATGAGAACATGAATGCCAAAAGAAGCTTTTTTTAATATTGAGAGTACATGATAGTTATATTTCAAATGCTTGTCTAGTATTACGCCTAAGAACTTCACATGATCCGATACGGAAATAATATGGTTGTTAAAGATACGGAAACTGGTGAGGGAAATGTGTTCTGTGCGGATGAAAACACCACAAATGTAGTTTTAGAGGGATTCATATAAAGATGATTGTTAACACACCATTGATAAATATTACAGAGATCGGAGTTTAAGCTACTTTCAAGTTCAGCAGTTGTTTTCTGGGATGTAAAAATAGTAGTGTCATCGGCGTAAAGAAGACAGTTAGTATGATTAAGGGAACTAGGTAGGTCGTTAATAAAAAGTAGGAATAGAAGAGGGCCTAAGATTGAACCTTGAGGGACGCCCATGGTAACTGGCTTAGCAGATGACGCAATGTTATTGACATAAACTACCTGTGAGCGATTTGTTAAGTAATTGCGAATGAACTGCAAAGCGGGACCCACAATTCCGAAAGATTCAAGTTTACACAGAAGGATCCGGTGGTTAATTGTGTCGAAAGCCTTCGTGAGATCAATAAAAACTGCCCCAGTAAGTAATCCATTGTCTATGGCTTGTTTAATTCGGTCAGTAAAGCTGAGCAAGGCGAGCTCTGTCGAGTAGTCAGGTCGAAAACCAAATTGGTGGGGAGAGAGTAGGTTAAATTTAAGCAGATAGCACATCAAACGCAAGTAAAAAAGCTTTTCAATTACTTTGCTAAAGAAAGGAAGTACACAAATCGGACGGTAATTATTAGTTGACAAACGATCGCCCTTTTTGAAAACAGGTGTTATCTTTCCTACCTTTAAAGCATCAGGAAATGCACCTGCTTTGAACAATTTGTTAATTATTTCAGCTAAAATAGGAGACAGTTCACGTGCCACGAGCTTTATCTTAGACGGGTGAATGGAATCTAAGCCTGGCCCTTAGGTTTTAAGAGATGACATGATTTGAAAGACTTCGTCTGCAGATGTAGGACGTAAATAAAAAGACTGAGGTGAACGAGATAGAATGGGAAAATGAAGGTCAACTAGTGAATCGGGGGAATTTGATGCAAAAGTATCACTGAAAGCATTAGCGATATCGAGTGGCTCGGTAAGGGAACGTCCGTCAGCCGTTATTTTTGATAAGCATGTGGTCTCGCTGCTGTTCAAGAATTTTTTTATTAGCTGCCAGCTTTTCCTGGTATCAGTATCATTTCTGTAGTGGTATTTGTCTAGGGTGTGAAGTCTGTTTTCTGTGCAGTTAGCAAATACGAGACTGCGATCGAGAACTAGCTTATTTCGCTTCTTCATACATTTGAGCGCGTGAACCCCTTCGTAACCTATTTATTCCAAAATAGTGAATGCAACAGCGTTTTTAGTGCGATGCTCGCTGGTTGTGAAAAGTGTGCGAGCATACTAAGATCTGTTGGCCAGTATACCTGGTATGGTATTGTGCTATGACATGGTGACCAGAAAAAACAGAGACGAATTCAGAAATGAATACATATTTTCACAGTTTATTTTATCGTGGGCTTTGTTTTGTGTTTTCGCCTTTTAGTAATAACACCACACAGTGTACATATGTATGTATGTATGTATATATATATATATATATATATATATATATATATATATATATATATATATATATATATATATATATATATATATATATTATATATATATATTATATATATATATTATAATTATTACCAACTAGCTTAAAATAAAAGCTGTGCTACATATTTTTGGAAGTGCCATCTAGAACTGGAAGGCACCATCGGCCGAAATGAGTCGACGTGTAGCACAGAAGTTTACTGTAGATGTAATACCCACATTGTTTTCTGTCGCAACTGAAACTAGCGGGCGAAATTCCAGCTGCAAGTGAGGCGCACCTCGGTATTTCACCTAGGTGCCCCTCACTGGGCCAGAAGTCTGAAAATCGAAGCTTCCTAATGCAAGATAAGAAAAAGGGCGTGGCTACTATTCTCACCGAATGTCGACGTCACATAGCACAGGACCTTGTCTTTTTTGCGGTCATAGCGAGGCGGTGGGTCTTCCAAAGGAGATGAGAATGTGCAGTACTTTGGGGCATAGATCGGCAGCCACTCGGGTTCCACCTCTGCAACCACTGGAATATGCATTGATTAAGAGTAAAGACTACATCACTCAACTAAACGTGGTCATAACACATAACACTTGGCATAGCCACGCTACCTAAGTAGAATGTATATCAAGCTCCCCAAATGCATAAATCGGCAGTTCCTAAAGGCTCCATACAACAGCGTTTACCAAGCCAAGAATAACAGTTTGCATCGATACTTAACAAAAGTGTGTACTATAATCTGAAATAACAAAGAACTTACTGGTTTTGAATCTTGGCGATCCTAGCACATAATGTTTAGTATAACAGCCTGACCTAGCCTAGCCGTCACTCCAGGAATTCACCCGAAATAACGCGAATATAATCCAGAACAGAAATGAAAACAATGCAACGATATTATACATAATGCAGTTATTCTGAGTACATTCTCAAACATGTGCGACAGGTTTATCTTTGGTACGATCTATACAAGGCCCATGTGCAAGGCATAACTCTGGCTGTGACCAAAGGCAGTCAACAAAAAGTTTGCTGCCTCTTTGTTGATTTTCTCACAAGTAATGTGAAGTGGCAACAGTTGGGTTCAAAGTGCTTCAACGTGTTGCCGTGCTCACCTCGCATGAACATCCTGGATGTCTCGAATATCTCCTGGTAGAGGACAAATGGCGGTTGCTTGCTGCTAAGCACCGAGTTAGGATGTATGAACACAGGGCCATCTACTTCCATGCTCTGCATGATGAAAGCGTTAAAGTCACCAACAATACACGCATGCAGAAATTATTTATACACACGGCACTAACATAAAGTTGTATCCTGCGCTTTTTTTTTTTGCTGGTTGCCGAAGGAATAGAGATGAACCCATTTTCACAATCAATTGTCGTCTTGTTACATCAAAAACGTAGGCTTGGTTCCAGTGATGAAACCAAGTGCACTTGGCAAGCACTGGCATGTGCAGCCAACTTTTTGTTTTCAAATGCACTACGGCTGGCGCAGCCATTGCTTGGCCAAATGTACAGTGCAGTTGGATTGAAATGCAACACCAAAAAAATTAGTATAATAGTTCTTATTCACAACTGCTTGAGATAACTGCATCGTATTTCTATGAATGTCATCGCTAAATGTAATATTGGCTCTGATGTAAATGTTAGAGTAAAAATCGCTCCGATAACACACAAAGTGAAGACGGTGGAAGTGAAAATATGTTCACCACCGACTCCTCAATTGTTGTGTTCCAATCTATCAGCGCTGAAGAGTGGGGGGAAAAAGCACATTTACAAATTTACACTGCACTCAAAAACGAGCGATGAAGCAATTAACATTTCACAACAAACGATTATGCAAGGCTCACGCGGCTCACCTTATATGCATTCTTTGCAATGGCGTTTTCCGTCTCACTGCATCTCTCTTCATCTGTCATTTTCCTATGCGCAAAGGCAAGGAAGGGTAAGATATAAGCAGAGTTTAATTGCAAAGACGGACACACAATGTCCTGGTAATGTGAGACAAAGAAGTTGTCCCGTTCTGTTAAATTTCTATACTCGCTTTTCACTATACGGCACCCCCAAAATGTATTTACACCGAGCCTCCATGACACTAATACGTTCCTGTACTGATATGAAAGGATCTTGAAAAATTGTTTGTCTCATTAAAATTACACTCGAGAGATGTATGACGAAAATGACGAAAGCCAAATGAAGATTCTCCAATTCAGCTTAGCAGAGTTCACATCGAAAGCTGCCTCCGTTGAATTGTTTGCCAACTTATTTATTTACTTAAAGGTAGTTTTTAGGGCACAGAAAAAATATTGAGTAAGAGGAGTGTGGTGTGCGTAAAGGATGCATCCAACATAAACTGCAAAGAAGCGACAACAAGGTTTTAACGATAATTTAACCTTATCTTTTCTAAAGACTTATGCGTGCCCTCACCACTTCTAACATTTACAGAAGACAGCTCAGAAATAGGCGTTTACAATATAGAGGGAATGCATTAGAGCATGATTCAGCTTGGAGATCTTAAAACTTGTTTTGGTGAAGTTTGGCTAACTTTTGAACATGGTTCAGCAACCTGACTCCTATGAAAATGATTTGCGGACACAATAGAAAGTTTCTCATCGAAGCTCAAATTCGAACACATCCTGCCACGTACTTGGCAATGTGGTCACTGAAGCCCATGACCAGAACCTGACGAATCAGTTTCGCCTGTAGGTCTGTCGGTGGCTCCATGTTTGGGTCTACTGACAGGTTCAGGTTAGGAATGAGGAGGTTCACTGAGATGCAAAGAGAATAACAAAATAAGTCAGACATTAATTACTGGCTAGTTAATCACTTATGGTTTAATTTACTTTGTGTACCAACTTGCATAAATTGAAATATTGAGCAATTTCAGTGTGTTTGTCATGTAATATGTATAGCACAAGCTTCTTTGTAAGTGCTACGAAGAGAGTAGGCTCCATTACAAAAACATTAGTAGTACCTCTACAGCTGCCGCTACTAATATGGCGACTACTAGGCTACTGAACAAAGCAACTTACAGGGACATTATAAAAGTGTTTAATTAAATTATTAGCAACTTTTATACAGCACAATTGTCGATCACATGAAGCATCACTTCAATAATGTACACTGTTGGCACCCATCTAATACATGTAATCTAGCTGCAACTGTAGATGATGCAACAGTATGGCCGCCTATAGAAGAAACCACCAATAAAAGGCCACCAAATACCATTTGCGAAAAGGAAAAGTGCAGTTATCATAAGGCAATAATTATCTTTTGTGCGTGTAAAGGCACATGACTTATCTCACAAGAACACCTCCTCAAAATAATTTCACCTTAAACAAGGTACCTCATATTAACACAAAAACGAACAGCCAGGATCACATTACACTGACAGGGACAATCAGCTCTTTTTTTAATGCCATGGTTGACACTGCAGATGACATGCCAGGGCTTAAGCTGATAAAATTGCCAGACATGTCCATATTTCTCTCATCTTGAAGGACGCCCAGGCGAGGAACAAGTATCGCGTGACGTCGAAAAGACAAAACCTCCTGGGAGGCTGCCGTGCACAGCATGGAACTCCCAAACCAAATCCTGGTTGTCCTAAGGACCCAGGACATCTCCGAGAGGCTCCACTTCCCAAGACCACCCTGGGTGTAGCCACATGGCTTAGCTAGCGGGACGCCTTTTGATTTAAAACAAGGCTATGTCTGGCCTTTGCCGCTTTTATATTACAAACAAAAAGTTCTTCCTCGCTCAATCACTTTATAAGCAAGACATACACTCATTTGTGAGCTGGATGCGAAGTTTCCTGATCTCCACCATCGCCTTATAACGCAGACCGTGGCTCTCGCAGAACCCAGCGTGCAGCCGACAAACTCAGATGCGCCAACTGCTTTCAGCAGCACCATGACGTCCCCAAGAGCTAGAGAGTGACCCTGCACGAGAACAGTTGCGTACAGTATAGCAGGGGTTAGGCTTGTCTGTCACAATCATAAAAAGGAACAGACATTCAAGCAGGAGACAGCACAGGAAAACAAATCATGTCAAACGAAAATATAGAAATAAGATATAAGAGAAAATGAAAGTAACCAGTTGTCTGCTCCTAAGCACGCACACTACGTGGCACGTCAAATCGATTAGTCGGATTTGACTATTTGGCCTTGAGCAGTACATATACTCTGAGGCCTAATTTTGTTAACGCACTAGTACAGTTAATCATTTCTATAATGAAGCTTGGGAGACTGCAATAATTTTTCATTATACAGGTCACTTCGTTATAAGCATAGCACACTTCAACGACCTCAATAAATGAGATAAACATACTGGGAGATAAATATGTTTATTTACAGCATATATGAACAGCCCCTGAAAAAAAAGAGCATTTTTTCTACTGCGCAGTAGTATGACTTATTCAATGCTCAACCACTGCAGATCTGATGCTGTCCATGTTCATGGTACACTGCAGCGCATGATTAGGGAGTGAGAACACAAATTTATAACACGTAAAATGTCGCAGATTATTAACAGCTAGTCAAAATGCCATTCTTCTGTAACTGGACGTCACCCCCTAGCCCTGTTGCTGAAACTCACCAAAACCTTGTGGCCTGCCTCCTGACCATAATTGGCCCAGGCTGAAGAGCAGCCCGCTGAGATATCAGTAATTTTTTCTTTGTTCATAGTTCTTTAAAACTCATTGTGAAATGACTTGACAGCTTCCCTGATCCATTTCATTTGGTTGCTGCTCGTTACATGTGCGGCTTACTGTATTCATTGTAAAGAAACAATTCAGTGATTGACAGCATACGAATTGCTTCATTAAACATGCAAATTTGCAGAAGTGGTTCTCATTGTAGTGGTGTTCACAATACATAGGAAAGGTGGGAATGTCACGAGGCCAAGTGGCATACTTTCATGTACAGGCTATTTCGTAGCAGAAGCTTTCGTTGTAGCAGCACATGACTGTAAGTACAAATACTCCAGGATAGAAACGAGAGGATGAACTATGAATATGTAATTAACAAATTATGTATAATTCAGGTGTGTAAGATGCTTACCTGTCCTGCCCACATTTCTCGGACTTTCTTCCACTTTGCTTGCTTATCCTGTGAAAGAAAAAAAAATCTCGGAGTGTACCCATCATTCTGCTGTTTCATAACCAGACGTAAATGTCTGGTTTATTTTCTCAAACGAGTACGAATGGCATTTAACTTGGACAACTACTATTAGTGTTTTGGTTGTGCATGCATTGCATGCCACTGTGATTCAGCATTCACTTGAAACAAGAAGCAGCATAGAATCCACAAATTTGTTCATTCATTCATGACTGCAGATTTCAACCCATAGAGACAAGTGCGAGGCAGCGAAACAAGAGAAATGATTCAATGAAGCACCTGTTTCCTTTATAGATCCCTACAACTGAACAAAGAGTATGCACAAGCAAACGTCAGATCTCACCACAGCTCGTTGAAACTCGATAACAACAATATGACAAAGTAATCAGATGCAAATCATCACTAATTTATACACTCATTCACACATGCATTTACAGTAGACTTCTAAAACAAATCCTGAAGAGACTAGAAAAATATGTTTGATGAGTTTTGAGATACAAACAGGGGTGCAACATTCAAGTATGAAACCAAGCATGAGAAGCAATTCCATTTAGAAAGCTATTCCATTTAAAAAGTTCCATTTACTGAGTGAGTACTGTACTCGAGTTTACACTACAGATACAATTTGCCTCCCACACACTTTGAGCACTGCATGTGTCAGATGGTCCATGACTCAACAACTAACCTGACAGCGAAATCTACTGAATGCTTTATAAAGAAAAATGGTGCAAAAACACGAAAATACTTTAACCACAAGAACACATGCCCATGTTCTGTTGTCTTTTCACCTTTATGTTATGCCACTTTTTCTATATGATGCATTTGCACCAACTCGCTAAACTGTTAGTTCCACTAATGGTGAACTACAATGGCAAATTCAGAGCACTTCCGGTAGCAGCTTTTCTGCTCCGTGCCGAGCGAATCTGTCCCACTGGCCAATCTGGAGCAGATCCGCCAACAGATCCACTCCATGGAGGGGCTATCCTTACTGCCCGAAAAACGGTGGATTGAATTGAAAGTTGTAAGGCCCCTTGCATGCGCAGAGCATTGTGTACAACATGGCCAACACAATGAGCCTGCCGAGGGTGCCCGTGAAGGGGAGTCGTGGCTCCGAAGGCAATATAAGTGGTGCATTGCAACATCAATGGTTGCTTACACGCATATGCCAGGTGCTTCTGGAAATGAATGTGCACAAGCGTCCCTGACATTTGCTCTGGTGCAAGAGCCTGTGCTACGTTGGCAAATAATCTCAAGTTGTGCTCTGCAAGAGTAGAGTGCTCCGGTGCAGAATCTTCCACTGAATCTTCGAATCTTCCATTGGAACTCACCAAAAATGGAAACCTTACCTCCTTGCTGCCCTCTGTAGAGAGAATAGCCCACAGAGATGAACATTTGTGGGTACACCCCAAGCACAGATGATGATAGCGATATTAACAATGTCAACGGCATAAGTACCTACCTGCTTGTTGGCTTCTGTAGATGAGAACCCCATAGAAATGAACACTTCCTGCACAGTCATGGCAGCTACGACAGCGATGATGTAGGGCAGCAGGCCATGTTGGTGTGACAGGGCCAGCATCTTGGCGTAGCGTGGGCTCACAGGAAAGCATGACATGGCACGCCCCAGGGGTGTAATTCGCGCACTCCACTCCCCTGAAAGGTACAACAAACATGGGAGGCTGGAATCATTTATCTGGCTTGCCATCGAGAAGTACTGAAATGGGCTACGAACAGAGAAATTTAACGGAGAAGGAAAAAGAAAGCGACAAACGGTGAATGATGGGAAATGTCACTGAGGAATTGCAGTAAACGAATGAGCACACGCTCAATCTTAGGGAGCTGCCACAATGAATGAATAACCGAAACACACATCCCTCCCTCATGGGCAATGCGAAAGTACATGCCATATCCCACTGTGCCTTAGCAGAACATGCACCACAACAAATGTGGCCCATGCAGACCTCATCTGACACCACTACAAGAAAATCAAAGCACATACACTTTGGCAGATCCTTGAAACGTGTCGGCTTGGGAAGCTCTTCCAATGCCCCCATCAGGATAAGCTTCTTTTCGGCGGCCTAAAAGCAGGAGAAGGCCAATGCGCATACTTTTTCGAGCATAGCACTAACTACAGTAAAATGCAATCGGTAACACAGTTTACCTTGAGGGCTTCTTTGTCAGGCGGTGAAGGGTAGGGGAAATTCACAACCTTGTCAATGTTCATCGCCTGTTAATGTAAAAGGAAGGCATTATAACACCAGTGATAAAATATGGTGAAAACGTTCATATTTCACACATTCCCACACAGCAACTACACTCGGACCTCATTATAACAAACTTGCATCTTACATAAAAATAAGTTGGTTATGTCCGAAAATTTGTTATAAAGGTTAAAGACTAAGCTAAATCTATTGCGAGACTATATTTAATTTACTTTGTTATAACCAATATTTCCTTATATCCGAATTCGTTATATCGAGGTTTGAGTTACAATAGCTGCTTTTTTCATTTAGAGCATGGTCTTTTCAAGGATAAGTCATCACAGATAGTCCTTCCAATTAAAAAAAATTGACTAAGCAGACATTCAATCACGTGTCAAGTAATGGTGAATTTTAGCATACTGCTTGCTGTCTAGTAGGAATGTGCAAATAATGAATTTTAGAACCAAACCGAATACAAATTGAATAGTGATGACACAAAATAGAATACGAATACAAATAGAATATACTGTTTGAACAATTTTCGAATAGTAAGACAACCATTTTAAAAGCAGCTCAGGACTGCTAACGCAACGCTTTTCAAAATAACTCAAAATTTCCACATTTTATTTAAAACAAATATTTACAAGCTCTAACAAATGAATGTTACGACTACTTATTACAAAAAATTAGAAATAAAGAAAAAAAGAACGAAATATTTAAACTGAAGAAAGCTGATACACAGCGAAAACCAGAGGCTTCAAATAATTTGATATTTTCGAATATTCACACCTTCCTACTGCCAACCATTCAGTGCTGGCTAAGACAATCAGTAAAATAAACTCTGGACACAAAGGCGATGCTCATCGAGAGAGAGAAGACATTTTTTGTTAGTTTGTTGCCTGAAGTTAATATATAAGCCTGTAGTGATCATTTAAGTGAAACATTGACAAAGACACAAACCTTCATTTGTAGGACTAGATCATCGACGGGCCTCCGAGTTATTTCAGGTGGTGTGAATTTCTGAAATTCGTCGTTGAACACAGCTGAAGAGTACAACCTATGTGGCGAGAGTCAAAGGGGGATAATGAAGCTTTGTCATGTTTTGTGCTCTAGCTATGACAAAACTACTAAAGAATGAAGACATGGGCCTGCTGACCTGTAGCAGTGGCCAGGGCACGTTCTGCCTGCTCGGCCAGCCCTTTGATCTGCGGATGCTTTGGAAACCCAGGATATGATGAAAGCTGATATTCCGGTCACTTTGTCGTAGACACGCATTTTCACCTGAAAAATATGGACAGAAGTGTCACTATGCATCCTTCGATTCACACGAGTGAGACCGTTGTATGTGTAAGACACTGTGCTAATTTTCTCACTGACATAGACACTGATATAGCGAGTAATCGGTTATCATGTCGAGCCCACGTGCTGAGCCTACACCAGAAGTATTACATGTGCATGATGGTTATGTTTTATCATCACGTATTTCTTCTGGGTCAGCAGCACACCAATGAAACCTGTATTATTGAAATTTTATTACTATGACATATTTCCAATATATCCTCAAAGCTTGAAAGAAAGCACTGGATAACGAGCAACAGAAAGAACAATTCAGGAGCTTTTTTTAGAATGGGCCAAATCCAGAACCGAAACCAGCTTATATTAGGTTCTAATGGCACTACATACTCTCCACTTTCCTCTAAAACAGTAAAAATTATCTTAACCGCTTAAAAATTATTTTGCTGTTATAAAATCATTTTTACTTATTGAGGAAACCTGAGAGTACGTATGTGCCAATAGAGCCTTATATGAGCCGATCTCAGATCTGGATTTGGTACATTAATAAAAAACGCTCCTTTAACCCTACTGTACAATGAAAGCTAGCAGGTAGTAAAATTCGAAATCTTGCCTTGCCGGTGTCCACGACGTATTTAACATTCGGAATGGTCAAGGAAGTTTCGCCAACGTTGGTTGCGACAACACATAGCCGGGTGCCTTCTGGTGGGGATTGAAACACCTGCAATCATCGGAGGTGCTACTTTTAATTACACCTAAAACGGGAGCTTCACAACAACACGCTTGAGAAAAATGGCAAGCTCAACTGAACTAATACGATCAAATGTTTTCACAACTTTCCACAAAGCAAATTTTTCTCAGTCCAACCGAAAAATGCTCCCCTGCCAAATGCTGTCAGTCAGTTAGGCATGACAAGAATAGTTTTTATAGTACCTAGTAAAGCAAGGTATTATATGCATCAAAACACTTGCACACTCTTTTGGGAAAAGTACGGGGCATGAAATGATCAATGACAATTTTTAAAGATAAAAGAAAAACCCAAGTATTTTGGAATTGTGTGAACTTCTATAAGACAATAAACACTACAATTAATGATAAGGGCATTGGAAAGTGACAAACCTTAGCTTGTTTTTCTGAGGGAAGCAAAGAGAACAGAGGGAGAACCGTAAGCGGCTGCGTGTTCCTATTTGGAGCGGCTTCTTCCATAAGGTCGTCCTCCTCAGAGGAGGAAAGGTCGCCATCCTCCTGTTTGTCGTCCTTCACAAGTTCTTCCAACTGCCCCTCATCTAGTGGCACCACAGAATAACTGAAATGATCCCAAGAGTCATGAATATGCCATTAGAGTCAAGTGGCAGCACTCTCTTTGATTTGGAACCAAGCATACACCAGCCACGTGAATGAAGTAATGGCAACCATGTTTTGAAGGGGAAAGGGCACAAGCAATGCATTGAACAGAAACATTGAAAGTAAGTTTGCAGTCCTCGCCACTGCTTGGCAAACACTTAGTTTCTAATAGCAACAAAACAGTATTAGGCTCCTAACTAACCTTTTGAAACATGAACAATAACATTTTTTGAAGCTTGTACAATAAGATGTCTTGCCAGAATAGAAAAGTAATTTCTGACATCAGTTTCCAACCATTTTAAGCAGCATGCTTTAGTGACTTCAGAGTTGGCATAAACCTACTAGAACCAATGCCACAACAAGGTTCCCACTCATGTATAAAAGGTCTTCCATTACCACGTTTGGGTCACGGAACCAGGATGACAAGTGCAGTATGTCAATAGGCCAGACATGTCAGCATAGTATGACACTTTTATATGGCACAAAAACTGCAAAAACATTCTCTAAAGTAACTAGACAACCCTGTTATTTGAGAAAGCTACTGGGCTCATAGAAAATTATTTTAAACTCGTGGCACTTCAGCATAAAGTGCCTGAAGCACACAAATAGCCAGCAGCAATACAAACTACTCGCAAAATCCTCTGATGCGCTGAAAATATATTATTTTTTGCAATCCTGGTTTGCACATAACAGTGAATGTCTGTGCCGAAAGCCTGCATTTTTTGGGATATTGCAAACCAGTAAACATAGATGCAACTATAGTGGGCCACTTCTTGCATTTCCCTCGGTGAGTGCCAGCACCAGAAAATTGTACAATATTGAAAGACATTTTAAATGCTAAAATGCTCCCCGAGTTGTAATTCACAACTTCTATTGTACATCGCACAATATAGCATGGTGCTAATAAGAACATGATTGCACTTACTCATCTAAGTTGACGCTCTTTGTCTTCGCCTCAGCTGTTTGAGGAGCCTTGCCGCCATTGTCATCCTTGCTTTTACTAGAACCTTGCTTTTGATCATTCTGGTCTTGACTGTGATGACCAGAATTTTCGGGAAACCGTTTCTTCAGCTTGCGGCACAACGTCAGGACCTCTTGCTGTCCTGTGACGAAGACTAGGATGCCTCCTTCAGGCAACTGCTGGTGTATCTTGCACACCTGGGGGGGGAAAAAGTTTTTTTTTTTTCGGCATTGCTCGACGCTACCAAAATTAATATGTGAAAGACACATTCTGCCTTAGGTACTGGCCAGTACTATCATGAGTATTATGAGAGGCAAGATTCGAACATGTGGCATACAGCTTTGAACTTGATGTTAGACAATTCGCAGTGGCAGCTGATGGAAACAGTGTGGAAAGTGCAGCACAATTCTGCTAACCTTGGAACTCCCTCTCATCTTGCTGGCGCTGACAAAAAAGGGCAGCTTACTGCTTGTCACCGGCCATTCACAGTGATAGGGCGGTAAAACGAAGCAGGGCACGGCAATCACTGTGTATTAATTTATGTGCTTGTTTGTTTGTGTGTGTTAGTGTTTTAGTGTGTGGGTCACAACACAGCAGGTGTTACGGTTTCAATCAGTTAACTGTATCATACCATACACATGTCGTAAAAGCAGACGCACAAAAAATGCGTAAAAGCTGAGAAGAGGAAGGAGAGACAACTATGCATGGCAAAATATTGCCCTTTCCGCCTTATTTCTAACAGCGCCATGTGAGTGCTGGGCGAACTGGGGTCTGACGCTATTCAGCAAGCGTTTCCATGTTCCCTCTCACAATGCTCATGATAGTACGTGAAATGCTGTTCAACAAACAAGCCCTGTGACATAAAAAACCCACACACATCAGCAACGAAAGATGTTGGGTATATGACTCTCGTTTTTCCCATTGTATGCTTACCACAAAATCACAACTAGTTTTATTCCATTAATAGTTTTTGTGGCCATAGTGCTTCAGAATCAAGACCATGATGCACTGTAAACATAGTAATTATTCCCCAACCAATCAACCAAAATAACCAGACATAAAACTCCTTGGCAAACCAACAAATGTCACGTGGCAAAGTTGACAAGTTATATAACATGTGTGAGAACAGGTCTGAGATTAAGAAGTTCACATGTATAGCATGGCAAGAGAAAGCATAAAACCGGGTTGATTGGTGGATCATTGGAGAGGCCTTTGCCCTGCAGTGGGCGTAGTCAGGCTGCTGCTGCTGCTGCTGATGATGATGATGAACAGGTCACCTCCGGGAAATCATGCAGTGTGTGTGACTGAATTGGTGCCGTGCAGGACAATCACTAAAATTATCCACTCAACGCACACAAAGACACTATGATGTATAAAGCAATAGAAAATTGTTAGACATGACATATTTGTCTCACGAAACTAGTTCAAGCAAGATTAACAGCTTGGAAAATCTCGGCCAAAGGTGCTTACCTTGCGGTACGCTTCGTGCATGTAGTCATCAGGTGTCCGCTTGTTGAAGTGAACGGTCACGGGGTGTTGCCTAGAGTCGACCTGTAAACAAATAGTGTATTTCAGCACTAGTTCACAAAAGTTATGTATTTGATAGGCACATTATACTGAAGACAGGCAGCCAGCCAGAACTCAATTAGCACCAAGCCTAGGTTGGTATGCGTGCACTAGGCCAGAGGAAGCTAAGTGGGGAAGCATCGTAATAAAAGTTCAGTTTGTAAGCACTGTTATTTAAGAAAAGGCTGATTCATCAAAGAGGAAAATTTTTTATCGCAGCCTGTCACCGAGCAGTACCGAGCAAACTTATAAGACAGTGTCAACTAAATGCAATGTGGATATTGGCAGGTTTATTAGCACTGGTTTCGCATGCTTCTAGGTAATATCACATACCATTTGATGCCAATAAGTAAAAGGATATTCCACATGTACCACCGTCATCAGAAGTTAGATTGGGTTTAGAAAGGTTTATAGGCATATAAAAGCCAAAACAATTTGGCAGGGCATTGTGCACATTAGGTTATGGGTTCAGTTTCCACTAATAAAAACTTTATTCTTTTTCATTTCCATTTCCTTCTACTAGAATATGAAGCTTCTTGCAAATTTACTCCAGATCATCTAACTATTTCTAAATTTCTATTAGAAGAGAAACATTCCCTTTTCCTACGCTTTCCTTCACATCGCTATCTGCTAACTTCACACGCATAATATGTCTATATATACGCAATCTTACCCCTTCCTTGGCCTCATTACCTGTTTGTTTTCGTTAAGATTGCATCACAAAAAAAAAAACCAACCCTCAAAATTCTCTTCCTTTATTCTACATAGACACAGAAGGAAAACTTCTTACAAACTGCACTTGATGCTATTTTTGCGACTCGCATGCAGTCACCGGTTTGATGTGCTGTCACAAAGTTTAGTACAGAAGTTCACAGCAAAAACCAGGCTTACGTGGATGACAGGTGGTGGCATTTTGAAGAGGTGTGTGTTTTGCGTGAAGTCCTCCACCCTGAGTGTTGCCGACATGATGATGAGCTTGAGAGGGATTGCTTTCTGCATTAAAATAATAAGTGTTAACTAGCAGAACAAGTATTATTATCTGTAACGTTTCAGTATAGCATGCCACACTAGCTTAAACGTCATTAAGTGACATTAAAAAAAAAAAAGTACGCCGAGTTTCATTGCTAAAGTATCCTTTCAGGACAGAAAATAAAAGCAACTACTGCTCTGGTGCGAGCTTAAAAAGCTAAGAGAGACGTTTGCTCTAGTCTAGCTACTTATTTTCGCCACTAAAGACATACTAGATGGCACTGTAAAGAATGCACAGGCCAGGCATGACAGGTTTAGAGATATCTTAATGCAAAAAATGACACAGCCGTGAAAATCACTCGGAATGCAGTCATAGAACACTGACATATAAATGCTGAAATTCAGACACAATTAGAAAATATTTAGTTGTTTCTCCATCATACTCTTTTCTCATCTAGTAAACAAGCTCATTTAGCTAAGTTAAGAAAAATAGTTTAAAATGCGCTACTAGTATAAGCTCACCTAATGCTCGCCTTTAGTGTCTTTTTCATACAGACCAGTTGAAAGAATGAAAGTTAATAATCTACAACAGCTGCAAGATTTTAAATTTTTCTTTGTTTTCTTTTGTAGCATGGTTACACAAGCCAAACTTGATTAAATAATTTCAAATAATTGAGATAATATCGAGTTGTTATCTTTATTCTTATGTTTCTCAGAACGCTGCTTTTAGATCTAAATATTTTCATCATCATCATTATCATCATCAGCCTGACTACGTCCACCGCAGGACAAAGGCCCATGTGCCCATGTTCCGCCAGTTAACCCGGTCCTGTGCTTGCTGCTGCCAATTTATACCCGCAAACTTCTTAATCTCATCTGCCCACCTAACCTTCTGTCTCCCGCTAACCCGCTTGCCTTCTCTGGGAATCCAGTTGGTTACCCTTAACGACCAGCAGTTATCCTGTCTACCCGCTACATGCCCTGCCCATGTCCAATTCTTCTTCTTGATTTCAGCTATGATATCCTTAATCCCCGTTTGTTCCCTAATCCACTCTGCTCTCTTCTTGTCTTTTAAGGTTACACCTACCATTTTTCTTTTCATTGCTCGTTGCGTCGTCCTCAATTTAAGCTGAACCCTCTTTGTAAGTCTCCAGGTTTCTGCTCCGTAGCTAAGTACCGGCAAGATACAGCTGTTATATACCTTCCTCTTGAGGGATAGTGGCAATCTACCTGTCATAATTGGAGAGTGCTTGCCAAATGTGCTCCCCCCCATTCTTATTCTTCTAGTTACTTCAATCTCATGGTTCGGCTCCGCGGTTATTACCTGCCCTAAGCAGACATAGTCTTCTACAACTTGAAGTGCACTATTACCTATCTCGATGCGCTGCTCTTTTCTGAGGTTGTTGTACATTACTTTCGTTTTCTGCAGATTAATTTTAAAACCCACCTTTTCTGCTCTCCTTGTCTAACTCCGTAATTATGAGTTGCAATTCGTCCCCTGAGTTATTGAGCAAAGCAATGTCATCGGCGAAGCGCAGGTTACTAAGGGACTCTCCATTAACTCTTATCCCTAACTGTTCCTATTCTAGGCTTCTGAGAACCTCCTGTAAGCACACGGTAAATAGCATTATGGAGATTGTGTCCCCCTGCCTTACACCCTTCTTGATTGGTATTCTGTTGCTTTCATTATGAATCACTATGGTAGCAGTTGATCCCTGTAGATTTCTTCTAGGATGTTTATATATACTTCATCGACGCCCTGATTCCGCAGTGTCTGCATGACAGCTGATATTTCTACTGAATCAAACGCCTTCTCGTAATCTATGAAGGCTATGTATAGTGGTTGGTTATATTCTGAGCATTTCTCTATTACCTGATTGAGCCACTCTATATTACTTACAATAAGAGCTAAGATAAGGGTGTACAAGCAATGAACCTTTCTGTGCGCCTCTTCACCAAGCAATAACTGCCAGAAACATTAGTACTAAAAGTGCTAGGAAGACCGCAGGCTTCATTAAAAATTATAGAACACTTGCAAACACAAACATGCAAAGACACATTCTCCAAGAAGCAATGATGTTCAAAACAGAGGTAACTGAATCATCAAAACATGATTATACTGCTGCTTAGTGCTTTCGTGGCATCTCTTAGAATGGAATTGCTACTCGAATGAAACTACCACCTCTAATTTGGATGGTTTCATAGTTGAGTACTGCCACTCTGTTCATCTATCAATAAACAGAACTCCGGTTGAATGGAAATAGTATTTTCTTGGCCCCTTCAGGTTTCGTTCAACGAGATTCTTCTTATTATGACACGCTTTTATGTCTTTAAACATAAAAATTTAAACATAAAAAATTGAACAAAATTAGGTCAGGTTTGGTGCAAGGCTACTCACCCGCCTTCGCAGCGGCACGATTCTCGACAGGAGGCCAATCAGGATGTCAGAGTAGATGCTCCGTTCGTGAGCCTCGTCGATTATTATCGCGGAGTAGCCAGTCAGGAGAAAGTTCTGAAACGTGTGAAAGAGACGCAAAAAAGAGTGGATGACAGAGATTCTTCAAACGATGGCGCCAAGTGCCAAGAACAAAAGCAAGATGACAAACGCTGTCCGGTGTTCTCCATCTCACTGCTTTTGAGTCTCATAACCCGCCCATTACCTAGACGAAAATTCGACAAACCAGGAATCTTTGTTAGGTACAGATTAACGCATTACAAGCAGGCCATGCTAAAGACATCTGCAATCAATGTTCCTGCAGGTGAAAGAACGCGTTCCAGTTAGAATCCAAGCAAAGATGAACTTCGCTGACTAGCAACTGTGGCAACAGCACAGTAAAAAAAATGTGCCCTCTCTATGAAGCAACGGAAGCACCGTGCACAGGTATCAAGTTTTTCAGGCTCTTTCTGATCCCGAAAATTATGTACCAGCTATTCACATTTACAATATACAGCTGTAAAGTTTTCACAACTGATAACAGTACATTGACTAGCGTTTCAGTGTCAACCACACCCACAAAGGAAGACGTATGTATGAGGTGAAACTCCCGTTAGAATGGGCGCTCTGACAAAGACATAAAACTCTCCGACAGAGACATTTCAGTTGTCAGCACCTTGCAGCTCAAAGCTGCAACCACGAAATTAAAAAAAAGAGAGAAAAGACAACGCTACCGACCGAGCGCCTCTGAACGCCCTCTGCGTACCGGTTCCGTGACTGCAGCAGAACACAATGCGTGTGCGCGACCGGTTCACTTCGAAATTGAAATGATGGCAATTCCCTTGTCTACTGCAAGATACCGCCAGCATTATTTTGCCCTCCGGCAATGTGACGTTATCTGGTCGCCTCAAAGAGCGGAGTTATACCTCCTAAATGTTTCTTCCTCCGGGACCACACCTAAGGATCACTGCTAGAATGTTTACCACTTCCCATTTTACTATTTGTGACTAGGACATAACCAGAACTCTTTCTCAGGAAGTGTCAGACCCCTTTAATGTATTTCTAAGAACATGTTTGTGTGTGTGTGTGTGTGTGTGTGTGTGTGTGTGTGTGTGTGTGTGTGTGTGTGTGTGTGTGTGTGTGTGTGTGTGTGTGTGTGTGTGTGTGTACATAAACACACAAAATGTTACATTTTCGAATGTAGGGAGGGAAGTGGAGTGGATTTATTCACCTCAACTATTTTCCTGGCTGTGGCCTCTGCCATAAACCAAGCTGGACATTTAAGATTAATGTGTCAACAGATTAGCTCATAGTGCATTAAAAGGACATTAAAGTGAAACATATTTGTATATCAGAGATGTGCTTTTCAGAGCCCCGATGGGCAGGAAGGAGGAGCAGTTCAGATTTAGTGGGTGAACAGGTCAGATTCAAGTACTGTGGCGACAGCTGCAGACTCACACCTTTCCTTCTCCTTACATTCTTCACCTCATGTACCCTTCTCTTTACCCGTCCTCCTGTAAATATTGCCCCGCACAGAAAGCAAATCTTAATCATATCATGTGGGGGTGCCCTAAGCACCCCCCTCCACCGTCCCTTCGAAAACTAATTAGTAATGAGGAGCAGTGGGAGGCTGCCATGCGCAGCTTGAAACCCGACGTCCAGGAGGCCATCCTGGGTTGGGCAGAGAGGGTTGCGGAGGACTATCGAGCGTAGCAATCTCTCCTCATCTCTCTTCCATTGCACCTTTCCTTTACAAAGGAAAAATAAAGTTTATACCTACCTACCTAAAGTGAAACATTGTTTCAGTTTAGACTGATAAATATTAATCTAAAAACACTAGAGTCATTACTTTTCCCGTCATAGGCTCATTATTTAAAGATAAAATCAGCCTCAAAGTTTCATTGTTAATTTTCACACTGAATCTCTGACAGATCTGGAAATGTGTTATTCATATTGAGGTCACACCGACTCACCGAAATGTTCTGAAACTTAGAATGCTAGGTCCCTGGCCCTATCAGAAGACAATATGCTTTATATTTACCAACTAGGGTTTACGCACACCCTAATAGACATTGTTAAAATCTATGAAGTCTTGGCAATTGTTCTGTGAACTTCAAAAGAGCATCAGCAGCTGTAATTTTTTCTTTTTTTTTTTTGCATTCTTTTACTTACCAGGCACTTTCCAATGGCAAGCATGCTGTTTTTAGTGTCACGAAATAGTCATTTACCAATACAAGAAAAATTACATTTTTCTTTCAGTGTTCCTTAGGCTTTCTCACATTTTCACATTGCATCAGTAAATGTTAGTTCTGATGACCTGAATGACCAAGAGAAAGTGCTATATTTTTCTGGGTGGCGTGGCATGGAGCTGATGCGAAACACATCAAGTACACTTACGTTTTGAATCTCTTTCAGGAGGACGCCGTCGGTCATAAATTTGATTTGGTGTCGCGAGTGACATTGCCTTCGAAACGGATTTGATACGAGACCTCGGACGACGAAAGGCTCATCTCCTCGGCAACTCGCTTTGACATGGACACGGCGGCCACACGTCTGGGCTCGGTAATACCCACAATTTTTTCCCTGCAAGACAGTAGGTAATAGACAGCTTGTAGTCAAGACACAGCCTTTACATGCACTACAACATTGTCAGGTGAGAGTAGGTCAATCAAGTGCTTTTCTAATGCGATCGCACCTTCCCACAGGCCTCGCCCTACTGGGGCACCAGCATGTTAAATCTCTCTATAGAGTTCTAGACATCCTGAAAGACACTAGACAGTGCAATATCTGGCGGTGAAGCACTACTCTATGGTAATCTGTTCTGATGTCCTGTCCTCTGCCTTGGTGAATTTGAGGCTACCGACAAGAACTGTACACACATAGCAGTAACTCATCTACCCGAAAGCAAATTGTGATTAATTGCATCCTGTATTCTCGGACATCACCTTTAGAAGCTTCCTTTTTGTAATCCACAGAAATTCTACACCCATTGAGTGTCATCAAAAATAAAAACAAATAAAAAAAGAATAACAGAAAGCTGAGCTAATTGGCAGTAATTCATGATAAAAAAGTAGGTGTGGAAACACGGACACAAAAGAGAAGTCAGGACAGCATGGTGTTAGTGTTGCCTGACTTCTCATTTGTGTTTGTTTAGTGCCTGCATGCCCTGTCTTAAAAGAAAGCGAAGCAGGGTGTCCTTCAGTTTCGGCCGCTACTCAAAAAATAACAGCAGTAGCCAGCTAACCCATGCAGCTAGGACAGCACCATGCACTGGGTAACTGTTCGTTAGCTTTTTCACCTCCAAGCATTCTACAAATTCAATGAAGCAATTTGGCGAGCCGCCAGTAATTTGCATACCTGGCGTATCCAGCCTCGTAAAGAAACTGGGGAACCTGTGTTGTCTTGCCCGAGCCAGTCTGGCCACAAATCACCACAATGTCATTTTGAGCTATGGCTTCCATTATTCTTTGTTCTTCCGCCAGGATTGGAAGCTTGTGGCGAGCTTTCTGAAAGGAAATAGCAAACACACAAAGAAATTAAAAGCAATGTGGCTGCTGAATAACCCACTCAAACCAGAAGTAGAGGGACTGTGGGTGTACAGACAGGTCCGGCCCACTGTGCAGGGCATGTCTAGATTTTACTGATTGATTGATATGTTGGGTTTAACGTCCCAAAACCATCATATGATTATGAGAGACACCGTAGTGGAGGGCTCCGGAAATTTCAACCACCTGGGGTTCTTTAACGTGCACCCACATCTGAGCACATGGGCCTACAGCATTTTCGCCTCCATTGAAAATGCAGCCACCGCAGCCGGGATTCGATTCCACGACCTGCGAGCCAGCTGCCGAGTACCTTAGCCACAAGACCACTGCGGCGGGGCCAGATTTCACTGTCATGCAAAAGCACAGAAACTTAGCTGTCCATAATAAACTCAAACCTCATTATAACAAAGTTGGACCTTACATAAAAATAAGTTCGTTATATCCGAAAATTTGTTATAGCTGTACATTTTTAACATTGTACCTATTTATAGTTAAGAATGACACATTTGCCCAACAATCAGTAATATATCTATTGGAAGACTATTTTTAATTTAGTTCATTACAATCGATATTTTCTTATATCCAGGTTCATTATATCAATCTTTGAGTGTACTACTGGTATTTTACAGTTCTCGATTCCTTTTGACAAACTGGTGACATGCACGAACCACTACACATGCGTGGTAAAGTGGCGCGTATAAACACGATCTGCTTTCGTGCTCATCTCCCACTGTTTGCAGCATGTGTTGTGTGTTTACAACTAAGTAGTTCCCGCAGATCAAAACATTTATAAGATAAGTGGTTCAAGAGGTTTTCCGCATTATCATTCCGCAGTTAGTTACTCAGAGTGGTGAGCTTTTCATTGTGCTAAAGAAAACAGGCACCACAAAAATTGGTTATTGGTCCTTTGTAATTGCATAAAATCTACAGAGAGGTTGCAACACCAAATGTATGCTTCGGAACAATAAGTATGTTTGTTTTTTCCCCACAAAAGCTACCCACGTGGCCTGTAGCACGAGCCTTGAAGTGAGAGCATTCACAACACTGTGCTAGCACGGCAAGCCTAGCGCAAAGTAAACACTGCTGTTACTCACAAAAAGCAATGAGCTTAGCTGATCGCACGAAATCTCACGAAGATATCTAAAAACATAGCCGTCTGAGAACACATCCCCAGTTTTCTCAGCTTGGCTAACTCGTTTTCTGTGCGCTGAGTTTGTAGGTACAGCGTGCAACAAGTTTTAGAGTCTAACAGTCTAAAACCACTCGTACAGTGACCAACCAGGGCGTCAGAATGATTTTTTTTTTTTTTTCGGTTTTAGTTTTAAGCTACCACCAAAAGTTCCGTTCCGTTTCTGTTTCAGATAAAAAAAAAAGTTCTGTAATGGTTTGTAATGCTACTTATTTATGTGCGAAATTTTTTAGAATAACGATAAAAATATTAATTTTGTCGTATAGCTACTCACAAGAGTAAGAAATGTTCTTCCCAAATTCTTGAGAGGAGCACAGATAATTATACCACAAATTCCTACGAATCAGCACAAACTAGTGCCCTTCTAAATTACAGCAGACTTTCTCAGAAGTTGTAGTGGAGCAGACGCTCCACTACAACTCAACACAACTTACTACACAAAAGTCAATTATAAATTTTTTTGAGCAGGCACTCCCTTGTGTCAAAGGAGTGTCATGATCTCAGAAGCAACCTGTCATAGAGTGTACCTCTCAAATGCGAGACCGCTGTACATATGAAAACCAACTTCAGCGCTAAAAACGCTTTCTCCAAGCTGGCATGCGTTACAGGCACACAAAAGTCCCCCTGAGTTCATACAAAGATCTCTGGTTGCCACTGCTTTCGTTTTTCGCACAATATCAACGCATCACTACTTAGGAATTCCCACCGAAATACGTGCTAGTAGACGTGCATTAGTGCTTGCGCTATATGACCTCTGTTATTGGAAAGTCATGTTTCCACTTGAATAAAAAGCAATAAAAAAATTCGGTTTCACTCAAGAACGAAATGATAGATTTCATTTCGGTTACCTTTTCGTTCCAGTAAAAAAATATCGTTTTTTATTTGCGGTTTTCGTTACATTCCGATGTTCTGGTCGTGGCACCAAACATATTACTAAATATTGTATTATTCTCTGCATAAGATTTAGGAATTGACAAGACTGTTGCTACTGAAAGGATCGCTAAAAAAAATCAGAACACGTTCACAGATCGAGGGATCAAAAGTGCTGCGGTATTTCAAGCACTCCACAATAATATTGCCTAAGGAAATGACACAAGAAAGTAAATTCTTATCAAACTAATCCCAACAATAACTTTTATTTGCTGATATTACGGCACAATTTTTAGGCTTACAAACTACTACTTCACTTGAGTGCACTGGCTTTCTGCATATCTTTTTTTTTTCTCACACCAGCATTTGATATCAGGGTGACCAAGGGAATACGCTGTCATGTTGCGGCTAAGCGGCTCCAGTGAAGAAGCGGAAGAAACCCATGACGGGTGGCCGGTGCGGCAGGCGGGAACACCAGATAGCTACAGCACGGCGGGGTTGGCGTTCAGCGCCGAAGAAGATACATTCGAGTGCTCATCACACACTGCTCAAACACTTTTTTTACACAACACCTCGTGAGCGCCCTCACGGTGTGCACGATGGTACCATCGCTGCTTAGCGAGGTGCCACTCAGCGAATTGGATAAACAAACCAGAACTAGACAAAACAATCCACAACATATACCAAAAATGAAATTGGGCCACTTAAGAGAGCAAGGAAATCGACTTACTTGGACCTCTTCAGTCCTGTGAACAGGCATAAAAACTGATGGCTTGGAACATTGAACAGGTTTCACTTGAGGCTGCTGTTTGCTTTCCGCTGGTGTCGCTGCGTCAGTGTCAGCATTTTTTATGCCCACATTGGCTGCACCTTCTGCCACGCCATCACTTTTCACATTGTCACTGCTCTCTTCTCCGTCTTCCTTCCCTTCCGAATCATTCTTGCCACCACCAGACCCCTCCTCGCCAGTGGACTGCTCGTCGTCATCCGTCGCATCATCTTCAGATTCGGATGATTCCGAATTGAAACCCAAGACATCGTCCCTGTCGATGCGGGCTCTCTTGGGTTCCATTCGCCTGCTTCCTTTGACGCTGCTTATTCGTGTTGGCCCCTTCTTCTCGTCCAACTGAGGCGCTGTTGTGAGCTCGCTTAGGCTGTTGGAGAGAGAGAGTAAAGATCTCTATAATTACAAGACAGCCAAGGATAAGTTCCTTCGGTCTGGGATGCCTTGGGCTCAGGCAGAGTCATGGGGCCTCACAACCAACTTTAGCAGGAGTGCAAATCTGGACATTGTAAAATTCTGCCCCTCATCAACTCTGATTGGCCCAGAGAACTGATATGACCTCTCTGGTACGCTTAAAATTCCACTATAATAAAATTTGAGGCAGAACATGTTCAGAATAGCACCCCTGATATTGGGAGTTTTTTGAACCAAGAACAAGATAAATACCACTGTGCTGTCCAGCCTCTTGTAGGAGGCAGGAGAGGACAGCCAATTTTGTAGAGAATGTGCATGCAGTGTGATGTGTGCAGATGCTTTAGTCCCTAAGAAATGAGTTAAAATTGAAGCAGAAATACCACCGACGTTGCATATAGCGAGAGAAAAACAAAATGAGGCAGCCAGTAGGAGGTGGCGTTATAGTATAAATTTGACTAGAAGGTAGCAGGTCGAGAGAAGGGGAGAAGTATCATACAGCCAATTCAGTGCCAAATGTACTGAGAATTCTTTGTAACGTACATGTTTTATGACACAGAAACAGGGTACAATAACAGAGCGAAATATAAATCTTCTTGCATGTCTGGTTTTATTCAAAAGGCATAAAAACAGTGACTCGACATCAATCACTGAAGGCGAATCACCAAAGTTACATGCATAAAACATGACTAATGAAAAATATGCACTTTATATCGCTATTGCCCTTTAACTGTATGGCAGAACTGTGCAGCATTGAGACCACAACTGTTTCTTTTTAAGTTACATAACGACCAAGCAATATTGTCACGTGCTTGCCCAAGAAAGACGATGACAGTTGTGCATGTGCCACGAAGGACTACGAAATGGACGAAGAAGAACTCACTTGTGCGTTCTAATTAAAAAGATCGACCTGCTTCTGGTGTCTCAGTCTCTACGGCAAGACCTCTGTTTTGACGTCGTGACACTGGTGGAGGTGCGGGGTACAACCGGATGCAGGACAGTCTTGCTCGGACCCGTTCATCTAGTCCAGAGACCCAGCCCCTCGTCACGACTCCGGTGCACCGATTCAGTCGGCGCCTACTAGGCCTAAGTCCGGAGTCCGTACCTGTTCCGCCTCTAACCAGCATGGCAGCTCCTACCACATCCACGGCTACCCTTCCATCGCAGACCACACTTCCCTCCCAGGTGACTCTTGAACATCCTCGCGTTCCTGAAGTTTTCCATGGGGAAGAGTACGAGGATGTCGAGGACTGGCTCGAACAGTTCGAACGGGTGGCTGTATCTAACCACTGGAACGAACAGCACAAACTTGGCCGTGCATATTTCGCCCTGGAAGATAGCGCTCGCACGTGGTACGAGAACCACGAGGCTACTTTCCAATCTTGGGAAGATTTCCGCCGAAAGCTTCTCGCCACATTTTTGAACACGGACCGACGGGATCGCGCACAGCAACTGATTGAGGCTCACGCACAAAAACCCAACGAAACAGCCGCCATGTACGCAGAGGGTATGATCCGTCTGTTTCGACGAGCTGACCCTGACATGCCCGAGGTGAAGAAGGTGCGTCACCTGATGCAGGGTGTAAAAGAACCAGTGTTTGCGGGCCTCGTACGAAATCCACCTACAACAGTAGATGAATTCATAAGAGAGGCGACTGTCATCGAGCGCGCACTGCGACAACGATACCGACACTTTGACCGCCTGCCGAACCACACGGCAGTAAGTGCTGCAGCTCAGAACACTGCCGTGTGTGAAAGTTCCCTGCGACAAATGATTAGGGAAATACTGCGTGAGGAACTTCGGGCCCTCTGCGTCCCTCCTACCCAACCGTCCGTCGCATCTGTTGCCGAAATCGTCCGCCAGGAGTTGAGGCAAGCCGTTACACCACCGGCGCCAAGTCCTGAGCGACATCCAGCGAGCTACGCTGATGTGGTCCGTCGTCCTCCACCGTCAATTGTGGCGACATCCTTCCAGCTACGACCAGCGGCCGTACCTTTGTGGCAACGGGATTCCATGAGACGACCACCAGTACGCCGAACTGACTTGTGGCGCATGGCCGACCGTCGACCTATTTGCTTCCGCTGCGGAGAACCAGGTCACATTGCTCGCTATTGCTGTCATAGCGATTCCGGCTTCGGGAACTTTTCTCGTCCCGCTTCTTTCCGCTCTGAAGACCGTCGTGCCCACGATGCCGATCAACTGTCGACTGGCCAAGCAACTACACCGCGTCGCTGGCGATCTCCATCTCCTGCGCGTCACCGTGACTTCCCTCAGAGCTACGCGGACGTCACCAGAGGCCGTTCGCCTAGCCCGCGCTGGGGAAACTAACTGCTGCGACCTCCAGGGGCAAGGTTGCCAATCGTCGAGACACCGAAAAGTTCCCCCTATCATCGCAAGAAGGTATGACGACAACCACGACAAATACGACGACGAATACTAATGCCACTGAAGTTGTACGTGCTGATCTTGGCGTTTTCATTGACAGACATTACGTTACAGCACTGGTCGACACTGGCGCCGACTTCTCAATCATGCGACAAGAACTCGCCGACCACCTAAGAAAGGTCAAGACATCGTGGACAGGGCCACACATAAGGAGTGCTGGTGGTCAGCTGATGATTCCCACGGGTAAATGCACCGCTCGACTTCGCATTGGGGATTCTAGCTTCGTGGCCACTTTCGTCCTGTTGCCAGACTGCTGTAAAGAGCTAATTTTGGGCATGGATTTTCTTCGAGATCATAACGCTATTATCAACATCCCTCAACGTATGGTGACGTTTTACACACATCCGTATGTCGACGACAGCAGCGGCGAACTACGCGGCAGTTTGCGAATAGCCGACGATGTGAAGCTCCCACCGAGATCCTGCTGCCTTGTGTCTGTGTCCAGTGGGTGGCCTTCCTATAAGGATGTGATAGTGGAGCACATAGTCGCTCTTTTGCTCACTCAAGGCATTTCCATCGCGAGAGGCATCCTAACGCTTACTGGTGGACAGGCAGAAGTGCTCCTTAAAAACTTCAGCGACGAGCGCCGTCAAATCCAGAAGGGTACCGCAATTGCCTACTTCGACGATATAGACCAAGCCGGGGATTGCTGTGCTTTGCAACCAGATGACGCGACAGTCCCTGCCTCGACAACTTTGTCGGTGGACATCTGCTCCACGCTACCGTCCTCTGATAAAAAGCGTCTGCTTGGACTTATACACCAATTCGAAGACTGCTTTTCACGTACGTCAAAGGTCCAGCGGACACCATTGACCAAGCACCGCATCATCACCGAAGACAACACGCGACCGATTCGGCAGAACCCCTACCGTGTGGCTCCGAAAGAACGCGAGGAGATTCAGAAGCAAGTACAGAAGATGCTCGTGGATGACGTCATACAACCTTCCAAAAGTCCTTGGGCGTCCCCCGTGGTTTTGGTCAAGAAAAAAGACGGCAGCTTGCGTTTCTGTATTGATTATCGCAAGTTGAACCAAGTCACGAAGAAAGACGTCTATCCACTGCCTCGCATAGACGATTCACTCGATCGGCTGCGTAATGCGCGCTATTTCTCTTCAATGGACCTGCGAAGCGGCTACTGGCAGATAGAAGTCGACGAGAGAGATCGTGAAAAAACGGCCTTTGTGACGCCTGATGGCCTTTACGAATTTAAGGTGCTTCCTTTTGGGTTGTGCTTGGCGCCAGCCACTTTTCAGCGTCTCATGGACACCGTACTATCGGGCCTGAAGTGGCAAACATGCTTGGTCTATCTGGACGATGTTGTTGTATTCTCAGCATCATTCGAGGAACATCTCAGCCGTCTATCCACCGTACTCCAAGCCATGCGCTCGGCCGACCTGACTTTAAAACCAGAAAAATGTCATTTTGGTTTCAACGAACTCAGCTTCCTAGGCCACCTCGTCAGTCACGAGGGTGTTCGACCTGACCCGGCCAAAATAGACGCTGTAGCGCAATTTCCTGCACCCCGTGACAAAAAGGCTGTGAGACGCTTCTTAGGGTTGTGCGCCTATTACCGGCGATTTATCGAGGACTTTTCGTCTATTGCGGCGCCATTGACACGACTCACACGTGAGGACGTCCCCTTCTTTTGGGGTGAACAGGAGCAAATGGCATTCAATGAACTGCGACAACGCTTGCAAACACCTCCAGTCCTTGCACACTTCGACCAGGACGCCCCTACAGTACTTCACACTGACGCCAGCAATGTAGGTCTAGGTGCCGTTCTGGTGCAGTGGCAAGACGGCTGTGAAAGAGTAATAGCCTACGCCAGCAGAACTCTCTCTCGCACGAAGGATAACTACTCGACCACCGAGAAGGAGTGTCTCGCCGTGGTGTGGGCAGTCATCAAATTTCGTCCGTATTTGTACGGCCGCTCCTTCAAGGTTGTTAGCGACCATCACTCTTTGTGCTGGCTCACCAACCTTAAAGATCCATCTGGTCGTTTGGCGCGCTGGAGCCTAAGACTTCAAGAGTTTGACATGACCATCGTCTACAAATCTGGGAAGAGGCACACCGACGCCGACTGTCTCTCACGGTCGCCAGTGGAAACTGTCGCTCCTGATGACGAAAACATCGACGCGGCATTCTTGGGAGTTGTCAACACAGCCACTATTGCACGAGAGCAGCGCAGTGACCCTGAGCTGCTACCACTCATTGAATATTTAGAAGGACGACGTAAAGACGTGCCGCGGTTATTTGCTAGAGGACTGCCATCTTTTTGCTTGCGAAATGATGTTCTCTATAAGAAAAACTTTTCACCAACTGGTAACCCGCACTTGCTCGTCGTGCCTGCCTCTCTTCGAAAAGAAATTATGGAAGCGTGCCATGATGAAGCAACTTCTGGTCATCTAGGCTACACCCGAACATTGTGCCGACTACGATGCAAGTACTACTGGCCAAAGTTACCTGCTGCTGTTAACCATCACGTGCGAACGTGCACCGACTGCCAAAGACGCAAAGCGCCTTCCAGCAAGCCAGCCGGTCTTTTACATCCAGTCGAAGCACCAGAAAAGCCATTCACCCAGATTGGAATGGATTTCCTGGGTCCCTTTCCAACTTCCACAACAGGGAACAGATGGATTATTGTGGTCACTGATTACCTGTCCCGTTATGCGGAGACTAAAGCTATGCAGCGTGGCACAGCAGCAGAAGCCACTCAGTTTTTCATCGAAAACATCGTCCTTCGGCATGGCGCTCCGACAACAGTGATCACAGACAGAGGACCTGCCTTCACCGCAGAGCTTTTGGAGTCGGTTCTCAGACTCAGCGGTACAGCTCACCGGAGAACAACTGCATACCATCCGCAGACAAACGGACTGACGGAGCGCCTCAATAGGACCCTCACAGACATGATCAGTATGTACGTTGACACAGAACATAAAAACTGGGATCAGATATTGCCGTACGTGACCTTTGCTTATAACACCGCTCGACAAGAAACCACTGGAATGACACCGTTCAGTCTGATCTATGGTCGCGAAGTCACGACAACATTAGACGCCATGTTGCCGCATGAGTGTGACGACATCCATGTAGACGCCGAAGAATTCACTCAGCGTGCCGAAGAAGCCAGACAGCTCGCGCGCGTGCGCATCTGTCATCAGCAGCATCAAGATGCACAACGCTACGACAACCGACACAAGTTTGTTAGCTACTCACCAGGCGACAAAGTGTGGGTCTGGATTCCGATACGTCGACGTGGACTGTCTGAGAAACTGCTCAGACGGTACTTTGGTCCATACAGCGTCACGCGACGCTTGAACGACGTGAACTACGAAGTTGTTCCCGACACTAATTGTAGTTCTAAGCGCCAAAAGCGTTTGCCCGCAGTCGTGCACGTCGTGCGTATGAAACCATATTTATCGAGTTAATTAGCTCCCGGTTACCGTTTTCGTACGACCACTTCATACGCCTGGTAGAGCACCTAAGTTGCGCATCGGGACGATGCTTCTTTCGGAGGGAGGCAAATGTCACGTGCTTGCCCAAGAAAGACGATGACAGTTGTGCATGTGCCACGAAGGACTACGAAATGGACGAAGAAGAAGAACTCGCTTGCGCGTTCTAATTAAAAAGATCGACCTGCTTCTGGTGTCTCAGTCTCTACGGCAAGACCTCTGTTTTGACGTCGTGACAATATGACGTAGCTTTTTAGAAATCACAGCTCTGGTAATCCTCTTACCGTTTCAGACCTTTGGTCTGCATGGCGGACGTGGAAATCAGCATAGAAAGCTCCTTCTGGCTGGCCTGTGATTTCTGAAGTTCTTCTAGAAGGTGAGCCCTCTGAATTGAGTGATAAGGTGAAAAATATATAAATTATAATAAATAGCATTACTGAGCAGAAAATTACTCGAACTGCAAATATCTGAACAGCCTGTAAATACATGATTTTAAAGGAATAGGCATATAGGTGACACAAAAATTAATGAAAGGTGAAGTACACTGATTGGAACATTTTTTTATGCAGTCAAGGAACTTTGCTAATACATGTGTTTACATAGAGCCATTTTTGGAGCTGCACATTTTATTTCCCTTTCCAAACACTAAACTATGCCAAGTTTACATTCAAAAATATTTTACTAATGGCTGCACCCCCCCCCCCCCGAGTTATAATTTCTGAATTCAATTTCTATATATTACGTGACGTGTATGCTTTTTTCCCCCTAATGTGACTCAATGCTAAAGAAAACTAAAAATAAAAATTTGGGAAAGACTGCAAAAAATAACAATACTGACAAAAGAGACATGAGTAGTTCGTTACAGAGACCTAAGTAAAAATGCAGTACCAGGTGCTAGTTGTAGAAGACAGATGCAAAAATTTTGAAGTCGTAAAATGTAGTGCTACTCAGCCCACTGCTGAAGCGTAGTGCAATTGATCGAATTTAGAACTTCCATTGAGAGATCACAAACCAGTGCAAGTGTGAGTTATATCGTACTGCACATGCTTCAACAATTCTAAAAGGCATCTTCAGTGGAAACCCAGACCCGCGAGTGCATTGAATGCATTTTTTAACTTACGTGCTGCAATTTAAACTGCCATTTTCATTGATCCTAATATTTCAGCCCTTCAAAGCTAATTCAATTGTCTATTTGACAACAATTATTTTTCACCAGAAAATAAACTTTGCACATTAACGTATGATCTTTGGATGGAGAAATCTGAGGCGGTCAAGCACAATGTCTGGGATATTAGAAATGGTTGATCAATTTACATTTCTCTCGTTTTGAATTTCAACACATATTTGAAATTTTGCGCAAGTACTGCTTCAGCCTGACACGATGGAAACACTATAAGAAATGTGTCAGTACAATGCGAGTACAAAATGATAATAGTAAATTTGATTAGGTGTTTAAAAACGTACGTTGATCTTTTTGCTCTTCTTTTCCAATATCTTCTGGAGCAGTTTCTTCTTCTTCTTGGACAGCTTCGGGGCCGCCTTGACGTCTTGTGATTTGTTGGCTTCTTTCTTGCCAGCTTTCTTGGAAGGCAGTACTAAGGCATTGCTGCTGTCGTACTTGTCCTCCCTAACGTCTAGTCGCACTTCGACCTGCAGGCAAGACGGCAAGCCATGGTTCATCTCCACTAACAGTGCTTTTTTTTTTTTTTTTTTTTTTTGCGAGAACGACACTTAGTTTAGTTTCGCGTTCCTGCGACGCAGTACGCGTTATACCAGGCACACTGTACGTAGCATTGCCGATAATACAGAAACGACATCACGCGTTCTTAATTTACCGCGGGAAATGGCGAGAGCTGGCGAACTTAAAGTGATTGACAACACACACGCAACACAACCGTGAACACTGCACTGCGTCATACTGAGCAACAAGTTCATGGTGATCCTTACACACTAATTCAAGTAAGAAAACGCTAGGAACTGACCTCCCCTGGTTTGTCGTTGCCCGTGGACGCTTTACATTGCGAGCCTCTTGCTTTGGCATCGTATTTACGGCGCGATCGACCCATTCCGCAGGAGATCGCACAACGCTACACGACACTAGAGTGTACCAGAAGTAACGACACTCAACGAAACGCACGTGGATCGAGTTATTGCGCCGAAAGGCACATTGTTGCTATCGTAACAATCGAAGCTCGCCAAAAAAACTTTAATGTATCGCCCAATTTAAAAACTTTCGCATATTATTGTTTATTTGCCGCAACGTTTATCACGCATTTTTGAGCTGTTTTATGATTTGTAAAGTGTTTTATAACTTTTAGGTTTGTTTAAACAAAATACAAAAAAAATTGCGATAGTGTAATGATTGTTAGTGCTCTATGCACGCCTCACCCATGCATTAAACTTTACTTACTACCGCTACGTGACATTGCAAACTTAATGACAAAGATTTAGTAACTAAAACTTTAGTTAAAGCACACACAAAAAAGTTTTTTGTTTTAATGATACTAGATTACGCGTAATTGACATATAACACGTTTTATTTTAATTTTACTATTTGTTTTGAGTTTGTGCTGCCGCATTGTGGCGAAAAAGTTAGTGTGTACGCTTGATGACTGTAGTTTGAGCACTATGGTGTGTTAAACTTTGCCCAAACTACGCGCGCTTTCCAAAAAAGCAGTGGAGAAAAACATCAGCTAACATGAATTTCGCTCAAGTTCACAGCGATGTAATGAAACTCCTATTCGAGAATCTTGCCAAGGAGTTCCGTGACAAGAAGACGGGTACGTAGTCTTTTCGGAACCTAACCGCCAGCCCAGTATCAAAATTTCTTGGAACTATGTCCACCGATTGACAAACCTCGTTCGTGCACGTGTTTCAGTTTCTACCCAAACGCTGAATGAGTGAGTATCACCGCATTCGTGCGTTGGCTTCTCAATAGTTTTTGCGTTACGTTATAAAGACGTGGGCTTTTTTTGTTGTTTTACGTGAGCTTTCCTGAAACGCAACGCATGACCACGCAGGCTGGATCACTTCTTCAGAGCCCCCCTACAGCCGGCTATGAGACTCATTGACAGGCGTCGTGTCAAGCGGCTGACCTGCCCACGAGGACGGGTAGTCTACCAAGTCTCTGGCGAAACGCGGGCATTCTACACTTGCCTGCCGAGTAGCAATTTCTGCGCCTGCTATTCGTATCTGCACCAAGGTAATCCACAGCCGTTGATCACTAACAACTGTCGTGGTGCAATTTTATACGTGTTCATTTTTTCACCCGTTCACTCATTTCATTTATTTTTTTTAATTCAAAAGACTGCCCTTTGGCACAACCAAAATACACAAGAGTGCCAGAGCCTCATCACAAATAAACAGGCAAGTTACACACGGGCATCAAGGATCGGTGGAATGGTCCATTTATCCACCCTTGTATCCGGAGGGTGACCGGGATGGTGACCGGCTGTTCTGAGACGCTGAAGGCGCGCTTGCTCTAGGCCCGGGCATGACCAAAGCAAGTGTGTCACATCCACTGCAATTATAGGAGTGTCGCAAATCGTCTACACACTGGTAAACTTCACTTCAGTCATTCAATTACTTAGAAAATGTCCATGAAAAAATGGGGAGGGGAGGGAGGAGGAGGGGACACACCCTAGGTGCAAGTTACTTGTTGCAGACTGATTGGTATTTTTTTTTAAATTTCACGTGTGCAAGCTTGGGTAGGCTTCACCGATACTGACGCAAGGTAGGCTGGCAACTATAGTAGCCAGCCTCTAAGGAGGACAACGAAGTAGTTCTGTGTGTGCGTGCTCTGGTGTTCGCGTTTCTGGCCCTTGGGTTACGAAAGTAAACGCCCTATTTTGTACCTGCGTACCTGTGTCTTTGTGACATTTTCTGGTGGAAGTGCTGGGTACGGCAGATGATACGGTCCCCTGAGAGCACCCCTGATGCAAGTCCATCGAGTAGCTCAGCCGAGCTTATCCCTGTGCACGTACGTTCCAGCCGTCGTCTCCAGGGACTCGAGCCACAGCACGGTTTGCTGCCTGAACGTCAGAGGACTATCAATCAAACACCGCCTAACGTCACCGCGCCAGCACCAGCGCACCTGGTTATCAACCAGCCCAAGACACCGAAGACATTTCACGGAGCTGCTTTTGAAGATGCCGATGACTGGCTCGAGCATTTCGACCGGGTCGCCGTCATCAACGATTGGACCCCAGAGATTAAGCTACGCTATGTGTACTGCTTCCTGGAGGACTCCGTGAAAACGTGGTTTGAGAACCATGAAGCAGCGCTTACGTCATGGGATGAGTTTCACTGGCAGTTCCTCAAGGCATTTGCCCGAGAGGACAGGAAAGAGACAGCGGAGCGTGCTATAAAGGCAAGGGTTCAGGGCCCTAACGAAAGGGTGACGACTTACGTAAAGGACATGGATCGGCTTTTCAGGCGTGCGGAGCCCTCTATGTCCGAATCCAACAAAGTTCGCCACCTAATGCATTGTGTTAAAGAAGAGATTTTTGCCGGCCTGATACGAAACCCGCCTGCGACACTTGCAGAGTTCCATGAGGAAGCCACTGCCATGGAGAGGGCCTTTCAACAGCGTGCCAGGCAGTATAACCGTGGTGTACATCCAAGTGAGGTCACTTCTGTCACTCTCGGCAATGACATCAGCGCATTGCGAGAGCTTATCAGAGCTCTCATTAAGGAAGAGCTACAAAAGATGCAGGTGACTGCTTCACCTGTAGAGCAGCTCTCCATTGCAGAGATGGCACGCGCCGAGCTACGGCAAGTCGTTCATGCTCCCCAACCGTCTGAGGCGCCACAACAGAGGCACTGTGTCGAGATGAGCTACGCGGAAGCAGTGCGACGTCCTCCATCGTGCAGTTCAACTAGCGTATTTTACCCCAATGAGCGACACCCTCAGCAAATGGAGGTAGGCTTCCGTCCTCGCAGCTCACCGTTGATCGCCGAAGCAAGACGGAGAAAGAGTGACATCTGGCGTACACTCGACCACAGGCCCCTTTGTTTCCACTGCGGGAAGCCGGACACGTCTACCGAACATGTCCATACCGTCGTGTGGGTCTCCGTGGATTTTCGCCTAATGCCCATCGTCCACGACCTGGCGAGCGACCACAGGAAATAGAGACTTTTATCTCGAATCGTCGCAGTATCGAACATCGGTTGCAAGAGCCTCGCTCGTCGTTGCCTGCTCGCTACAAGTCACCGAGCCCAGCATATTCACGCGGCGCTTTGAGACGCCATTCACCCAGTCTTGCAAGTTGGGAAAACTGAGTTCAGCGACCTCCGGAGGTGAGGCCGCTGACTATACGGAAGATCCTGCACTACAACGACAGCAACGGCAGCAAAAAGATGTACAGATGCAGTCAAACATGGTACGAAAAGTGGTGACATCAAACATTGCAGTAACTGTGGACGACGAAGAAGTAATGGCGCTAATTGACACTGGAGCAGACACTTTCGTTATGAGCATGGGTCTTGCCTGCAGGCTGAAGAAGGTTTCTACCCAGTGGGCTGGGTCACAGATACGTACGGCCGGAGGCCATCTTCTCACTCCGGTGGGGCGGTGCGCAGCGCGAGTCAGTATTCACGGATTTACGTATCTCGGAGATTTTGCAATACTGCCGAGTTGCTCGAGGGACCTAATTCTCAGACTGGACTTTCTGCGTGATTATGGAGCCGTGATTGATTTGCAAGAGTCGCAGGTGACGTTTTCTACAACACACGCTTTAGCGCGCAATCCTCATGGCAGTTAGGTCAATGTTTTGAGAATTGTTGACGATGACGTCACGTAACCGCCGAAGAGTAGCGTGTTCACCTTGGTAGCCTGCGACGTTTTTGATGAATTCAACGACTATGAAGGTATTGCAGAGGCAAATATCCAGCTGCTGCTAAAACGAAACATATGCATAGCCCGATGCCTTGTTCGGTTAGAGAATAAACGCTCTCAAGTTCTGCTGACCAACTTCAGCAATGAGTTTCAGCACGTCCCTAGAGGGACTACTGTCGCTTTCCTCAGTGAAATAGTCGACTTTTTCGATATCAGCACAATGGATACGACTTCACCGCATGCAAAAGCTTGTGCTGACCTGGGAAGCGTATTCACGTTAATTCAGACTTGCCAGATTTACGAAAAGAGCGGCTGCTAAACCTTGTGAGGGAATTCTCGGACTGCTTCTCCACAGCATCGAAAGTTCAGCGTACCACCGTTACAAAACACCGCATTGTTACCGAGGAGTCGGCGCGGCCTCTTCGCCAACATCCGTACCGTGTGTCCCCGAAGGAAAGAGAGGTGATTAAGCGTCAAGTTCAAGAAATGCTGAATGATGACGTCATTCAACCCTCGACAAGTTCGTGGGCGTCACCTGTTGTCTTAGTAAAGAAAAAAGACAAGACACTATGCTTCTGCGTCGACTATCGACGGCTTAACAAAGTCACAAAACGCGACATTTACCCCCTGCCACGGATTGATGACGCCTTAGACCGTCTACGCCACGCCCAGTTCTTTACATCATTAGATCTCAAGGCAGGGTACTGGCAAATTGAAGTTGACGAGGGCGACTATGAGAAAACCGCGTTCGTGACGCCTGACGGGCTTTACGAATTTAAAGTGCTGCCTTTCGGTCCCTGTTCCACTTCCGCCACGTTTCAACGCATGATGGACACTGTACTAGCTGGACTAAAGTGGCAGACGTGTCTTGTATACTTAGATGATGTCGTTGTGTTTTCAAGCACGTTTGACGAGCATCTTTCAAGGCTAAAAAGTGTCCTCGCTGCAATAAGGAGAGCGAACCTTACTATCAAGCCCGAAAAGTGCTACTTTGGCTATCAGGAACTCAAGTTTCTCGGCCACGTGGTGAGCCCGGGGGGTGTTCGACCAGATCCGGAGAAGTTGGCTGCCATTGCCAATTTCCCTCGTCCTGGAGACAAAAAGGCTGTTCAGCGATTCCTCGGACTCTGTGTGTACTACCGCCGTTTTGTCGAAGGATTTTCGAAAATTGCGGAACCTCTTACAAGACAGACACGGCCAGATGTACCTTTCGTGTGGACGGAAGAACAACAACAAACCTTCGTAGAGCTGCGCAATCAACTGCAGACAGCTCTAGTGCTGGCACATTTCGACGACACCGAGATCCACACAGACGCCAGCAACGTAGGAATCGGAGCCATTCTAGTTCAATGGCAGAACGGCGCAGAGCGTGTGAGCCGCAGTCTCACAAAAGCAGAGGCTAATTACTCTACCACCGAAAAAGAGTGCCTAGCAGTCGTTTGGGCCATTAGCAAGTTTTGACCCTACCTATACGGCTGGCCATTCCGAGCGGTCAGTGGCCACCATTTGCTCTGTTGGCTTGCCAATCTACGGGGTAATCAGGCTGCCTCGCCCGCTGGAGCCTCCGCCTTCAAGAGTACGACATAAGGGTGGTCTACTGATCAGGACATAAGCATACAGATGTGACTGCCTGCCTCGTGCTCCTATTTTCCCGACGTCATCTGACACTGAAGAAGATTTACCGTTTCTTGGCATCGTCGATGTGGTGCGGATGGCTGAGCTTCAACGTGAGGACGCTGAGCTACTTCCTGTCATCCAGCATCTTCGAGGAGAAGACGTTATCGTCCCACGCCGGCTCTCGCGTGGTTTAACAACGTATTGCCTGCTTCTCTACAAGAGAAATCTCTAGAGCAGCCAGGAAACTTTCCTCCTCGCCGTTCCAACGGCACTACATGAGAAAGTTTTGCAGGCGTGCCACGACGATCCTTCGGCCGGTCACTTAGGCTTTTCTAGGACATTAGCGCGCATCCGACAGAAGTACTACTGGCCACAGCTGTATTCGTCCGTTCAGCGCTATGTCCGCACCTGCCGTGACTGTCAGAGGCGTAAAGTTCCACCCGCAAAGCTCGCCGGTTTCCTCCAACCTTTAGATCCACCTCGAGCACCATTTCAGCTAATGGGAATGGATCTTCTTGGTCCCTTTCCTACGTCATCCTCAGAAAATAAGTGGATAATTGTCGCAACCGACTATTTGACTCGCTATGCAGAAACCAAAACTGTGCCTAAGGAAACTACAGTTGAAGTCGCCAGATTCTTTGTCCACGACATTGTTTTGCGTCATGGTGCACCTGCTGTTCTCATAACCGATCGCGGAGCAGCATTTATGGCAGAGTTATTGCAACAAGTCACCAAGCTGACGCACACCAACCACCGGAAAACAACACCTTATCATCCTCAAACGAACGGCTTGACGGAGAGGTTGAACAAAACACTGGCCGACATGCTATCTGTGTATGTTGATGTAGAGCACAAAACGTGGGATGAAATTTTGCCGTACGTCACGTTTGCTTATAACACCGCTGTGCAAGAGACCACAGACCTAACACCATTCGAGCTTGTTTATGGCCGTCGCGTCACAACACCGTTATACGCTATGCTCCCCATAGACCAGGACAACAGCGGAAATGACAGCGTTGACGACTTCGTCGAGAAAGCCGAGGGAGCCCGCCAGCTTGCACGGAACAGCATTCGCGCGCAGCAAGATATCGACGTTCGCCGTTACAACCAACGCCGAAGGAATGTCCACTATCAACCAGGTGACTATGTATGGGTGTGGACACCAGTTCGACATCGTGGGCTTTCAGAGAAGCTATTGCGACGCTACTTTGGCCCTTACGAAGTTGTGCGCTGCCTCAGTGACGTGAATTACGAGGTAGTTCCCCAAAGTTCTGACACCAGTTTAAACCGAAGACGTCCACGTCCAGAAGTAGTCCATGAGGTACGGATGAAACCGTACCACGCTCGCGACTTATGAACACTTCGAACTTTTTCCTTATTATCCACAACAGCGTGCGCAATTTTTTTTTTTTGTTGACGTGATCATTTTATTTTTCATGGCCACCTCTGGCATCTCAGTCAATCGACCGGGACGGTCGCTCTTGAAAGGGGGGAATCGACGCAAGGTAGGCTGGCAACTGTAGTAGCCAGCCTCTGAGGAGGACAACGAAGTAGTTCAGTGTGCGCGTGCTCTGGTGTTCGCGTTTTGGCCCTTGGGTTACGAAAATAAACGCCCTATTTTGTACCTGCGTACCTGTGTCTTTGTGACAATATAAGCGTGTTCATTGCTTACAGCAAACTAGATTTAGAGGTTATAATTATGTATAGTACTGGCAATAAAAGAAATCACCTCAATGAAGCATTTTTTTTTTAGTTCACCTTGGGCTGTAGCAATACTATGTATATGATTCAACTGTCAATGCTTCCGCATACACATGTGTTGCTCTCAAAGGGGCCTTGCAACTCTTTTCCAAGTAATTGTTAATTTTAACTCTAGAGACATTGGACTATAAGTGGCTGGAGAGTTTATTTTATCTGTTTGAATATTCAGACATCTTGATTAAGAGAGTTGATAGCCTCACGAAAAGACTGCTGCAAAAATATTCAGAATCTGTCAAGAATTAACGGTGTTGCAGGGATTTGCCACTCGCTTCAAGTGCTTTTGCTTTCTCTTCGTACAAGCGTGCGGGTGCATTGTAACACGCCACGGCTGTGGGGGTAACGGCATCCAACGATGTTCAAATCAGCCAATGATAGTGGACTTTGTGTTTATGGTGCAGTCACTTGGTTTTACGGCATCATTTTTCTAGAGAAATGAGAAATTTTTGGCCAACTTGGTAAATTCTAGACTGTTCTCAGAAGCCTCAACGACCAATCGACAGCGTTTTCTGATCATGCTGAAAAATTGTTGCAGGGCTCTCCAAGATACCTGGAACGGTTGGTTGACGACCACGTACCGTTTCTCATTGTGTATGTTAAAATTGAGCTTACGTGCTTCTAAACTGCCGAGTCTTGAAATCAAAGGGGTACTTGAATGTATAGGCTTACAGATACCCTCAATACACATTTTATTTCCTCTTTGTGCGTGTGTGTGCTGCGTTTATCTCTCTTCTCTATTTATCTTTCATCTCCCCCATCCCCATCCCCCTCCCATGCACAGGGTAGCAAACCAGCTGCATATAGACTGACTGGTTGACCTCCCTGCCGTTCTTTTCCTCCTATTTTCTTTAGTTACGCTTTCTACGGATTTAATGTAGCTGATTTGAACATCACATCAGTAAGCTTCAGTGTCAAGTCTTGCTTTTTCTTTTTTTCTCTTTCTGCAGTGCTTCGAAAACAAGAGATACCAATGGTAAGAAATTATTTAGTGTGTATGTCATTTTGCCAATGTTGGGTTTTCATAGTAATGCTTTCATTAGGGGCCCAATTTTCGCATGAGATTAATGTGATTATGCCGTTTAGACTTAAGCTGTGGTTATTTCAGACGCTTTATATTAATGAAAAAATACCGTCAACTTCTCAGTCATACAGAACTAAAAGCTAGAAGCAATTTAGATGCTTTTTGTCAGTGCTGAAGTCACAAGATGTACAAGATTATAGGCAGATATGCCTAGTTTAGATTATAAATGGGGGCACCCGTATTTCTGGCACCTGGCCCTAATTTTGGTAGAACTTTGGGGCAAGCAGAACTGTCAGTGCATAGATGCAGGAACTGCTGCGTTTGCTCGACTATTACATGCTGAGAATGAAGGAACATAGGGAATCTTAAGGGCTTGTTTTTTTTGTTTGACACAACTTTAATGAAAAGATTGCACTTGACAGGACAACCCTAATGAAAGCCAGCAGGTAATTAGGCCAAGGAACATACAGGGGGTGCTAATTGTGCTGTTTTAAGTATATTGTAGTAACTATGTCGTAGACAGAAAGAAAGTAAAGTGGACGAAAAGGCAACTTGCGAGTCATTCTCGTCGCCAGCACTGACCAAACCTTTCGGATCACGCCGCCGATGCTCTTACCAATTGAGCTACAGCGGCGGATGACCCTTCGTTTACATTATTAGGTATTTTTGCGCACGAAACATGGGAGTGTTAGCATCACTTGTAGTCATCCGGTGAATGTAGAACATTTTCTTTTTGCCAGATTGTGTCACAATGCACAAGCACCTTGATCAAGCGGAGAGCTAACTAATAAGCCCTCACATGCTATCTGAAGACGCCAATTGTGCCAGAACGAGACCCGTCGCTATAATGAACGAAGCTTCCTCGGCTTCATTATCTGCTAGATTTTATTAAAACATGCGGAGAATAGTGTAGCAAAGCATCTAATTAAAAAGGAAGTGAAGAAAAAAAAGGTCTACACTGATTTTAGTCTTTACGAATGCTTTCATATCCGTACCTTCCCTCTGTCTCGTTACAGCTATTCCTAAGGCTGACTTCCTTTCCTGGCACATTGTGAGGGTGCGATCTTGCGAGCCTTTGTACTAATAAACATGTACTATTTCTTTCAGTGTAAGCACGTCCTTGCATCAAGACTGGCAGAAGCACTTGGAGCCTGTGAAGATGTCAGCTGCACGGATGACACAATGGTGTTCATGTTGCAAAGTCTCTGTTGATTAACAAATTCCTGTGCTGTCACTGCTCTAACAAGCTAAGCAGGTATAATTAATGGACTTTGTGCTCAAACCTTGTTCTAATATTAACACTCCCGACATTTGTGCAGCTCGAATATTCTCTTTTTGACGCATTCTCGTCGCCCAAACCACAAACTCAATGTGTGAAGAGTTTAGCAATGTGAAACGCAAGCACAGATCGATAAGAAGTGTATATATTTTATTCTGTAAAAAAAATATATATATGTTCCAAAGCCAGCTGTCTGTTGCAGTTGATGGTCGACGATAGAAAAAAATATGTTTGATTGCATAATTGAGGATATAAATCCAGTAAGCGGTAGAATCCTGAGAGCGCTTGGTGTGATCCCGAAGAGGAACTCGTGCAACAGGCCATCACCTCCAGCTGAGGCCCAGTTGTAGCAGATCTTGGGCATTACTCAGTGAAGCATATCTGTAATAACGCAAGCAAAGCATGCACGGGTGAAGGATTATGTTAACTTCTTGATCAAGATAAACTTCTCAGATAAACGCTATCCCAACAAAACTTAAGTATTGTTACAATGCTCAGCAGAACACTAGCTTGGTGCTGAAAAAAACATCTCTATAAATCATTCAAATATTGTGTATATGTATTATAGATTTTATGCCTTACTGTAATATTAGTTTTGTTCATCTCACTCATGCCACGTAACAAGTCATCCTGAAAAAAAAAGTATTTAAGCTGCATTAGCTTGAAGACTTTTTCTGTCTGTTTGATTAACTACTCAAGTTGTTAATAACGATGCTGATAACAAGCGTGACATTTGGTCATAATATGCATCCAATCATATTTGTTGGAAGGGTAGTATATAATGACTACTTAACCAATCTAACAGTACTAGGTTATGGGACCATAGAAAAACATATATGTATTGGAGTATGACAAACTTGAAAGACAGCTAAGGCTGTGCAAACACTATATAGTAGATTAAAGATCAAACATGATGTTTTTGTTAAGTTTATGAGAAGAATGTTGGAAAAGCGGTAAAAGACTACCTGCAAAAGGAAATTAAGTGTCGATTATAGTAAATGTAGCGAAAATATTCACATGATATTGAAGGAATGAAATAGGTTCAGCTGGTATTCAAATAATGGAAGACCCTAGCAGAGGTACTGCACCGGCCGACATGGCAATGAGCCGACTGTGATCCTTGTAGAGCAAAGCCTTGTGATATTAGCCGACTAAAACCCGCTCTTGGCACATAATTCTTAGAAACGGAGGGCATGACAAGAAAGCACAGACATCGGCACTCATCTTGTCCTTCATGCCCGTGCTTTCTTGTTGTGCCTTCTTTTTTAATATATTTTGATTGCATGTGTTGTATGCTAAAAAACATTATCAAGGTCACTGTGATGACTTGATTTATAGTACAACTCAACCTTGCTTTTATCACCCACTTATCCTGGTTATAATGTAAACGGAGCACCACTCAAACCATTGACAAAGCACAATATGGAATGACATATTGGCAAATGATTGTTATATCGTATCTGTCCACAATGCTGCATGAATGAAGAATATTGCAATGGCAAAATGCACATGTATCCCACTAACAAACTTGTGTTCTTGTTAATGACAGAATGCCTGTACACTTATAGTGCCCGTAGTTTGGACACAGTTTGGACATGTATGCCATGTAGCTTTCACTGAATCGCACTGCCTTACCCAAGTGCTTCGCAGCTCTAGAGAAGCCTCAGTAGTCGCCTCCCGCTGTCGGGTCCACAACCACTTGCTTCTCAAACGCAGGCTGAGCCACCCAGTAGAGGGCATCGGCGTATATCTCCGTGCGCTGCGTCATCTGCAAAGCACATGACAAACATTTTGAACACATGGGAGATGTCGTTTAACAATTGCCGCAGAAAGTTTGGAATCGCTGCAGCACACCACTCACCCTAAAGCCCCAGGTGTCACGGACCTGTCGGCACAAGTTCAGGTCCACCTCAGTGATCAAGAGGCCGTCGTTGATTCTCGAGAGGCCCTGAAGTAAGGTAAGAACAATATAGGTTATGGTCTGGTCCTCGACAGGTATGTTCAAGAGAAATCTGTGCTTCTGAATTGTGAAGCTCTAGTTATGCTTATCGACGTAGAGCCCCGCGCCGAATGTGCGGGGCTCACATTCATAGCTGCACGGCAGGTTATCAAGGATGTGCTACCGGAAGGCTTTGGTTGCAGGCTGTTGCAATCAACATTCCAATCTTTGTCTTGTGCTCAAAAGGCTCATTTCTATTGACAACTGACAACTGTCACATGATGGACTGCACCTGGGCACAGTGACTCTCTGCGACCGATGCTTACACCGGCTAGCATGGCCTGCCTGCCACCACACACTGAAGTGCCTCGCAATCGGCACCATCTACGTCTGCTTGCACCACCAACACTCTCTGAAGTGAGCAGAGGTGCTATTCTTGTTACGATTACGTTCACTGTTGTGAATTCTGATCACTCACTGTCCAATAAGAAATTGAACAATGAGAAATTTTACCTAGGATGTTCCCTTTTTGATCTTGTGATTGTTTGCTATTAGTTATGACTGGTCACAATGTTGTGGCCAACTTAATTGCACAAACTCTGCTAACTAGTGCTAATAAAGGGCAATAAGCTTTTGGCAGGTTAGAAAACTTGCATTATAAGAACTGATTGCATGTAGTGAGAACAAATGAACTTACAGGCGTGCGACTTCCGTCAGGAGCAGTCACGTAACTGGAACCTGCACCATTGTATCCCCAAACAGCATTATTAGTTGCAAATGGTCACATCTATCAAGAGGAGCATTTATTTCACATATATTCTTGTGTATACATAAAAAGCTCAGATTTTAGGCATTCTTACTGTTGAGACCTTGTAAAATAGAAGTTAAAAATAAGTCAGAAAACATACCATAGGAAGGTGACAAATTAAATTTTTGACAGGAATTAAGTAACTATACAACTGTAGAGCAACAACCGAGCATGATTGTTGTATTTAACGATAATTTAGTAGAAATTATGCTTTCTTTGACTTTTGTATTTTCCAGTGTGTGATTCACAGCTAAATGTGCCAAGCTATTGCAAATGTGCCAAACTATTGCAATAATGGTACACAGTTACAATGACAAACTTTATTTCCCACTTATCGACATTTAATTTGTGGTACATGGCACCATGAAAATGTATGAAAGGCAATTGAACGAAATGATGTACCTACCATAGAAATGTCCAAAATCCCGGTGAGCTATAGAGATGAAGAAAAAAACATTAAGCACAGTGGGAATCTGTTAGAAATTCAGAAAGTGCACGTAGTCCAACCAAATTACAGTGTGCGTAGTCCAATCTTACCCAAGCAAACCTCACCTTGCTTCTTGTCACCAGAAGTAAATTCTCGAGGAAATACTTCCTGCATAAAAGAAAGAGAGGAAACAAGGGTATGACTGATTTGTACAGATTCATACTTAAGCCATTCATCTCCTTCGCACATTTCAAGGTATGTAAGCACTTCATTTGAGAACAAACTTATTCAAAGTGACCCGCAGATGCCCCAAAATGCAAACTACATTTGAAATAACTGATTTTACAGTTAAGCACGTTTTATTTTTCCTCCATAACTCTTGAACGAATCTTGAATGAACTGATCAATTGACTTACTGTTCCCACCCTGTTGATGGCACACGTAAAGTAGCTGTTTGCGATGGCGGCATTCCTGGCCTCGACGTGCCACAATGGCTCGCTCAGTCCAGACACTGTCGCAGAGGGGTTGAAGACAACCTCCGCTCCATTAGCACCATACATGAGCCAGTTGAGGGGGTGATGTCTTCCGTAGCAGATGTTGATAGCAATCTTGCCTGCCAACACAGGTTATGCAAAGAAGCACATTGACTGCGAGAGTGTTAAGGCCCTTAACGACAGAGTGAAAGCATAGAGTGCATGATATAAGTTCATCGAATGTTTTCATAGCACTGTTCTAAGATGGTACCACTTAGTTTGTTAAAAAACAAGTGTGCGAACAAGGACAAGGTAATAAAAGAAGATAGAATGCAGCAAGCAAGCAGTCTTCCATCCTGTTATTGATTGTATGTATCGTCTTCAGCACGGCCATATGGTATCACCGATTGTGGTTTGAGAGCCAAAGTCCTTAAAATAAGCAATGTAGTCGCAATATATATTTGCCACGTCAATTCAGTTTCCCTTGAAGCAGAAAACATCACATTGTCTCCACTGGCACAAAATGTGCTCTTAATACTCGAGAACACTTGCAAAGTGCCCTGTATTGTTTAAATAGCATTCATACGCCAATTGAAATACAAGTGTCATTTATAAAGTCGGACAGGGTACAGCTGGAAGAAGTGAAACTCCTGTCGTTTCTCCAGTAACGTAAAACAGTCAAATCCTCTTACAGCGATACCCGTTTTAACAACATATTGTTTATACCAAGGAGAAACTGGTGCACCGTCAACTTTTGTATGTTTTTTATGGCGAAACAACCCGCTTACAGCATGCTCGCATGCTGCATTATTGGTTGTAACAATGACTTATGGCTGTTGGGTGTCCGTTCTGAAAGGTAATGGAAAGCGAAATACTTAAAAATAATGAAGAAAACGACATATTCAAGCTGTGTAACCTTGCACCTCTTCAGTTTGTGGTATGTTTCACAGCACAGCACTGTGGTATTGCGGCAAAGTTGGCTTTTGAAATCTGCAACACTGCGAGAACAGCAGTGGCTTCAGTTGGAACATGCAGTTTGAGTAAAAAGTTAGCACTTTGAAGATTTTCAGCATCAGAAATTTCAGGGGTTGTCATACATTAGTTCTATGGGGCTTGTAGTGGCCTCGTGAAAGTATCCGAATGCTCAAACATGTCCGAGAGAGCAGCAGCTCTGTGATCCTTGTCACTAATGTCTGTTGGCATGTCCCATCCGATGTTATCATTTCCTCACGACAGCCTGCCATCCCCCTATTAGGGGCGAAGCTCCTTCGGGCATAGGCTAGTCCCGCGTTGTCGATGACGCTGAGGGTACTCCTGTACTATCATTGCGAACTAGATGGCGCTCGCTGCATTTGAGATGCGTGCTCGAGTGCGAGATGAGCTTGTTAAATGGCGCATTTTTGCTTTAATCTGATTGGATAAAGGTGCATTGCTCTAGTTTAATCAGACATCACTAGAGGTTCACCTAAGCTCAAATCTCATTGGATGTGTATAGGAACGAGGACAAGGCAATGCTCAAAGAGTTTCAGCGTCTCGAACGACATCGATTACCCACCTTGACGCAGCGTTATCTCTATCCCTGCGAGAAGATGTTGATTTATTGGAGTTTACCCTTGCCTTGCTTAAGATTCGGTCTTCACATGCTCATGTAGACGACGTCTAATGGGACCCCATACTGACCGCGGTAGACGTACTCTGCTTTAGCAAGACGTAGAACGCAAAACAACCGTTCTTTAAAGATACATTCCCATTGTATGTACCGAGAAAGCAGACCGTCCCACGGGTGGTGTGGCCATCTATGTCAAGCAAACCGAAACTGCTGAAGATCTTAAATTACTGCTCACCAGTCGGAGCCACAATGACGAACATGCGGGTGTAAAACTCTTTGAAAGTGGAATCGATCTACTTACCATGTATCTAGCACTTAATGTATTAACCGGAAACATAAAGGCATCAATAGACACCGCCTTACGAGACTATGCAAACAAGTAAAAAACAAACCGTTCGTACTGGTGGGTGACATTAAGGTCGACATCACATAAAATAGTTGGCTCATACAACATATGGTCATGCATGCATATTGTTCAGCCACATGCAACCCACAACCATCCGAGAAACCTGCACCGATCTCGTCTTTGCAAACTTCCCACAACAACACATCCAAGAACCCCTATCCCTCCACTTCACCGACCATAAAGCCGTTATAATGAATGGGGAATGCAAGCCTTGTCTAGCTACCATTTATGAATGACGAAATCAGTTTGTTGTGTATATAGCGTTTGTCATGTCTTTGGTGAGGTACTGAGCAAATTTTTACAGAAGATTCATGGTATACCAATGAACCCTCTGGAGCTTCACTCACTCATCTTTATTTATCCTGTGGACATGCAGCAATTTTTTTTTTTATTTTCATGTAACCTGTTTCTGAAAAGTATTGGTTAAAATAATAAAATTTTTTCATAGCACTTGAGTATTGTCATAAGTGGGTTCAACTGTAATATTTGGCTCTCTCTATCATCAGTTCACAATGAATGTCACGCAAACAAGCCTTACCAAATTGTGTCTGGAACACTGGATGCCCGAGTTTTGACTCCATGTAGTAAGTAGACTGGAACAATATACATTCTGGTAAGAGTTTATCTGTTCACTATACAGAGCTTTAATGCACCAAATCCATTCGTAAACGTAGTTAATGTACTTGGCATGCAAAATTTTGCAATTTAGAAACAAAACCATCAACTTGTTCCGGCATATTAGTCGCAAAACCTCACCTCATTAAAGTCACCCACTCGCGGAATGTGGTTCTTTCGGGACTTCCCCAGAATGGCTCCGCTGTTTGAGACCACCACGGCGGCGTTCCAGAGAACGTCGGAGTCGTCGCGCTCCAGAATAGGGCAGATCACCACCATGTTGTGCTTTTTAGCCATCTGAAAATGTTGAATAAATGTCACGAGGAGAAGTCATTGAATAAAGAACATTACTGTGGCTTGACAGAGCGTAGGCTAGGGCGTGTTGGTAATCCATTTTGCTATTTTAGCGAAATTTTTAACAAAACAGAACAGAAGAAGGCCACAGTAGTGCCATGTCCCTGTAATCTGTCCTGTGTTTTGTTAGCAAGTGCGCTCAAGTAGTAAAATTGCCGGGGACAGTAGTCCGACAACAGGATTTGTCATTGCCAGGTTTAACACATCATCGTGACATGGTAAAACAAGTTCTGAGAAATAATATAGTTGAATATAACAATGAAAGAACATCACTATTTCAGAAAAGCATGAAAACATAAACCAATACCAATACGGAACTTTTGAACTGTAATTTTTTAGTATTATACATAAGTCGAGATCCTAAAAAAATAATGACAAGTTGAAGGGTGCCCTAGCTAATTCACTATAAGTCTCTGCGAATGACAGTTCAAACCCCCCCCGCATAAGGATGCCTAATAACTTCAGAAAAGCATGTCAGGCTGTGTAGCTATAACATGCCATTGCACACAAGCGTCACCAGAGTAACCATGGGGAGCACCTTATTTTTGCTTCTGGCATATGGAGGTGCGGTATAGCTACATTGACAAACTTTTTTTATGCTAGGATAATGTCCATGATGCAAAGTCTTGAATATAGATATATGTATTCTTTGCCTCAGTTGAAATGTCTCACAAACATTTTGGTACCTTTGTACATACTGTGTGCCGTGTGAGAACACTGCGGCGGATACTTGGTACAGGTTTGAAAATATGCCGGCACTCTTTTAAAGGGGCCTTGCAACACTTTTTCAGCATGGCCAGATGATGCTGCATATCGGTAGTCACTGCTTTTGCGAACATGTGACCCCAACATAGGGCTGCATGCAACGTGGAAGTTACTATTAAGAATAAAGTTGGCTAGAAATCGCTTGTACTCTTCTCAGCAAAAATATGCCATAAACAAAATTTGGCTTAAGCCGTTTGCTGATTTAAGTATCGCGAGCTACATACTTATCACTGATACTGTGGGGTGTTGCAACGTGCCTGCACTGCAATCTAAAGTGATAGAATTACTCATAATATAGAATTACACCAGCACATTTGTTATCACGCTGAAAGCGAGCTATGCGTTCAAACGGGGAAAAAAAAGTGCACAAGGTCGTGAAAAGCGTGGCTTCTTGCCCTCTGGTGCAATGTACCCCCCCCCCCCTTTTGCAGTGTAGTTTTTAATATGCTTACTTGAAAGAAAAGAGAGGTGCATGACTAATCACTGTTACTCCATTGGTATATAATGTACTCTAAAATATTTTTTTGCAAGAATCAATTTGCGAGGGAATAAACTCTGATAGCGAGGTGATTCGATGGTTATTTGGTAAAGTTCTGCAGGGCCTATTTGACCTCAAACTTTTAAATGCTGCATATAAAGCACAAGAAAGTTCATGCTAATGATTTTAAAGGTACTATACAGAAAAAAAATTGATAGGTCTGTTTCACAAAGGCAGTAAAAGATCACCTGCTGACAGAGCTGAACAGATGGGCCGTATTCAGCAGATTCTGCAAACTCGCACCACGGTGTTTTCTCTCTGGTGCAAAATGCAAACGGCATGTCTGAAAGTAGAGTTTGAAATGAAAAATTAACTCTCACTAACGTCAATGTACAAACAGTTACGAACAACTAGCCTTGCACAACTACGCATGCATTTATACTTTGCGGTCTTCTCACGTTACTCACGCCAGGTCTCCTGGAAGCAGATGACGTTAACTCCGCACAATGCAGCCGCCTCGACAATGGTCTCGATGCGGCGGTGCAGCGCTTCCCGCTGTGCGACCACCGGTTCGGTCGTGGGCAGCACGATGCGGTTCTGCACCAGGCCGAGGCGCACCACTCGCGGTGGCCGCATCTCCTCCTTCTCGGCCGTCATTTTGTAGCCCTTGATCTCGAACTTGTGCTCTTCGGCCAGTGCGAGAGCCTCGCGATCCAGGTCGAGAGCTCTGAGACAAAAACATGTTATCCATTCACTAAAACAGGAGCACTACTGTCCTCTGCTAAAATACTTTTATACACTCTGTATGTTCACCCACAGCTGGAGTATCCATCGGTTATGGGGGACCCTCACCGTGTTGCATTAATGAAAAACATTGTGGCAGTATAAAACCACACGGCCCATTTCATCTTGTCTAATTACTACAAAACATCCAGCATAATCTCCATGAAAGCATTGCTAGAACAGTCTTTACTCGCTGCTCATACGAACTATTTCGTCCTATGCCTTTACTGTTAATACATTCCGCACCTTCCATATGGGCATACTGTCATCATTAGAAGGTTCATGTTCCGAAAAGTTACAAAAGTGCTCATTCATTGTCATTTTTGCCAGAGCCTTCTAGAGATTGGAACCCCTCTCCTGGGTCTACAACCAGCATTCGCGACCACATATTGTTTAAAAATGCCTTGTTAACCATTTAATTAACTTTAGTTACTGTGAAACTTCATCTCGGTTGTATATCTACAAGTCACCTTGTACATTGAATATATATGTTATTCTATTTATTTGCGTAGGTATTGCTGCTATACTGTGTAACGCATGTTAGGTCCTCAATTTATTTTTTGCTTATTATTAGACTGATATATTCATGTACAATAGCCCTTCCCCTTTTAATGCACTGTGTTCCCTGATGCTACAATAAAAGAATACTGGTAGGCTAACTGCTTAGGACCAACTGTAACACAAAGCGCTGTGTGATCGTCACCTTCTTCTCTATGCCCATCCACAGTCTTGCTTGCTGCACTGCATTATATTTCAAATGCGTGAAAATCATAATGAGACAGGTATAGTAGCTCTGACAGTTGGGCGTGAGTTCATAGTTAAGAACGGCACACAAAACTATAAAAACACGACGACGGGCGCCGCACTCGCAACTAATCTTCATTCACGTCGACTCACACATATATACAGGCACGTGGTTACAAAAACCAGGTGATACAGCGCGCAAGATTTTGTCATGCTTTCCTATTCAAATAATATTCCAATAAGCACTTGCAGGGTGATAGATGAAATGCTGATACATGAGTGTTAGAAATGTGCAAAGCCTCTATTATCTCCAGAGTTGTCTGAATATTACTCCTGATGATGATGCTAGTTTTATCTAATCAAGGGGTGCACCCGAACTCCTTGCAATGCACAACTATATGTGAACCGAATAATTTCTCACCTTTCACCTGAGATCTAAATTTTTCTCCTTATATTAACTGCCGGTTTTATGGAAAATCCCCTATAGTTGGTAAAACCCAAGAATTAAGGTTCAAGCAAGTAAGCTCATCATCCTATAAAACTGCTTAGTGGCATAATGGACACAGTGTTAGTAGTTCCGTCGAGAACCAATAAAGGAGATTGCACACTTGAATGAACTAATGCAGCCTGCCAATACTTTGAGGAGCTGAACGATGGTGCGTGAGAAGTGCTGTGTTTGTGTGAATGTCTAACACCGAAAGGCCTCGCTTGACCGATACGAAGGTTATGCTTTCTAGCAGGGAAAGGATAATCTACTCAAGACTGGCTGCCGAGCTTGCTAGGTTAAAAGAGCACCTTGTGGACGTGATTACCAATAGGTATCAAGAGGCATTTGGCAAAGGTCACGTAAAGGTCGAACTTATTGTATCTAACCGAGACATGGTGCGGTTTGGCAATACTTCACTGGGCTTCCCTCAGCTCCACTAATCTTTGGTGTTTGCAATGGTTATGCCATGCATTGTTTTTTCTGCAAGACGAACGTAATACAAGATGCGCAGTATGAAGAAGATGGGGCTGAAGGAAATAATCGAGAATTATATGATGCAGCACGCATAGGCTTGTCGCGGCACGGTGCATGGTTTCTTGCTCTCTACTCCTTGGCGATCTTCATTTCTCAGCATTTAACCTGGCACCCGTTTTAAAAGACATAGTTCATTAATTTCCATGGCAAAGGCCGCCAAAGATGTCAACCTTTTTTGTTACATATTTACTTAATTATTTTGCTTCCATAATTTCGCTCTAAAGTATTCTTATCTTTGTTGACTGATGTCAATTAGCATTGCAGCTGCAGTTTAACCGTTGTCCTTTTTTCTTTATGTGTATTCCTTGTGGGGCATAGTGATTGGCCGTAGAGAGCGCAAGGTCAATGAATCTGGCAATCTTCCCAGCAATGACGCAATGGTCAAGAATGCAGGATACGGCTGAAAGCCAAGATGGGTAGACACTATAGTCTCCGTTAAAAATAAATGAAATTTGATAATTGATATATTAGTAAAATTGAAATAGACTTGTACAAGCTTGAGGCACTGACTGCAATGGCATATTACATGAATGTTTATTTATTTTTTTATTGCACTTCACCATGCACTGACGCTCTACTTTGCTTACAGGCTGTGCACGTAGGGTTGTTGCCCGTAATTATGATTCTAATGTTCGTGATCTCTCAGACTGACGCTACTGGTTGCTATATACATTCCTGTAAAACTTGACAAAAAAGCGAAAGAAAGGCCTTTTCATCATTACTTTTAATTCATACATCGGCTGCAAACGCCTAACAAAAGGTCGCCGAGAGGAGGATTACGTTTACGCCGGCAAGAATATAATTAATGCGGCAGAATCTCTGCCAGACGAAATGTACAGCTGCTATACTGCCGCTGAATGACAGCAATCTCATTCAAAACTAAGAAACCAAAGAAAGCAGCACTACCATCCGCAACGCCTGCGAGTCGCGTTACGATCCCGAAGGAAAAAAAAAAAAGATTCTCCCACGATATAATAAATAAATTATTTTAACTATTACGTGGCGCCGAGATATGGGTCAAGACGCGACGGCAACCTCACGCGTCAGGCCGGCCCGAGGTGTGATAAGACGCCGTAGTCGTGCATACTCACGCGCATTCCTTGCCGTAGAGAACGCCGCGCACTTTCTGATACTCTTCCGGCGGCAGATGCTCCGTGAGGATCTTCTCGACGCTCTCAAACTCCTGGCTGGCCATTTCCCCCGCCGTTCTTCGCGAGATTTTTCCGCGCAGCAAACTTAGATTCGAGAGTACGGAACCTGCCGGCGCGCGTAGCCGTATGCACTGCGTCTCGACTTCGGAGCCGCTGACAGTGTACTGTGGCAGAGCGCGTCGTTCGACCCACTTGCCAGGAGACGAGCCGCTGGCGAAACCTGTTTGACCTCGCGAAGGGGAAGTTCAAGCTCACTTGCGCAACCTTTAGATAGACGTCTTTCGGGGTCTTGCTCCCAGCGGCGTTGTGCAGCGCAGACAGAACGGGTCGGATGCCACGGCGTTGGGAAAGAAGCGAGAGTGAGCGTCTGCTAGCGTCACTAGATGACACCGCCTCGTGCGAAGTGCAGCTATTTGCTACCGCTATGCCTGAGCGTCGTCTGCTACACGTGATCTGCTACACGCACGTATGGCGGCTATGTATTTGGATATATAATTTCGTCAAACTCAAATCACGATTGATGTTGTAAGACGTGCCATTGGACTCCACAGAATGCTAAGAACTTTGTGCGCTCTGCCAGCCAAAGAATAACTACGACGTCAAAGTGAAGCGTGTTCCAAGTGGGAAAAATGTTAAAATAAAAATCTAAAGGCATAAACTTTGAAGGCATTCCTCCGAACAAGGCTACCGCTCACGTCCAAAGGGCTGCTTTAAAATTGAAGAAATCAGGCATTATTATAGGAGTAACACCATTTCCTAATTAGGAACACCAAACATCATCAACTAAGCCATAAACAGAAACAAAAAGTACGCCTTGCAGCTACGCAGCAAATAATAAATGTTAAAACTCATGTATTTTTGGTATAACGTGAAATACACTTTACAAAATATAATAAAGTGCTTTGGTTTTACTAACATAATCATTAAATATTTTTATGTTTTGTTATTGTTTGCTGCGGTACTAATGTTTACAGCAGGAAACGTACCAGTAACGTTGAAGATCCGTGCGACTTTCTGGTGTTTCTCGCCATCCGTTTGAATCCGCTCGATTTCGGTGAATTCCTTCGGATAAATTGATCCAGCATGTCGATCGGCGTGCCCATCAAAGTTCTGCACGAAGCCGAAGGGCACATCGTCACCTGCGAGACGAACACCGGCGAAGTCTACCGGGGCAAACTGGTGGAGGCCGAGGACAACATGAATTGTCAGATGTGCAACATCACGGTCACCTACCGCGACGGGCGAGTGGCTCAGCTCGAGAACGTCTACATCAGGGGAAGCAAGATACGTTTCATGATACTACCAGACATGCTCAAAAACGCTCCCATGTTCAAAAAAGCCGGTGTCAAAAGTGCGACGGCGTCCGCCGGCAGAGGCAAGTCGGCGATTCTACGAGCACAAGGTTAGCACAAAAATACCTTCTATTCACTGCCGTTTGTTGTAAGGCCGATTGGAGTATGCATCTATCGTAACCCTACCTTGGTTTTTGTTAATCGGCGTTCGTAGGCCATTTATGGTAGACCAATGCTCTTGTTTCGTTTTCCATTGTCTCGAGCTCATTGGTGTAGCTGACATCATGCGAAGTCACTCTTCTCGTTCGCTCTCCGATTTGCTTTCAACTTGCCATATCGAACGCAAAGTGTGCTCGGCTTGTCGGGGTGTATTGTAAATGGCGGAAGCTGTGGGGGAGGAAATTCTTCAGGGCAACTCGGCTTGTGAACTGCTGTCGTAGCTGCACTAAAACCTTGATGCCAACTTTGCGCATACTTTTGTACCAACTAGGCCCGAAACCTTTCGTGCCAACTAGGCCCAAATGGAGTTTTATTGAGGCTCAGCTCCATAGTGAACATTGCGAATCTCGTCTGCGAAGTGACTTCGTTGATATTCCCTTGTTTTTTTTCTTTAGTGTTGTGCTTACAAAGCATAATTTTAAACGTCGCCTATCATGTGGAGACGTAAACAATTCCTGCTTTGCCCCTTTGCTGAAATTCGATTTCACACCCTGTGAAACCGCACGCACTTTCGAAAGCATCTACGTCTGGCAGACCAAATGATAGAATTCCACTGGAAGCTTCAATTACGACTGTTACGTGATTTGGTGGACAAAGTGCGCGTGAGTGCAACCTCCAACGTTCATGTGGCAGAAGGCATCTGCCTACCGGACTTTGTACTAGAAGTATTGGGACTTGGGCCAAAGTTTGCCGTGCAACCTCAAAAGAACAAGCCGGAACTCGTATCAATTGTACGTCAAGTGTCGAAGCGGGTTCCCGAGGATCAAGCCACCAGGATCATCAACGAAGGTGTGGACGCTTTAAAATTGTGTAGGCCTCCATGCCGCAGTTTGCCTCTCAAACGCGTGGAAACTTACTTGACACAGCATGCTCTGAGTGTACTTCCAGTCGATAAAGAAGGAGGGTTTGCGGTTTTCTCGCATGATGAATTTAAAGAAAAGGCTAAAAGTGCTATTACGGCAGTGTTCAGCGAAAAGAAAAGTATTTCGATTGAAAAAGTGAGGGGAAAAGCAATAGAACTTTGTAAGAGGATGAATCTAGAAGGTGTGCTTAGCGGTATCAGAAAAAGTAAAAATGACAGTCTGGATGTGTTCTTTAGTGCTAAAACGCATAAGGAAGGAGTACCGTTCAGAGTGATAGTGTCGGAGAAGGACACGTGGCAAAAAGCTGTAGCTGTGTATCTGCAAAGAACATTAAACTTGCTTGACATAAATGACCCCTTCCTGACAAAAAATTCGGAACAGGTGATAAGTTTCGTCAGGGAACGAAAAAACATAGGGTTAAAAGCGTTTTCGGCTGACATAAAAGATCTGTACTATTCTCTGCCACAATCAGCAGTATTAACAAGTGTTGGCGAATGCATCGATGAGTACGGTGCCGTTAGATTTAGCTCACAAGCAGGTACGTCCGTCGACAATTTCTTAGAATTACTTAGGTTTTACTTGTCGTCAACGTTTATTGAAAACAATGGTACCCTGTATCTGCAAAAACAAGGAGTATGCATTGGCTCGTGCTTAGCACCAGTTTTAAGTAATTTGTTTTTGGCTGAAATGGACAGGAGGCTATCAGGACGCCTAAATGAATACAAGGTTGTGCACGTATTTAGGTACGTCGATGACTTTTTAGTGTTTATCAATGACAGAACTGCAGATTTTGCTACTCAATGTAATAGCGTGTGTAGCGTTTTTCGTGAGGGGCTTAACCCACTTGAAGTGACTTTTGAAATGCCATGTGACGGAAGGCTCAGATTTCTTGACATTAACTTTCAATTCTCAGATGAAAAGACATGCTGGTGTTACGAGCCCAGAGCAAGTAAGCCTTTACTACAGTTTCACTCAGCGCATACTAAACTGGTAAAACGAGGCATTGCGAAGATGTGCTTGAGTGAGGCACTAAAGAAGTCCTGCCGGTGCCTCATGAATGAAAGCTTCAGACAACAGGTCTCGAGGCTAAGCAATGCCGGGTACCCCAAGAGCCTCGTCGTCTCCGTTGCTGAAGGATTGCACAGAAAAGTGCTGGAGAAAAGATGTGAAAGGATGGATAGGGTGAGCTCAAGAAAGGAAAGTTTTGCCGTAATTCCATACATGCATAAGGTTTCTCACAGGATAAAAAAGATTGCGGAAAAATGTGGCACTAACGTAGTTTTCTCGGCACCCAATAAGTTGGTGAGTCTTTGCAGAAGCACAAGACCAGACAAGGGAAAATCAAATGTATGCCAAAAGAAACATAGAAACCTATTTGTGGAGTGCATCATGAGTGTTGTATACCTCATTCCACTTACTTGTGGAAAGTGTTATATCGGTCAGACCAGTAGATGCATAAACGATCGCTTGCGCGAGCACAATAACAAAGTAAATAGTGTTGTTCCTGATGGTTTTCTTTCCCTTCATTGCCAGAGATGTAAGTGCACACCGAAATTCAAGGAAACGGTTATAATCAATAGAAGTAGGCACGAGATGACGCGGTTGGTATTGGAGGCCGGCAGAATTGCAGAGCTAGGTGACACGTGTGTGAGCAGCCCATCAGTGGTGTTGACAGATAAGGAACTTGATTACATGTATTCGCGATAGGGTTTGTGGTAACATGGGATAAAAGGAAGAAAGAAAAAGTAAAAAAAGATTGAAAAATATAAAATTGTAAAGTATTGGAACACGCGCGTTGGTTATATTTGATGGTTTTTAGAGCTACGCACGTGCGACGTTGGCGTGGTGGATCGCATACACCACGGAGATCTGCGTGTAATAAACTGTTGTTGAAAGTTAGCGCTGTGGTGTGTCTATGTGCCTTCTCTTGTCCGTGTTCGTTGTCTGCGCTACCATCCATCATCATGAAACCGCATGCAACCCACATGACACGTGCTGTTCTCAGAAGTTTCAAATTTCACTCTAAGTGGACCAGTTTTCAAAGTCAGAAAGGGTCACGAGGCAGGTTGTGTGCAAACCTGTTAGCCATTGAAGTACTTGAGGGACTAATTAAGAACGAGCACTGGTAATGCATAAATTCTTCCTTTAAGAACGTTTCAACTGCCGATTACTGTTTTTGAAGGAAACTCATTTCTTATGTGTGATCCACTGCATTGTTTGTGTAGCCGTCTACCAACTGTAATGAAGTTCGCTGCATGCCAAAATTTTAAATTACATTCTTTCTCTTGTTTTCAATTTCAGAGAAATTGATTGTGTTAAGACTAAATCTATTAAAGGAAAGAGATGTACTTCGAGTAGGGCAGTGGTACTTTCTTTTTTGAGTTGCTTAATACTGCCAATTCAGATTTCAGATGCAAGCACTTATCGCAAAAGCTGTAACTAATGTGACGGGTGGTTCAGCGCGGCGTCGGAACTCACTTGGAAAGCTTTGTGTTGAAGAAACTTGTAGCTTGATATTTCGAGCTTGATACAGTAGCGCAGTGAACAGAAAGACATGGCCATAGGATCTTTCAGTCGATTGCCTCACTGCAGTATGTTCAAAATTGAACACCACTAGTGCCATTGTAGATGCAACTTCTATGAAGACCAATGGTTACAGTTGGGTGGACATCATAGCTGTTTGTGCCCCGCCACGGTGGTCTAGTGGCTAAGGTACTCGGCTGCTGACCCGCAGGTCGCGGGATCAAATCCCGGCTGTGGCGGCTGCATTTCCGATGGAGGCGGAAATGTTGTAGGCCCGTGTACTCAGATTTGGGTGCACGTTAAAGAACCCCAGGTGGTCCAAATTTCCGGAGCCCTCCACTACGGCGTCTCTCATAATCATGTAGTGGTTTTGGGACGTTAAACCCCACAAATCATCAAAATCATCATAGCTGTTTGTATAATTAACCTGTAGAGCATAGTTGTGATAATAAATTTTCAGGCTGATTTTACGCTGTTATGCTTCCTTTGTGAGCAGGGTTTGTCACCTTCGCAGGAGTACAATGCGGTTAAAATATATTAATT